AGGTCAGTTAGCACCGTAACGAATTCAACGATAACTTAGTCACGATGGTTTCCAGAGGGAACCGCGTGGAGGTCGACCTGATAGGGCATATTGCTAGCAATGGGGCAGTCAGACCCCATTACTAACAGTCCCTCTCCCCTCCGGTCCATATTACATATGCTTTGTAAATATATATCGTACATACATAGTATAGTGTCTATACATTTTACAAAAGGCAATCAACAAAGGCTTGCAAACAGAACATGTATGACGCATCGGCGTTGCTTGTGCAAAATAATAATGAGCTTGTTGCCAAGGAGCATGCGGACAGAAGGACATACACATTGATATAAGAAGTAGGCACCCACCTACGCGTATAAAGAAATAGTTTGATTCATAGAACACATACATTTATTTATTTTTATTTTATTTATTTACATGTGTAAACAAGTAAAATAAATAAATGAAACAAACTTTTCATTTAAATAATATCATTAATTAAATACAATCTCTCTTTAAGAAAAACAATATAAATTATACATGTTACATTTTTTAAATTTTTTTTTTTTTTTTTTTTTTTTTTTTTTTTTTTTTTTTTTCAGCACAGGGGGCAAACGAGCATGCGGCTCACCTGATGGTTAGTGACATATAACAAAACAACATAATAATGAAGATTACACAATTATATAGTAACATAACTCAACTTATTGCATTGCCCTAAAGAGAGCGTCATTATTTCATCATCATAACAGTCTTTAACTGCCTTGGGGGAGGGGTTTATTCCAGGGGGTAAGTTCCAGGTGTATTCATCACGATGGGCTAACTGACCTGCCTTTTCTTTCTCACTAATCATCCTTTACTATATATAAAGAATTCAAGACTCACCGTTTGTATGAATGCACTCAACAATATATTTAAAAATATAAACAAAGCAATAATTATCGCTGACAATTTGCTTTAATCGAAGCACGTCCGAAATGAAATGACCGCACGAATGACATAACAACATGCTTGTACTGTAAACACTGAAAAATGTTTCAATTTGACAGCACAATCCCCATCTTGAAAAAAAAAAGTTTGAATTTGACACAAAAATCCCCATTAGCAAAATGATCCGCCATTTATTGAATTCATTTGTAAAAAAAAAATGTGATAAATAAAGAACCGCTCGACGGATTTTGTGCAAACTTCACATAAACCATCTACTAAATAGTCCGAACGAAACGTAAACATTTGGTTTGGATAGGTGAGCACGTTCTTGAGTTATAAAATTACAACAAAAAGTGGCATTAATTTTTTTATATATTTTATATATATATATATATATATATATATATATATATATATATATACACACATATTTACATACAAAAGGCGCAATGCGTAGCGTAACTTGACAGGCGTATAAATGACTTGTCGTTCGATTCATGCCCCTTAAATGACCCCAGGGAGACTGACGAAAGGGAAACGCTGTCCCTCTCGTCTAGGCGAGATATGGGTAATTTTTTTAAATGGACGATAATGGAATGGTAACCCCGCCTGTGCTAATGCTGTTACACTGGTGGGGCGTTAGGGGGGAAGCTTTATTAGTAATACAGACGGCCAGTTCCATTGTTAGTATATAATCTTTCGGGTCGGGGGGGAAAGGGATTGTTAGTAATGGAGACTGAGAATCCCATTGCTAGCAATATACTCAGCCAGGTCGACCTCCTCGCGGTTCCCCCTGGTAACTATCATGGTTAATTCCTGGTGAATTCATCATGATGTGCTAACTGGCCTGTTTTCATTCTCACCTATCACCCTTCACTGGTGCTCCGCCAGCGTATCCTGTTAGCGCGGGCGGGGTTACCATACCATTATCACCTATCAAAAAAAAACCTGTCAGGTCGACCTGTCCCCCGGTGCCCCATCATCGTATACCGTTTGCGCAGGTGGGGTTACCATTACATTATCCATAAAAAAAAAACAGCATACTCGTCAGGAATGTCAACGTATGAAGAGTTGGTACTCCTGTGCGTCACAGTATATCCTGTGGTGTCCACGTTGCTGTTATATATAGGTTATGGTTACCAGTTTTCGTAAACTAGGCCGTCAGATTAATTGCTATTCCAAATTAAATAAATAAAACCAAGCCTCCAGTCTTTTTTTTTATACAAACTAGAATGGCAAACAAGCTGACGTCCCACCTGATGGACAGTGGTAACCGTCGCCTATACACATGAGCAGTACCGTGGACATAACAGAGTATACTGGTTCGCCCATGATACCCCCCATGCGTTGCCATTCCCGAGGACTCAGGTGTTATTCCTCTGCACCCAGTAAATTCACGCCATATCCCACCCTTCAAACCGAAACACAACTGCGTCACGGTTGAAACACGAATGGGACAGAGGTGCCCAAGCAATCGACGTTTGTACAAAGTCTTCCCTGTATATTATACTGGCTTGCCGTTTAGTAAAAATACTTGATCCAAGTTCCCGCCAAACAAAAACTTGACAGCGTCGCCATAGTTATGTAGAGTAATCCGAAGGAGACAGCTAGGGTTGGCACGACGCACATTTAACCAATAGATTTATTTCTTTATAGGAACACCAACAGCATACTGCAGGGGAAGAGGGGGTTGTTAGTAACGCGGACTGTCAGTCTTATTACTAGCAATATACCCTGTTAGGTCGACATTTACATGATCCCCCCTGGAAACCATCGTGCTAAATTCCAGGTGTATTCATCACGATAGGCTTACTGACCTGCCTTTTCTTTCTCGCCTATCGCCCCTCACTGGTGCCCCGCCAGCGTATACCGATAGCGCAGGTGGTGTTACCATTACATTATCATCAATTAAAAAAAAAATCAAAAACACTGTTTAAATTAAATAAAAACAAAAGCTTTTATTAGAAATATTTTAAAAGTATAACATATTTTATAGTTTCCTTTAATTTTTAATGTGAACAATGAAATTGTTTCACCGTATAAATAATTTCGCGGAACCCTAGTGACTTCTATGCGGAACCCACTTTTCACTTCATAACGTCAAAAATCCTTTAATAGTATTTTTTTTTATTGGATGAAAATGGAGTGGTAACCCCGCCTGTGCTAACGGGATACGCTGGCGGAGCACCAGTGAAGGTTGATAGATGAGAATGAAAACAGGCCAGTTAGCGCATCATGATGAATTCATCAGGAATTAACCATGATAGTTTCCAGGGGGAACCGCGAGGAGGTCGACCTGGTTGGATATATTGCTAGCAATGGGATTCTTTGTCTCCATTACTAACAATCCCTTTTCCCCCCAACCTTTAATAGTATTTAACAAGTGACAACCCTACTCCTTATTACGCGTCCACCGCAAACCTAGAGCTCCAGTATTAATTACGACCTTACGACCTTTGGATAAAGGTCAGAATTAATTGGCCACACGCACGGGATTTTTCGCTAATGGAAACATTTTTCAAGGTGCAAAAACAATGTAATTAAGTAGACGGTGTTTTCTATTGGTAACCCTATGGATTTTTTTTATACAACTTAGAATGGCAAACAAGCTGATGGCCCACCTGATGGAAAGTAATAACCGTCGCCTACAGACATGAGCAGTACCGTGGGCATAACAGAGTATACTGTTTCGCCCATGATACCTCCATGCGTTGCCATTCCTGAGGACTCAGGTGTTATTCCTCTGTACCCTGTAAATTCACGCCATATCCCACCCTTCAAACCGAAACAGCCATGCAAACACAACTGCTTCACTGTAGAAATACGAATGGGACAGAGGTATCCAAGCAATCGACTTTTGTACAAAGTCTCCCTCTGGTTTATTTTTCATCATCATCCCAGCCGTTCTCCCCTACTGCTGGACACAGACCTCACCCATAGACTGCCATAAGGAACGGTCCTGAGCCACCTGCATCCACTGACTCCGTGCAATGCATTTGAGGTTAGGGGAGAAAGGAATTATTAGTAATGGGGAGATTAGTCCCCATTGCTATCATTGTGGTTCCCCCTGGAAACCATCCAAACGATGTTGCTCGTCGTGGTAGAAGGGCGTACCTATACGCTAGTGCAATGCCGAGGTTACTCGTCACCGGTCAACAATGTTTGGACCGAGGGGAGAGGGATTGTTAGTAACGGAGGCGTTAATCCTCATTTCTATCAATATACCCTGTCAGGTCGACCTCCACGCGGTTCCCCTTGGAAACCATCGTGATTAATTCTTGTCTGATTCATCACAATGGGCTAACTGACCTAGTTTCATCTTCACCTATCATCCCTCACTGGTGCCCCGTCAGCGAATACCGATAGCACAGACAGGGTTACCATTCCATTATCACTCTTTTTAAAAAAAAAAAGCAACGTTTGGATATGAAAAGATGAGTTAATTCGTTACCACTCAGCAAAGTGGTAATATATTTTTTATTCTAATGTACTACCCGGTTTAACTTACGTGTAATTAGATCGAAAAAGCTCTAGTTTCGGAATCAATTCGGGATCCATAGTCATGAGCGACTATGACGCCAGCGTGAGACTGACAACGTGCTTCGGTCCGCTGAGCGCGAGCTGTAGGCACTTACGGCATCGTCACTTCGCGACATTTTTAGTTCTTCGGATTTTGAAGGGGCGTGCCTTGTTCTCGTGGACAGTCTACTAGCCCTTAGCTCGCTTCTCCGTACGCGTGGATTTTATTAATTTATTTACTTTTTATTGCACCATTTAAAGAATAATACAAAGATAAATATATATTACACTTACGGAATACAAAACGCGGTCTTATCAATTAGCAAAGTTACCATTTATAATGCGTTTAGGGTCTTGTTGGAGAACTCCTGGTTTTGTAGTGCATCGAGAATGTTCGTCGAAGAGCGTGTTGATTGTTTCTATGTTACTATACGAAAGCGGTACACATCTCTGTTGCGTAGGGTCCGGGCCAGCTCTAACACTATCCTAAGGGTATTTGCGAATAGTCCAGACTGCCGGTATTTGAATCATCGTAGTATCATTCACATTCTGGTTAATATACAAAAAAAAAGTAGCAGTCGTATTGGAGACGGTCTCATACGAGTACAAACTAATATTAAAAAAATCCGTGATCACCAACCAAACAGAAAGCCCATCTCCAACTAGATAACAAAAATCATTGCCGTACTATGAAAGTGCTACCAAAATGGTATGAAGATCACAAATCTGGCGTCGATACGGTCTGTCCCGGGGGAGCCGCCCCGCTCCACGGCCTACTACTATGCTGACTTGGAGCGGCTGAAGAAGAAGAATGACCCAATCATACAGGACAACCCCCCGAATACCCAGAACGCGGACGAACAAAGCGAATATGTGGAGTCCAACGAGGTTTTCAACGATGGCGCGGTCAGGGAAGTGCCACCGTTACGGGACAGAGTCAGGCAGTGGAGTCTCCCTGAATATACCACTCCAGAGAACCCGAGGAAGCTACCAGGGGAGACATACTCCACAGCCGGGACCTTTCCTATGCCGGAGCCGAAGGAGAAGGAACCCTTGCTCGCGGAGCTAGAAGTCGTCGGCAGACTGCCTCTGACTCAATTGGAGACGTCTTCAGGAGTAAGGAGGACGAGGAGCTGGTACTTGTGCTGTCCAAATGTAGCTGACGAGGAGATCTCCCGGGAGTCCTCGTGGAGGTACTCCAGTCTGAGGCCCGTGACTGCACCGCCGATGCCCGGACAGAATGGAATATTGGTAGGTTGTGTTGGACTCCATTAATTACAATCCGTTCCCACCTCGGTAGGTTGTGTTAGATCCCATTCCACTCTTTTACCACTCTTCCTATATTGATACGTTAGGATTTGACTGTTGGCTAGCATTATACTCTATGGACTCGAAATTATAAGTCGTCAAGTCGTTGAGTTCCCTTAAATATGATTGAGCGCAATTATGGCTGGCTCATTCGTTATACTCGTGGACGGGTGCTGCTTGTGGGGACTGGTCAGCTCACGTTTGCTTGATTATTTCACATTGAATAATACTGAATTGTAACATATATCAAAACTTGTCACCAGGTGGCGACACAGAGCAGCGACCGAGAAGACGTAACGAGTCTTCGCGCCGAGAGAGACGCCCTCGCGCGGGCGCTGGCCGCCGAACGGCAGAGGGCGGCGGCTGCGGCCAGGGCCCACGACGCGAGGCTGGCGGAGCTGCACGGAGTCATTGCGGAGCTGGTGAGGAGAAGGGCAGCCGACAAGCACGCCAGGGCCATACCCGAGGAGGAAGTGTCAGGTCTGTTAAAGTCACTCGCTTTCTATCGCTTCTAGTGCTCTGAGGAATTGTTCGGATTAATACCTGCTGCTGATTTTCACCACCGTACAACCCGCCATAAACTAAAGTTTCATTCCAACCATCTGGACGAGTGGCGGTCTTCCACCGTGCGTTTTTCAAGGCACTTTCTTCCACGCACAACCACTCTTTGGAATCAACTTCCAGCAGCAGTATTTTCAAATCGACACGACATCATAACCTTCAAGGAAAGAGCATATTCCTTTTTAAAAGGCCGGCAGCACACCTCCAATGCCGTAGGTGTTGTGAATGACCATGGGCAGCGGTTGTCACTTACCATCAGGTGTGTCCCATGCTCGTTTGCTCCCTGTTTTGTAAAAAAAACTCTTTTGTCTCCAATTATCTTTAATTACAAAATAATCACCAAACACCACAAGTCTCGATTCCAGCGCCACCTAGTATTTCGTGTCCAATTTTGTTTAGTGATCAACCACTTTACCTGTATCAGAAGACCACTACATCATATATTGGAGTGTTATTGGAGCCAAAGATCGAAGGGTATTTTTTAATAGGTGAAGATGGAATGATAACCCCGCCTGCGCTATCGGCATACGCTGACGAGGTATCAGTGAAGGATGACAGGTGAGGATGAAGGCCAGTTGGGCCATAGTGACCAATTGAACAAGAATTAACCACTATGGTTTTCAGGGGAACCGCGTGGAGATCGACCTGATAGGATATATTGCTAGCAATGGGACTGTTAAATCTCATTACTAACAATCCCTTTCCCCTAGAGACCTGAGGGTTGTTGCCCCCAGAGTTGAAGCCGGGGTAAAAGGAAATTCCCTATGATCCCTACCAACCTTAACCCAAAGATTGACAACTATTGATTGGTTTACCTTATTTTGCCTGCAGACGAGTGTGAATCCACGACGCAGCCGGCCGGAGAACTGGACAACGACGCGGATAGATCCCGGACCGAACAGGTGTGGCACGTTACCAAGTATAATTAGGAATTTTAAAGTAATATTACAGCAGGGATGGCCAACCGGCCGATCGCGACTATTAGTCCAGTCTATCGTGGCAAGCCAAAAATATAAGATTTTGCTAATCTGGCGAAGGATGCTCGGACGCAGTGCTGCCACTGATATAAAAAGGTAGTTACTAAGAACCTGCTGCTGATTTTCACCATCGTACAACCCGCCATAAACTAAAATTTCATCCCAACCATCTGGACGAGTGGCGGTCTTCCACCGTGCGTTTTTCAAGGCACTTGCTCCCACGCACAACCACTCTTTGGAATCAACTTTCAGCAGCAGTATTTCCGAACCGATACGACAACATAACCTTCAAGAAAAGAGCATATTCCTTTTTAAAAGGCCGGCAGCACACCTGCAATGCCGTTAGTGTTGTGGGCGGCGGTAGTCACTTACCATCAGGTGAGTCGCATGCTCGTTTGCCCCCTGTGTTGTGATTTCAAGAAATATGTATTTGGACCGTACAGGGTTTCGTCAGTAAACAGTAGATTTTGGGTTTACACAAGTCGGCCACCCCTGGTATATAGCCTGTTATTCACTGATAGTGGAGATTTCTATAGGTGTGAGAATTTTTAACACCATACGAGGTCTGTCCGGAAAGTTCGTATAAAAGTGTTCTGGAATGCGAGAAAGAGGAGTGGGGAGGCCAGGTAAGCGCAGGACCCCTTCCTTATGTCCCTAACAATGCTTCAGTTCTGGTCTGACCGCCGTGCGGTGCGAACTAGCTTGTCACGCCATCTGTGAAGTTACCTCTTAACGAAACCCCGTCGGCATGGAGCCCGCTTCCGTTGAAGAGCAGCGCGTCGTAATCAAGTTTCTCTCGAAACTCGGCAAGAATGGCCGTGAAATTTTTGCCGATCTCAGAACAGTTTATGGGGATGATGCTGTGAAGGAACCAACCGTCCACAAGTGGCTAAAAAGATTCAGAGAGGGCCGAGAAAGAGTTCGATGTTCGGGGGATTGTCCATCAAGAATTCGTCCCTCCAGGCCAGACAGTTGATGGAAAATTCTACGTCGATGTGCTCAGACGCCTCAAAGCTCGTGTGGCACGAGTTCGTCCAGAATTGGCGCGAGAGGGGCGTTGGATTCTTCACCACGACAATGCCCCTGCCCACACCTCTCTTGTTGTCCGTGAGTTTTTGAGTAAAAATTCCATTACGGTGACCGAACACCCCCCTATTCGCCGGATTTGGCCCCGTGTGACTTCTTCTTGTTCCCAAAAACCAAATTGGTACTTCGGGGGCGGCATTTGGGGGACATAAATGAGATAAAAAAAGCTACGACGGGGCAGCTGAGAAACCTACAACCAGAGGACTTTCAAGGAGCCTTCTCACAGTGGAAACGGCGTTGGCACAAGTGCATTATGTCACAGGAGGAGTACTTTGAAGGGGATAAAATTGATTTACCTGAATAATTGTAAAATAAAATTTTTAAAAAACTTTTATACGTACTTTCCGGACAAACCTCGTACATAGTATTTTTTTGAGTTTTTTTTATACAACTTAGAATGGCAAACAAGCTGACGGCCCACCTGATGGAAAGTGGTAACCGTCGCCTATAAACATGAGCAGTACCGTGGACATAACAAAGTATACTGTTTCGCCCATGATACCCCCCCCCCCCCCATGCGCTGCTATTCCTGAGGACTCAGATGTTATTCCTCTGTACCCTGTAAATTCACGCCATATCCCATCCTTCAAACAGAAACACAGCCATGCAAACACAACTGATATACGGTTGAAACACGCATGGGATAGAGGTACCCAAGCAAACGACTTTTGTACAAAGTCTGCCTCTGGTATAAAGTATAAGTTTATCCATTACAAACGAAGTGTCTAAATGTCCGTGTGGTCCCGGCATAGAACAAGCCACCCCCTTTTTCTCTTGAGGGTGTCGTAAGAGGCGGTTAAAGGAACTTAATAATAGAGAGACAGGTATCAACTTCTTAAAACATCTCCAAAGCCTGACTGCAATTGCCAAACCGCCTGCCAAGCGTGGCAACTGCTGGCGAAACTTCCCTTATGATCAGCAGTGGATAGTTGAAGCCTAATATGGTATGGTAAATAGATGTTTGTACATTACAGAATGACACATCATCAGCTCTGAGTCCAGCCGAGTTGCCCACGCCGCAGGAGCGGGGAGAACCACGCGAGCTGCCTGATGATACCACGGACACCAGCGAGACGAACAGGTCAGAACAGGGCGCGTGTACTGTGCACCGGTTATACCATTGTTGGATTTTTTATACAACTTAGAATGGCAAACAAGCTGACGGCCCACCTGATGGAAAGCGGTAACCATCGCCTATAGACATGAGCAGTACCATTGACATAACAGAGTATACTGTTTCGCCCATGATACCCCCCCGTGCGTTGCCATTCCTGAGGACTCGGGTGTTATTCCTCTGTACCCTGTAAATTCACGCCATATCCCACCCTTCAAACCGAAACACAGCCATGCAAACACAACTGCTTCACGGTTGAAACACGAATGGGACAGAGGTGTCTAAGCAAACGACTTGTACAATGTCTCCCTCTGGTAAATGAATGGTGGATTTTAACCGTTCGATGTTCTCGAAAGATCTTAACCGTTTTTTTCCGCTAGCTGAACCAACAACTATAGTGCTGCCCCCTACCGCCTTCATTTTTTACACATAACTGGTTTGGACGATAAAAATTCTCCAAATAAGAGAACCATGGATATCATAGAAAGCATTGTAACTCCCATGGTACCTTTTATATGTTTTTTTTTTTAATGGGTGATAATGAAATGGTGACTCCGCCTGCGCTATTGGGATACACCGGCGGGGCACCAGTGAGAGATGACAGGTGAGGATGAAAAGGCAGGTCAGTTAGCCCATCGTGTCGAATTCCACTAGAATTAACCACAACGGTTTCCAGGGGGAACCGCGTGGAGGTCGACCTGATGGTGTATTGTTAGCAATAGGTCAATTAGGCTCCATTACTAACAATATCTTTCCCTCCACCTCTTATATGTTACTATTACTGAGAACTAAGGTAGTTTTTGATGATAATAAAATGGTATACGCTGGTGGGGCACCAGTGAGGGATGATAGGTGAGGATGGAAAGGCAGTACCGTTAATCCATCATGATAAATACAACTAGAATTCAACACGATAGTTTCCGGGTGGATCAGGGAGAGATCGACCTGATAGGGCATGTTGCTAGCAGTAGGACAGACAGTCCGCATTACTAATAACCGCTTCTATCCTAGATTAGTTAGCTAGCTCATCGTAAATACGGCTGGAATCCAGCACGAAGGTTTCCAGGGGAGGTCCATCTGACAGCGTATATTGTTAGCAAGGGGACTGGTAGTGCGCATGACTAACAATCACTCCCCCCTCCCCCCACTCCCCCCTTGCCCCTGAAATAAGGCGTTGTGCCTCTGTACCCTGTAATGTCACTGCTATCTCATGGCATTCTCTTAAACCGAGACAGCCTTGCAAGGACAGCTTTTTAGCAGAAACACGAGAGGAACAGAGGTCTACATCCAAACGTCTTTAATACAAGATCTCTCTCTTATAAAGGGACTGCCTGTGTATCTATCACTCTTAAACAGGCCAGTTGTATGTTCAGGATGGAGCAGCCGCGGGTGGAGGTGTCCCCGCCGACGCAGCCGCCCGCCGACGCCTGCGACACCAGCGTCAACTTGTCCGAACGGGACTCCGACGCCTGCCTCAGCACGGCCAGGTGAGAATCCGCTTCCCTGAGCCCGTCGCCCGAGAGAACAATAGTAGTTCCTGAGTCCTCAGGAATGGCAACGCATGGGGGGTATCATGGGCGAAACAGTATACTCTGTTATGTCCATGGTACTGCTCATGACTATAGGCGACGGTTACCATTTTCCATCAGATGGGCCTGTCAATTTGTTTGCCATTCTAAGTTGTATAAAAAAACCGCAGGGAAACTCGATTTTGGGACCTATTAAGAGGGTTTGATGAATGAAATTTTAATAACCAAGTAATTTTAGACATATTTATTTATTTTACACTTTATTGTACTAAGTAAAAAGAGAAGTACAGTAAATATTATTGGGAAGTGATACAAAAGGCGGCCTTTTCGCTAAGCAATCTCTGCCAGACAACCTATGGGTAGGGGGCATTGAGAAAAAGACATGTGTACATTTAAACAAATACACATAATGTTAACAGAGATTTAAAAAAGCAACTGTTGAGTTTCTCGCGGGCTCTTCTCAACAGGTAACAACCTTCCGAACACTGCAGTAGATTTAACAAGTTAACCTTTTAACAAGTCTATTTAAATAAAGATGATTTAAATTTGCTAACTCTAGCTAAGCTATTGGTCTGGGGGGAAAGGGATTGTTAGTAATGGAGACTGAGAATCCCATTGCTAGCAATATAGCCAACCAGGTCGACCTCGTCGCGGTTCCCGCTGGAAACTATCATGGTTTATTCCTGATGAATTCATCATGATGGGCTAACTGGCCTGTTTTCATTCTCATCTATCACCCTTCACTGGTGCCCCGCCAGCGTATACCGTTAGCGCAGGCGGGGTTACCATACCATTTTCATTCAATAAAAGAGCTATTGGTCTATGCTAGCAGTCCATAACTGGAGTGTATGAGTGATTATTATATATACAGATGTTTGGACAATGAATGTCTGAAAAGTTGGTGTACCGCAGGGCTGGATGTTGGGGCCGGTGTAGTTGTGATGTTGCGTGTGCGCAGGTGGCGGCAGCGCGCGCGGCGCAGCGCCGGCAGCTGCGAGCGCGAGCACGGCTCGCCCGAGGCACAGCTCTTCGCCGCCTCGCCAGGTACCTGGAGCTTCGTATACTTTCAGAAAGGAACAACTCAAATATGGCTGGCAAACAAGCTGACCGCTCACCTGATGCCAAGTGATGGTGATACAAAGGGGAAAGGGATTGTTAGTAATGGGGTCGAATAGCCACATCGCTTCCAAAATACTTTATCAGGTACTTTCCCCCTGGAAACCATTGTGGTTATTGTTCTATTAATGATAATGCAATGGTAACCCCGATTGTGCTAACGGTATACACTGTCTGAGCCACCAGTGAGAGATGATAGATAAGGATGAAAATAAAGATCAGTTAACCCATAGTGGTGAATATACCTGGAGAGGGAGACTTTGTACAAAAGTCGATTGCTTGGGTACCTCTGTCGCATTCGTGTTTCAACCGTGAAGCAGCTGTGTTTGCATGGCTGTGTTTCGGTTTGAAGGGTGGGATATGGCGTGAGTTTACAGGGTACAGAGGGATAACACCTGAGTCCTCAGGAATGGCAACGCATGGGGGTATCATAGGCGAAACAGTATACTCTGTTATGTCCATGGTACTGCTGTCTATAGGCGACGGTCCACTTTCCATCAGGTGGGCCGTCAGCTTGTTTGCCATTCTAAGTCGTATAAAAAAAAATCTGCATGTGTTTATACGCATGTTTTTACAAATAAATAATCTTGAGTCTAAAAAATATATTACTGTTCCTAATATTGGATGATTTGCTTGCACACAGGCCGCTGTGAGGCGAGACAAGCTAAGCTGGCGTCCAGGGTCCGGCTGCGGCGCGCCGGCGACTCGGAGTCCACCGAGCAGCTCGACGACCAGGTTGGGGCGTCTTGTTATTTGGTTTATACACTAGGATCGATTCCCAGCCGCCATTTCTCTAAACTTATGTAAGATTTCAGTTTTGGTATAAAAGCAAGCTCCTGGCCACCACGTAGTTCGGATCTGACTCCGATGGATTTCCTTTGCGGGGCTACCTTAAGGCTAAAGTGTATGATACTTAGCCGCGGGCAATTGATGCCCTAAAAGAAAACGTCCGCAGAGAAGTGGCAAGCACTTCAGCAGCGACGTACCGCGCAGTCGTCGACGATGTTAGAAGTCTTTTGTTAGAGTGCCGTGATCGTAACGGATTACATTTGGAAGATGTTATTTTCGAAAAATAATTCCCGATTTTCAAGCTTTATCTATGTATACTTATAATAAATCTGTAGAGAGGTCAATTCTGTACATGAAATATATTTCTAAAATAACTATCAGCGGGTGATCAGTGATCGATACTGATGCCAAAAATGCAATCAGTAAAATTTTTGCCAGTCTGCCTGTTTGTATGTTCGTTATAGAAACAAAAACTACTCGATAAATTTTAACGAAACTTGGTACAATTATTCTTCATACTCCCGGGCAGGTTATAGTATACTTTTCATCACGCTACGATCAATAGGAGCTGAGCAGTGAAGGGAAATGTGTCTGTTACATCAAAACCACTGAACCTTGAGGCAGGACATAGGCTACTTATTTTACGAGAAACGACGGAAACGCGGACGAAGTCGCGGGCAACAGCTAGTTTGTGAATAAAAATATAATTTATAATGTAATTAGTTTTATTTTTTATTTTATTTTTTCATATTAAAGGACTTACGGGTTATTCTGTAGTAACGAGGTTGATATTAAGTTACTGTGAGCTAAAATCACATATATTATGGTAAATAAAGGAAATAATTGTACAAAATAATAAATAATGAACGTTATGCTTGCTCATTGTTTTATTGCTATTTTATCATCGTTATATCAGTCGTGTGTCCGCTGGTGAATGTAGGTGTCGCCTATACAGCGGTACAAGGCTCCTAGCCGTCTGTGTACAGTGATTGTGCGCGACGTGGTGGTGGATCGTTACGCGCGGTAGTGACGAGGTGGTGGTGTGCGGCAGGCGTGGTGGCACGGCGAGGCGGAGCGGCTGGCGCTGCCCGTGTGCGCGGCCGCGGAGCTGCGCGAGGCGCTGTGTGGCGGCGGCGGCGGCGGCGGCGGCGGCGGCGGCGCGCCGGCCGCGCCGACCGCGGCGCTGGCGGCGTGGCGCGCGCGCTGCCTGCGCCTGCGCGCCGACTGCCGCCTGCTGCGCGCCGCGCTCGCCACCGCGCGCGACACCGCGCACAGGTACGCACGCGCACACGCACGCACGCACGCACGCACGCACGCACGCACGCACAGTACACGCACGCACGCACGCACACACGTACACACACGCACGTACACACACGCACACACACACTCGCATGCACGCACACACGCACGCTCCCATATACAATACACACACTCACTGGCCACTCCTTTTAAATGAATGGCACTTCATTTATACATTTTACTAAATCTAATATATGTATACAGACTGGCATTGCAAGTGGACAGAATCCGTACTAGGATACCTTGTGTTACGATATTCGGCTTTAGCGAAACTAACGAATAGCAATTCATTTTTATGTATGTAGATTTATTTATTAGACACATAAAACAGATCATAAACATAAAAAAACATAAATAATAGTTTTTTTTTTAATTATTATTATTATTTTAAGGGCTTTTCTTACCTTCAGGTATATCAGCCCTATCGTACCCTGAACTGATTTCTCAAACAAAACTTTATCTACTCTCCCTAGACGCGGAGAGAGAAGAGTTAATGGGTATCGATAATTTACAGAGATGTTCGAAAATTTCTGGTTTAAGTTCGTAAACAGCAATTATTTCATTTTTAAGTTATACAACCACTTTATTATTTTTGTATGAAACGTTGTTTTGACAATTGATGTAAAATTAAAAATAATATTAAAATTGTCTAATATGGGAAAAATGCAGACTTTTATTGAAATGATGATTTTAATTTAATATAAATAAAAATACGTTCACAGCATATACAAAAAGGTCCTTCGAGCCGGATTTAACCGAACCTGCGACTTATTGATATACAGTCCACTTCATGGCATACACAATAATTAGGTTAGCAAAACGGCTAGATTGCAATCTAATTACATTATGTGCACAGCTTGAGTAATTCATGTAAACGCAAGCACATATAAAAAAAAATACATAAAATGCTACGCACCAAGAATTTTTAATTACCATAAAACACACTTCTTTTCCATTTTACAACTCCCGATTACCTCAAACTATGCTTTGAGTTTCATGTCTTCTACTATAGATATATCGAAGTATTGAAGTGTATGTACATTAAGACTACGATGTCTATCCGAATATAGAACCGGAGTACGAAACCCATCCCAGTGCAGAAAGGTGTAAGACAGGGTGACCTCATACCCCCGAAACTTTACAGCTGCACTGGAAGATGTTTTCAAACTGTTGGACTGGAAAAGATATGATATAAACATCAATGGCGAATGCACCACTCGCCTTCGATTTGCCGATGACATAGTAATTATGGCGGAATCCCTGGATGGTCTGAATAGTATGCTCAATGACCTCAATGGTGTTTCTCAACAGATAGGTCTTAAGATTAACATGGACAAGACTAAGATCACGTCTAACGTCCATGTCATTGAGAACACTACGCTCGAAGTTGTCGATGAATATGTATACCTGGGACAAGTTGTCCCAATAGGTAAGTCCAACTTTGACCGAGAGGTCAACCGACGGATCCAACTCGGCTGGGCAGCGTTCGGGAAACTACGTCATATTGTTTCATCCAAAATACCTTAGAATTTGAAGACAAAGGTCTTAAACCAGTGCGTGTTGCCAGTGATGACTTACGGAACCGAAACGTGGATCTACACGATTGCCCGTATGTAAAAACTATAAGTTACTCAGCGGGCTATGCAGAGGGCCATGCTCGTAATCTCTTTGCGTGATAGAATCCCAAACGACCATATCAGCAAAAGAACCAAAATAACCGACATAGCCCGAAGGATAAGCAAGCTGAAGTGGCAATGGGCTGGTCACTCAAAGCTAGCGAGAAGGGAGCAACCAAAACGTCAGCTCTTACTAATGGACTGTGGTGTGGGCACGAGGGCGTCATAGTGGCTTGAACCTCGACTCTTGCCACCGCTTCGACCCCCGTCAAGGAATGGGGATCGATCGATCGTTGACGGTGGGAGACGAACCGACGATTGAAATGCGTTCGGGCAGATAATCTAACGCTCGCAATGACGCAGGCGAGATGCGTTCGGGCAGATAACTGCCCGCGCGAGGATGCGAATTGGGTGTGTAGGATCTTCGTCCCCGCCGGCGGGGACGGTGTGTGCTATGTGTAGGAGTGTTCGGGGAGGGACGGGATCGCCAGTGGTAGGGGATCGTCGGGGTCAATGAGTGCGTGCCTTGAGGGACGATGTCGAAACGTAACGTTTTCTTTTGAGGTGTACAAATCCGCTTTTTCTATGAGCGGGTTCGGATGCGATTCGGCCGAAGCAAAGTAGCATTTAAAAGCTATCTTCATTCTAATCGCGGGGATCTTGAAATCGCGGTGACAGGCGAGGGTAATCTTTTTCAATAGTGAGAAGTGAAAGGAGTATAAAGTAATGTGCGCGGTGTGCGGCAGGCTGTACAGCGCGTGCGCGGTGCAGGAGTCGTCGTGCGTGGCGCTGTGCGGCGCGCTGCTGGCCGCCGACCGCGCGCTCGAGGCCTACGACGTGCTGCTGGCGCTCGCCGAGACCGCCGCCCGGCCCGGCCCGCAGGTACACGCCCAGCGGCCGCCGCCCGCCGCCCGCCGCCCGCCGCCCGCCGCCGACCGCGCGCTCGAGGCCTACGACGTGCTGCTGGCGCTCGCCGAGACCGCCGCCCGGCCCGGCCCGCAGGTACACGCCCAGCGGCCGCCGCCCGCCGCCCGCCGCCCGCCGCCCGCCGCCCGCCGCCGACCGCGCGCTCGAGGCCTACGACGTGCTGCTGGCGCTCGCCGAGACCGCCGCCCGGCCCGGCCCGCAGGTACACGCCCAGCGGCCGCCGCCCGCCGCCCGCCGCCCGCCGCCCGCCGCCGACCGCGCGCTCGAGGCCTACGACGTGCTGCTGGCGCTCGCCGAGACCGCCGCCCGGCCCGGCCCGCAGGTCCACGCCCAGCGGCCGCCGCCCGCCGCCCGCCGCCCGCCGCCCGCCGCCGACCGCGCGCTCGAGGCCTACGACGTGCTGCTGGCGCTCGCCGAGACCGCCGCCCGGCCCGGCCCGCAGGTACACGCCCAGCGGCCGCCGCCGCCCCGCCCGCCGCCCGCCGCCCGCCGACCGCGCGCTCGAGGCCTACGACGTGCTGCTGGCGCTCGCCGAGACCGCCGCCCGGCCCGGCCCGCAGGTACACGCCCAGCGGCCGCCGCCCGCCGCCCGCCGCCCGCCGCCCGCCGCCGACCGCGCGCTCGAGGCCTACGACGTGCTGCTGGCGCTCGCCGAGACCGCCGCCCGGCCCGGCCCGCAGGTACACGCCCAGCGGCCGCCGCCCGCCGCCCGCCGCCCGCCGCCCGCCGCCCGCCGCCGACCGCGCGCTCGAGGCCTACGACGTGCTGCTGGCGCTGATTATTTTAGAGTTTACATCCCAACGATTTTGAGCCTCTCGTAAGTATATAAGTCGTTTAATTTCAGCCCATAAAAAAGTCACAAGCTGTGAGGTCTGGTGAACGAGGCGGCCATGGAACCGGAACCCCACGACCTAATAAGGTATTACCAAATTATCAGCATTCCCTTTAAGGGGATATAGTATTACGCATATACGTTACGATTATTTATTTATTTATTTCTGAGGTACATCATCTGTCGATTGATTACAAATAAAACTTTAAACAATAGAATTGTAAATTTACAATAATGATACAATTTCGTGTCTCAAATATCATAAAATTTTTCATACAAGAAAAAAACGACGTTGCCACTTTAATCACAGCTGTAATGGTATGTAAGTAAGTCTAGAGGTCAATGCAGCCTTAAGAATGGCACTATCCACTAGTAAATTAAAAAATGCATTTAATCCAATAACTATGTTTCATCATGGGGACATTTACCTGTAATCAATTGCATCGTTCGGGCTCTAATTTCAATGGCGCGTCCAGGACACAGTCCAACGGACCACAGAATTTTTAAACTACAGAGTAGATACGTATCTGATGTCGACGCGTTGTTTCTGTTTTCGTAATTACGCGTAAATCTAGCCATCTTCCGTGTGCAACAGTGTGTTTCTACCATAAAGCAGCTGTGTTTTCATGGCTGTGTTTCGGTTTGAAGGGTGGAATATGGCGTTTATTTACAGGGTACAGAGGAATAACACCCGAGTCCTCAGGAATGGCAACGCATGGGGGGTATCATGGGCGAAACAGTATACTCTGTTATGTCCATGGTACTGCTCACGTCTGTAGACGACGGTTACCACTTTCCATCAGGTGGACCGTCAGCTTGATTGCTTTGCAGTTAAAGTTAAGTTAGAGTTGGAACCCAGTGTTAAATCATTTTTTTAATTTTGTGTGTATGGTGTGCGCAGCGCGAGGCGGCGGAACTGGTGGCGCGGCAGCTGCTGCAGCGGCTGGACAGCGACCAGCCCGCCGCCGTCGGCGAGCCGCTGCTGTCGCCCGGGCCCTGGCTGCAGCACGACGCGCAGTCAGTACCACGTATATCATATTTACTTGTGTTGTCTCGTCTCGAGGGTTGTAGCCCAGTAGCAGTGTAGGGGGGGGGGGGGATTGGTAATGATGCGTACTACCAGAACCATTGCTGGCAATATACACTGTCAGGTCTCTGAAAACCATCGTGCTGAATTCCAGGTGTATTCGTCACGATGTGCTAATTGACCTACCTTTTCATTCTTACCTATCACCCCTCACTGGTGCTCCGCCAGCGTATACCGTTAGCTCAGGCGGGGCTATCATTCCATTATCATCTATTAAAAAAATTACCTTATGCTTTTTTAGGAGATAAAGCGTCTACCATCATACAGTTCCCCATCGACAGGGAGTTCTCCCCTATACCTTAGAGCCTTGACGGTCGCGTACAATGCGGTTTCAGAGATGCTTCCTTCCATAAACATTCAGGCTATGGAATGAACTCCCTGTCTTTTTTTAAAAGACTTCAGCATAAGGTTCTTCATAAAAGGAGTAAAGAGGTTTCTTCAGGGTCGGCAACGCGCGCGTAATACCGCTAGTATTGCAAGTGTTCATAGGCTATGGTAACCGCTTACCATCAGGTGGGCCGTATGCTTGTATGCCATCTCAGTGGTATAAAGAAAAAGTATGGGATGATCGTGATATTTTGTCATTTCTCGACGCAATATTTCTTTGAGCAAATATTCAGATGTCTGACTTGAACATGAGCTGTACAGTTGGCACAGTGTGGTACACTCGATGGGCGACTCCGAACACACTAGACTCACTCTATAATCTATGTAATCTACGCAACTCACCTAGATATTTTTGTGTGTGTGTGTGTGTGTGTGTGTGTGTGTGTGTGTGTGTGTGTGTGTGTGTGTGTGTGTGTGTGTGTGTGTGTGTGTGTGTGTGTGTGTGTGTGTGTGTGTATATCACATATATATATTATAATTAATTAAATAAGTTTTAAAATAACTTACCAACAACCAAAAAAAAATATTCTTTATTTCAATGGTGACTGTGTAATTTGGTGTATATTTGTGTAACTTTTGCCAATTCGAACTCAAAGGATATAATAATAATATAATATAAAAAAACTCTATTTTCCTTAAACAAAGCCAATGGTACAATATAACTATGACCCCACACTAAGCAAAGCCTGTCTCGTGCAAGTCAAAGCTTGAAATTATTAACAATTATGGTGCGGCGAACAGGGTTACTTTAAATATGTGTGTCTGTATGGGCGTGTGCGTGGGCGTGTCTGTATGGGCGTGTGCGTGGGCATGTTTGTATGGGCGTGTCTGAATGGGCATGTGCGTGGGCGTGTCTGTATGGGCGTGTGCGTGGGCATGTTTGTATGAGCGTGTGCGTGGGCATGTTTGTATGGGCGTGTGCGTGGGCGTGTCTGTATGGGCGTGTGCGTGGGCGTGTCTGTATGGGCGTGTGCGTGGGCGTGTCTGTATGGGCGTGTGCGTGTGAGTGCGTGCGTGCGTGCGTGCGTGCGTGCGTACGTGGCGTGTGGGTATGTGTACATGTGAAGGTCGTACACTTGTAGTACATGATCCGTGACACAGGGCCGTCCCTGCCACTGGCCCCTGGTCGGCGGCGGAGGAGGCGCGGCTGCGCGCGCACGCGGCGGCGCTCAAGGCGCGCACGGCGGCGCTGCGCGCGCACCACCCGCCGCCGCGCCTCTACTCCTACCACGGTACGTGCACGCGCTACATTCACACGCTTCCCAGCGAACACTCCAACATTACCTCCCCTCTGACTGACTGGTTCCTCATTTCACAAATGCCATTCTTTATTTATGTACATAGATAGATAACCTTTGTTACCAGTATTAAGACTTTGTACAAAAGTCGATTGCTTGGGTACCTCTGTCCCATTCGTGTCTCAATTGTAAAGCAGTTGTGTTTAGGTTTGAAGGGTGGGTTATGGCGTGAATTTACTGGGTACAGAGGAATAACACCTGAGTCCTCTGAAATGACAACGCATGGGGAGTATCATGGGCGAAACAGTATACTCTGTTATGTCCACGGTACTGCTCATATCTATAGGCGACGGTTACCACTTTCCATCAGGTGAGCCGTAAACTTGTTTGCCATTTTAAATTGTATAAAAAAAACCCAACCCCAAGTATGTATTAAGGTTCCTTCAAGATCAGCAACGCGCACGTGACACCGCTAGTATTGCAAGCGTCTATTCACTACAGGGACCGTTTACCATCAGACAGGCTGTATGCTTGATTGCCACATTCGTGGTATACGACTGACTAATTAATCTTGATAGGATTTCTTCCAGTCCTTGAGAACCCGAAAGGAGAAAGGTATTTTTAGAGTTTGCACCTAATAAAATGCAAACGGTTTTGTTTCCAGACATCGACGAAGCGGACATACCAAAGGCGGTGGACACGTTCAGCATGGACGAGATAGAAGAGGCCGTCATGATGCAGGTCAGACATCCTTACATAGTCGTACAGTTACCACGGCTTCTAGACAAGTGGCCAGCGAATTCGTCGATGGAATCGACACCGCTGGCGAGTCTGTGAGTTGGAATGAGACATCTAACGTTGCTATCTCACTCTATCTCACGAACTCGCTAGCGATGTCGATTCCATCGATGAATTCGCTTGCCACTTGTCTAGAGGGCCAAAATAGTACTTTTTTTTATAATGGATGATAATGTAATGGCAACTCCGCCTGCGCTATCGGTATACACCGGCGGGGCACCAGTGAGGGGTGATAGGTGAGGATGAAGCAGGTCAGTTAGCACACCGTGACGAATCTACGAGGTCGACCTGACAGGGCATATTGCTAGCAATGGAGCTATCAAACTCCGTTGCTAACAATCCCTTTCCCCCCGCCAGAACAGTACTTGTCGAAATTAGCAAGAGAGAGCATAGAAAAACCATGGAGACTGAAATTCTCTATCAACCCTCTTCAAAAGGAAGTTGTCAGTACGGTTGTATTTTTTCTTTTCTGATAGGATATATTAGGGATGGGTTGCAGTGTCCCTCTTAAAACATGATAAAAGCCTAACTGTGGTTGCTAATCCGCCTGCCAAGCGTGGCAACTATTGACAAAACCTTTCAATAGGAGCAAGCCTATGTTAAACAGTGAACACTTAATAGCTGATTTGGATGTATGTATGTACTTTTCCGTTAGCATCCTTCTTTTTATACAACTTAGAATGGCAAACAAGCTGACGGCCCACCTGATGGGATATGGTAACCGTCGCCTATAGACATGAGCAGTACCATGGACATAACAGAGTATACTGTTTCGCCCATGATACCCCCCATGCGTTGCCATTCCTGAGGACTCAGGTGTTATTCCTCTGTACCCAGTAAATTCACGCCATATCCCACTCTTCAAACCGAAACACAGCCATGCAAACACAACTGCTTCACGGTTGAAACACGAACGGGACAGAGGTACCCAAGCAATCGACTTTTGTACAAAGTCTCCCTCTGGTAGATATAGTATCCTCTCATTGCACTTGTAGGGGCTAGTGTTGTCATAACTGGCGAGGTTGTGGTAACGATTGTCCTTTACGCCAGGAGGTGCTGGCGGCGCGCGAGAAGATCGCATGCGCCCGCGCAGGCGGCGAGCTGCTGGAGCCGCTGTCGCCGCACGAGCACGAGCGGCGCGACGACGACCGGGAGGTGTACAAAGAATACAAGGTGATTATACCTCGAAACAGACGACTAAGGGAACTTAATGGACAAGGAATGGGCAGCGGCATCCTTTTTGAAACATTACCAAAGCCTAACAGCGGTTGCCAACCCGCTTGCCGAGCGTGGTAACTACTAGCAGAACCCCCCAAGAGGGAGGTCTGTGTTCTGCAGTGGACAGGCTGGTACGAACTGTGACGTCTATAGTACCCCAAGACAAGTCTAAAGGCACGCCAGTTATAAATATAATAACTCGTACTAGTGTCGCCCTCTCGTGACAGTTTCTATACAGTCTTAATTATTGTTACTTTACAGAGCGAGTCAAGCCGTCGGCGGCGTCGCGAACGACACTGGCTGGAAACAGAAGCGTCAGAGACAGACCTCTAGGAGATATTAATGAAAGCGTAAGCGAGAAATTGTCTGGGTACTGAAATATCCTGCAGTGGATCCGTAAGCTCTTTGTCCAGAAATCTCAGAGGAGCATCTGTAGGGTTCTCAATCTCTAGGGTACTCGGCGAAAAAGTGTTAATTTTCCTGAGTAAGGAATCTCAATGAGAAATGTTTTGTTTAAAGCGATAGCTCTAGGGTTCTGTTGAAGAAATTACTAGGGTCCCCATTGAGTAACCGTCGATGTATTCAACAAGATATTATCAAGTTCTTTATCAAGGAATCTCAGTTAAAAAATATCATAATTCTCACACTTATCTTTCTAGGGTTCTTAAAAAAAATAGGTTTCTCAGCCATAAACAACAAAAAAACTGTAAGTTATCAAGGTATATCAGTGAGAAATAGCTACAATCCTCAGAGGGTATGATATCTCTAGGGTTATGATTAAGAAAATACTAGGGTTACTATTGAGAAAATGCAGGAGCTCTTAGAAAGGAATCTTTAACGAATCTTTATCTAGAAAAAAAGGGTCCTTTACGAGAAATATCTGGGGTTCTCATCGAGAAAAATCACTCCAGTATAATAATAAAAAAAATATGTTATATATTGACTAACAAAAATAGCTTTACTTAAATATCGACTAAAAACATGTTAGTTCTAGCGGTATATCCTCGGAGATCGCTTGTTGTAAATGCAAACCAAATCATAGTGTACTATAGTGTATAATAGATTATTCATAATTCGGTTACAAATTAGTTTGCATATAAATAGAGGTATTCGCCTCGTATCCTTCCATCTGCTAGTCTACTCTCCTTAATAGGAAATCCCTAGGGTCCTTGTCAAGAAAATTCAAGAAACTCAGTGAAAAATACCTTGGAATCATCAGAGCGATACCTGTTGGGTTCTCACTAAGCAGCAATTAGGGTACTCAGTGAGAAAATATTGGGGTCCTCGCCAAGAAAACCTCAGGGTACTTATCAAGGAATCTCATTGGACGCTCACATCTTGTTCTTTCCACATATCCTTAAGCTGTATCTTAATTGATTAAGTTCTGAATATAGTCTATTCGTTAAAGCTGTCGTTTCGTGTTGAGACACTGTATAGTTTATGGCAATTACTCGTGTTAAGGTTGCGGGGCCGTACTCAGGGGACGTCGGGGGCCGATTATAATAATTTGCCGTAAATATTTGGCACAAAATCTGCTGTGCTCGTATACTTACGCCTTAAATTTGCTTCTTGTTTAATGTGACTGGTGTTACAGACGGTTAGGGCAACCGGTTACCATTCGGCGGGCCGTATGGTGACTTATAGTAGTACAAAACAGTTTAAATCAACAATGCAAGTGTTAGTGAAAATTTGCAATTTAAAATGTTGAATTAAAATATATGGCTGTCCCCGCGCCCGCGGCCGCCCTGAGTGCGTCCCGCTCGTATCGTAGGCCGCTTGTTAGTCGCGAAAAGCGAATCCCTCCCCCGATTTCTAATTTTGCATTTACCAATTGCATTTTATTGTTGATAAATGATATTTCATATAATATTTTAAATTGTAAAAAAATATTAAAAAATTTTATTATGGTGCTTTTTATTTAGCGATAGGGTTTTATTTTGTTTTGGTCTCTTATTATTAAAAATTTGGTTTTTTTTCTGTAAAAAATTAAATTTATTTTGAAGTGTTTGAGACATTTTATCTATGTTTTGTAAAAGACAGGAGTTAACGCGATCATTCGATTAATAGTTAGCTATTTAGTTAATTATTTATTTTGAGGTTTCGACCAGATTACACCGGCCGTGTAGAACATAAAATGTACAGCGCGAAGGTCCAAAAGTTTTATTTATTTTCCTTTAAAATTGTACAATGTTTTAGAGTCATACTTTAAAATGTTCCGATATCGTATTAGCATTTACAAATACATACAGAGTGACACTGAAATCTGGTCCCAAATTGGACATTTTTGGGCAGAAACATGGCTCAAGTAATGACATAACAATTAGTCGATAATTTTTTATTAAAAAAAAAAAAAAAATTGTACTTTTTTTAATTATTTTTTTTTTACGTTTTGTCTATGATTTTTAATTTTTTTTTTAATTTATAGTACCTTATTCATTGTTTTATTAATAATTATATTTTTACAATGCTGACTGTCGCTGTCGTATTGTGTTGTACGATCCGACGACTTGTATGGCGTGTACTGTAAATGTATGTAAATTGTGTATGTATGTACATGTGCTTGTGTGTGTGAGGGGCGAGGGCGAGGGGGAGGGGGGGCTGGTGCTGTAACGCGTATTGTAATTATCGAAATAAAGTATTGCATCTAATATTTGAATGGTTTTATTTAAATAGAATCGGTACTAGTGTTAAATATCCCACTATAATATGTCCATTGTGTACATACAAAATTTTTTTTTTTTTTGATGGGTGAAAATGGTATGGTAACCCCGCCTGCGCTAACGGGATACGCTGGCGGAGCACCAGTGAAGGGTGATAGATGAGAATGAAAACAGGCCAGTTAGCCCATCATGATGAATTCATAAGGAATTAACCATGATAGTTTCCAGGGGCAACCGCGAGGAGGTCGACCTGGTTGGGTATATTGCTAGCAATGGGATTCTCAGTCTCCATTACTAACAATCCCTTTCCCCCCTACATACAAACATTGTGCGATTGTTGCACTGAGGTAGCTAGAGGTCACCAGTTTGAATCGATATGTGGACTGTATGTATATATGGATTGAATGGGTGTAGGTCCTCGTCCAGATTAGTAATATAAGCTCCACCAACCTTAAGGCTCACGTTCACCACGGATGTACGAAGCACTGCTGGTAAACACGCACGGCGATCCACTACCAGTTTGGAGTAGCAGCCTCTCAATGATGGACAGGAGAACACTTATTTGTACCGAACACGTCAAGCACGGCTTCCGGAAGGCTATCAGTTTGACTTGAACATCAGCTTCACTTGAATTAGTGGAGGAGGCGCTCACGGGCGCTCTGCCAGGCGTCCACCGAACAAGTGTCAACGCAATATCCATATATATATATATGTATATATATAGAGCGTTGTTTAGTTCAATTATTTAGATAAAATAAGTAGATAATAATACTGGCGACTGAGAAAGGCACGCGTTGCCATGGTGACCAAAAAATAATAGAAAATGTTAATTCTCATTAAAAATATTCGTCTACCAGGACAACACTTTTTATTCATCACAAAATCATTTTTTTTATACAACTTAGAATGGTAAACAAGCTGACGGCCCACCTGATGGAAAGTGGTAACCGTCGCCTATAGACATGAGCAGTACCGTGGACATAACAGAGTATACTGTTTCAGCCATGATACCATGTGTTGCCATACCTGAGGACTTACGACTGATGTGTTATTCCTCTATACCCTGTAAATTCACTGCCATATCCCACCCTTCAAACCGAAACACAGCCATGCAAACACAACTGCTTCACGGTAGAAACACGAATGGGACAGAGGTACCCAAGCAATCGACTTTTGTACAGTCTCCCTCTAATAAAATAAATGGAGTAGTATCTCAAAATCCTTATCAGGATTGATCAACTAGAAAGCTACTGTACAGACGGGGCTGGAATATCCAGTAGGCGCAGTGTAGGCAACTGCCTAGCAGTCCGCTGGGCTAGGACCCCGCACATCGCTAATTTTTATTTTCAGCATATTTTTTAATAAAAATAACATGTCATAATTCATACGCACAACGGCCCAAATAAGAGGCTAAGCTTGAAAAAGGGAGTCCAACCTACAACATGTCAACATTTGTACAAATAAAATGTATATAAAATTAATGAAAACATCGTTGTTTTTTTTATATTTCATCATATTTGAATATATTTCGTAATATTTCTAGTTCTATACATAGTATATATATATATATATATATAAATGAGACGCGCATTGCGTTGTGGCCCTGGCATGGCTAATCCGGCCCTGTGTACTGCATGGGTACCTCTATTCCACTCGTATTTCTTCCAAAAAGCAGCTATGCTTGCATGGCTACGTTTTGATTTAAAGAGCAAATAAAGTCCTCAGGAATGGCAAATCATGGGCGAAATAGTATACTCTGTTATGTCGATGCAATGAAATCTAACAAATACCCTTACCTTAACGTTAATTCTAGCGGAATTCCTCACGATGATCTAACTGACCTGCCTTTTCATTTTTACCAATCATCCCTCACTGGTACCCCCTCAGTGTACCGTTAGCGCAGGCGGGGTTACCATTCTATTATCATCCATTAAAAAAAAAGCAACTCCGAGCATACCCCTCTTCACAGCTGAAGTATTCGAACATTCAGGTTTTGGAATCGGCTCCCTGCCAAGAGACTACAGCATGGGGTTCTTCAAAAGGGGGATAAAGAGGTTTCTTCAGGGTCGGCAATGCATGTGTTAGATATTTATTTTAAATTATATTAATTTTCTTAAACATCTTGTGTTAAAATGTGTACCTACATTTATTAATAAAAATCAGACTAACTACTTTAAATATAATAAAACGTTAAAATTGTTATTATACCAAATTTGTTAATAAATTATTCTTGTAATGTATATAGAACACTAATTTATATTTTAATTGATTTTATAATTATTTATTGTCATGATACTTGAATAAAAAGTAATGAAATTGTAAGAACACGTGGTCTCGCTGACTTGTTCACTCGAATTCGGTTCTGTAGATATAAAAGATTGTTATTCGGGTGGGGAGACACTTCTTGTCCAACCGTTGAACAGAGCGGAGCTCCCTGACGTATCAAGAGTGAACAAGTATAGTAAACCACGTGGTTATTGTATAAAATATATCACAATTATTGTTGATGAAAGTCCTAAAGAAGCTATAGTTAAATAAGTGTGAATGGATTAACAGAAGTTGGGTATTTATATTATATTATTTGTTATATATCAAATACAAAGTAAAATAAGTAAATATACAATTTAATAGTATGATATCTAAATTAAATGAACTGTGAGAACTTGTGCTTCATTTCTATTTATTACCAAGAGCTTTACAACCTTTGTATTGCTAAATAATATATCATATACCGTGTAAAGTTACAATTACGTAATTAAATTACTTTATAAATCTATTACCCTACAGTTATTTAATATTTAATTTTGACACGCGCGTTATACCTCTGGTATTGCAGGCGTTCATAGGCTACGGTAACCGCTTACCATCAGGTGGGACGTATGCTCGTTTGCCACCTCAGTGGTATAAAAAAATCCCTGCAGGACCATGTTTCGATACAAATGAAATACAGTATGTGAATAAATATTTTATTTATACATAATAAATTTTGTAACAACGAGCGCGGCGCCCGCGGCGGCGCCGCCTGCGCACGCGCACACACCCACAAGCCGCGTACTCGGTATACATCGCGTGCGGTGGAACGTCCACACTACTCGAATATGACAATCGAAACTTAGTGAACTTAAAAAAAAAACATGTCATCAATATTTTAAATTTATATTTAAGTAGATACAAGTGTCCATTAAGTAGTAAAGGTTTACGTGGGAGCTCACACGAGGTAGAACAAGACGGCGAACGTTGCCGTCTCGCTCTATCAACACGCAACAGGGACCACGTATATATAGATACATAAATGCTATTAAATCGACTATTGTTGCCTCACTGTGATATTTTCTTGTAATTGTTTGTATTTATAATAAGTTTACTATTGTAACCTTATGGAATGAATTGAAATTATTTTGTTTAATTCCGCCACCATTAAACGACTGTCAACATTTGAGGGTTGACCATTTTTATACCACAAAAATGGTCAAGCATACAGCCCGTCTGATCGTAAACGGTCACTGTAGCCTATGGACGCCTGCAACACTAGGCGTGTCACGTGCACGTTGCCGACCTTGAAGGAACCTTAATATAACCTTCAACATTAATCTCTGACCGTTATTCAGTCGACGCATATATCGCGACACGTGTTACACCTTTAAAGGTATTTATTGCCTCGTTTAGAGGTGGAACTCGTTTTTTGTGTTTGAAAAATGATAGGAAAGGTCGTAGAACTTCTACAGATAATAATAGTAATCAATCCTTAAGTGTTGCCAGTCGCACGCGCACTAATCGTAACGGAATTAAACAAAATATTTTTTTTATACAACTTAGAATGGCAAACAAGCTGACGGCCCACCTGATGGAAAGTGGTAACCGTCGCCTATAGACATGAGCAGTACTATGGACATAACAGAGTATACTGTTTCGCCCATGATACCCCCCCGTGCGTTGCCATTCCTGAGGACTCGGGTGTTATTCCTCTGTACCCAGTAAATTCACGCCATTAAAATAATTCTAATCAAATAACCAGGAGGGAAAGGGATTGTTAGCAATGGAGTTTGACAGCCCCATTGCTAGCAATATGCCTTATTAGATCAACTTCCACGTGGTTCCCCCTGGAAACCATTGTGAACAATTCTTGTTGAATTCGTCACGATGGGCTAACTGACCTGCTTCATCCTCACATATCATCCCTCACTGGTGCCCCGCCGGTGTACACCGTTACTGCGGGTGGGGTTACCATTACATTATCACCCATTAAAAAAAAAATAATCAAATAACCAGTGATATGGACTCCAGTAAACAAAAAAAAAAAAACAATTAATTAAGTAAATAATTAATATGTGATTTAATTAATTCGAAAGATATATTATTTTAAGTAGTGTCGATTGTATGTATGTATGTATGTATAACAAATACGCAGCTTGTTACAGAAACGTCTAAACACAACGCGAGATGCGACGCCGGCTGGAACGTTCGCGTTATTTCATTAAACAATATCGATCAACTCTCGTTTACTGTGCTACTATTTAATTTGACATGTAACTATTCTTGCTAGATACAAATAAATAAAATCTATACAAAGGTAAGGCGGGACACAGATACAGCTTTGACTTTACATGTATAGTTTTTTAAAACAATTAGGAATAAATATTGTATGAAATAAACAAAAAACTTGATAAAAAAAAACCTGTTTTGATTTAATAAAACTAAACCAGTGAAGCCATTTTGATAAAATTCCTATGAGGTCTGTATGACCTCTGTAGTATATATATAAAAACATATTTTTTTCAATTAAAAACATATTTTTTCAATTAAAAACATATTTTTTCAAATAAAAACAATCGCATTTTTCAAATCAGTTTAAAACTGACCTAGTTATGAGGTAACAAGTATTAAAAAAAAATACAATCTTACTTGAGAACCTCTTTCTTTTCCAAATCGGTTGAAAACACAAAATTTATGCGTTCAGTTCGAGTAGTGATAACAAAACTCAAGATGCACGCAACGGAATACATTTTGTCAGTTTCTACTATAAAAAAAAATACTGAGATTTTCAAAATGGCGGTCAAGACCATCCTTAGCTGTCAAATTTCGTTGAATTGGTCTACTGGTGAGAACTTATAAGTGGCTTCATTGTGGTTATCTTGCATTTTTTTTTATAAATACGCCTTGGTTTGCCTTTTACAAATAAATAAATAACTTTCACAACGTTGCAACGTTCATGAACAATTTAATGTTTCCGATTGTTTTTTAAAAAGTTCCTCTTCTGAATGTCCGCTATCAAAATCCAAATTTACAATTATATATATATATATATATATATATATATATATATATATATATATATATATATATATATATATATATATATATATATATATATATATATATATATAAAGAATATTACTTCGTTATTAACAATTTATTTCGTTACCGGAACACTTTTTAAACAATCCGAAATCTCGAAAACATTTCAATTGTTTTTGAAAATTGACAGCCAGTAGTGACGTTGCTGCACTCCGTTATGAACGCACCGCTTATAAAAATTACGTTTCATGCGACCTCATAGGTTATGGTTTGTCAATTGTCTATGGTTCTAGTGATTTGCTACACGCACCATGCTTTATTTCCAACCGGTCGCCGCCGCAGATAACAAAATTCAACAGATAAAAATTCTGAACCATTAAAAATCAATATACAAGCGCGCCCCGCGGCCGCTCCTCCAATACTTTACACACTAGGATCGTCTTATTGGAAATCGCCGAATGTGGTTTGTTTTTTTTTTTTTGAATGAGCAATGGAATTCGATGCATTCGACCGATGTTCGATTTTTAAAAAATATTAAAATAAAATCATGTATTAATGCTAATTGAAATAACTTCGAATCCATTATTTCCTTTTTAAATTACTAGCAGAGTTGCTACCAGTGTGGCATACCAGCCCTGTCCGTCCAACCACTAAATTCATATTATATAATTATTTTTATTTACAAACGACAGACATGGCAGTATAGGTGGAATTCCTTTGCCTTAACGTTATATTAATAGAAAAATCGTACACACTCGATGATTTTCAATAAATTTTATTACATAATTATTTCTTGTATATCCGTACATGTTTACTTAAAATTTATAATTATTATGTATTGGTTTTAATGCGACGCGTGTGCGGTCAGCCGGCCGGGACTAGACTGAAATGCTTGACAGATAAAATGGCGGGAAACGTAAAATAATCTCTGTCAACTTTGACGTAAGTTCATAAAGGCGCGAAAACATATTTCGACAAATTAATCAAATTAATTTTACATGTATATATTTGAGCATTTATTTATAAATAAAGACAATTTCAAGACTTATATACATATTTAAAAATAATATTTCATTATTGTTCAGACATTTTTAATAATTATTTGCTTATATTAATTAATTACAATAATTATAACGATTAAAACTTTAAATACTAATAAATTATTGATAAAATTGGAAATGCATCTATTTTATTTGATAAACGTAAATTGCCCACCGTCTTTAGATTAGCAAATGAAAGTGCGTTTTTTTTTTAATTCAGAGAGGCGCTGTGAGTCAAAGGAAATCAAAGAATTAAATGCTACAAGAAATAGTTTCGTCGTAAAATTCTAACTTCGCTTATGTATTTTCCCCCAGTTTTCACATTGGACTTTTATTCGAAGACTAGCTGTATCCTGATACTTCGCCCATGTGAATCATACATAAAAAAATTCTGTATGTGCTAAGTTAGGGTTAGATAGTTACAAACGCTAAGGGCGAGGATGAGGAGAAAGGCGAAATACTAATTCCATTGCTAGCAATATACTCTGTTAGATCGACTTCCACAATGGGCCACAAAGTCGACCTAATAGAGAAACTGGTCTGATCTGGTTTTTCATCCCCACCTATCATCCCTCACTGGTGCCCCGTCAGCGAATACCATTATCTCAGGCGGGGCTACCATTCCATTATCATCCATTAAAAAAAAATGCAGCAAATTGAATTCAAATCATTTTGCTCTACAGAAAAATGGTAAATTTCGACTTACCGCCAAGTTAGAACTTTGTAGACGACTCGAATCGATACCTCTTGATGGGACTTCACTATTTTAAACTATAATTTGCAACTTATACCATGGAATAAACTATAAAAATGGGCAATTAACTTCTATTTACACGCCGGACGATCGCACACTATACGTTGTTTAACGTATTCATAAAAACGTCAAATCTGCGATATTCCTGTGATTTGTGCCGTGGACTGTCTACTCCTCGAGCTAGGGTAGTGTCTTTTGGAATTACACGACCAATAGCTACGTGTTACAGATAGATAGATATGGGGGGGGGGGGGTAATCATGTGCGAAACGATATACTCTGTTATGTGCATGGTACTGCTCATGTATATAGGCGACGGTTACCATTTCCCATCAGGTGGGCCGTCAGCTTGTTTGCCATTCTAAGTTGTATAAAAAAAAAAAGATAAATAAATTAATTATTAATTCATCATTACAAACCATTGTTTGTAATGAATGCATTTATAAATGAAACAAAAATTTGTCGTCCGTCTTAAGAGCGTGCAAAATATGCGGTGGACAAAGTAAGGGTGAGAGACTATTCTCTGGATATTGAAGGTGGAAAAAAGGACATCATCTACGTCCGCTCAATGGTCAAATGTCGGATGATCTTTGAGATAATGATTTGGTTGCTAGTTGAAGCAGAAATAATAAAAAAAAAAATGGTGCTTCATATCTGGGCCCATAACCTGTTACAGTTCCATAAATCCGCGACTTAGCGTGATGATACACTTATTGAAGGTTTGACGTTTTTATGAATAGGAAATGACTTTAAAATGTAACACAACTAGTTGTTCAGTCTTCGACTCCGCGGCGCCGGTGACGTCACTGGGTCACATGTCAGAACATACGAAATTGACTCTTGTTACTAGCTGATTACATTAAAACTGTAATAGTTTCGTACAAACGAAGGTGGCCTAGAAACTAGCACTAGAGGGCGACACCCCCACACTGTCAGTTTGATCGGGCAAAGCCTAACTACGGTTGTATATTCAATTTTTTCTAAATCCTGTTTGGATTATTTAAAAATGACTGTCCCTCGCTCCGTACACCGGAAGGCACGTAAAAAAAGTCGCTCGGTAAGCCGCAACAGAGGTCTTCTTATACAATGAAGGTGGCTTAAAAAATATTGACAGTAGAGGGCGCCACCGTTAAACCAGTAACAGTATCTAAGTGTAAAATATTTACTATTAATATAAGCGATTCACAAAAACTTTGAGACTTTCCGAGAGTTAAATCCGCTCAAAGTCGACTTAACAAATTTAACCTCAGCTTCCCAAAATCACCTACGAGTACATTTAGTGAATTGTCAATTGGACAGCATATTTTGAAATAAATTACGTCAACTGTAAGTTATAAGTGAATCAATTTCGCTTCCTGACACATGACCGTCACAGGCGGGTTTACTCAACCCGGTCGTGCCGGGTAGCCGTTAATTCGTTTTATTTGAACGCTTCATTTAAAGTGATTGGACGCCGCTTGTGACTGTTTGAACGTCGTAGCCAAGTTTACTGCTTCTATTAAAGATAGGTCTTCGTTGTCCAGATTCGGACACCGAAAGCTATTAATCCGAGAAATGGCTATCAAAAACTTGAATTCTAAGTAATAAATAGCTTGCCATATTATTTATGAATATATTTCAAAAACCCATATTAAGTATTCCAGTGTTATGGTGTTGAAATAATCGTCTACTAGGCTACCACACTCAAAATCAGCAAGCCACAAAACGGTCACCCATCCGAGGGTTTCGTTGCTTGACCTCATTGATCGACGTCAACCAACGAGTGGGACTGAGCCGCGATATCTTTTGACTCTAGAGAACTGAAATAAAGACTTTAGTGTTTCGTAATAGGAATATAAAACATACCTAGTTAATATTTCCGTTAATTTGCCACAAATGTAAACGACTCCTTTCTATGGAAATTCGACAACTGGTATACCTTTCAGGAGTCATTTTGTTAATGAGTTTCTTTCGACAATTCTGCAAAAGATTTTATTATCGCAATTATTTTATTAATTGCATATGGAAATAAAGGGAAATTTGAGAAAATTGCGTATGGATTTTTTCTCTATATTGGTAAGGGTTGACTAAGGGAGGGCGAGGGATGGACAGCAGGATCCCTCTTAAAACATTTAGTAAAACTTAACTGCGATTGCCAATCCGCCTGCCAAGCGTGGCAACTACTGGCAAAACCCCCCCAAGGGGAAGGAGTTAAATTCTGATATGACGACGATAAGGTTCCAAAGGTATACTAGTTTTAGAAACCTATTACGAATAACAAGTGTCTATTTTAGTTCTCTTTAAGGGGGGTCATTGACTATCAAGTGTCAGGGTGACATATCATAATTAGGGAATATTGGATTAAATTGGTATCCTTCGAAGGCAGTGTTCCACTGGTGAAAGTCTTCGGAATGCCTTGGACATCTTCACCAAAGGAACATAGGTCATTAAAAAAAATTTGAGCCCTCCCATATTAACACAGCTTTCTTAATTAACCCACCACTTCCTTTCCCGTGGGTGTCGTAAGAGGCCACTAAGGGAACTTAATAGTTGACGGATTGACAGCAGCATATCTTTTAGAACTTCACCAAAGGCTAATTGCGGTTGCCAACGCGCCTGCTAAGCGTGGCAACTACTGGCAAATCGCCCCCAATGTCAAATACCAGGATAAAATGGCGTCCAAGTCCTTCGGCTCACGATCGTTCCTATGGTAGTCTATCTAGGAGGTCTATGTTCAGCAGTTACATTCAGGTCTATGCAGCATTACCAGAGGGGACTTTGTACAACAGTCCCCAATAGGGGGAGAGCTACGTCCAGCGGTAGACAGTTAATGGCTTATTTATATCATGTAATATGCCCTTTATACGGTTTCAATGTTGGCCATACTGTTGATCTCAAAATCTCAAGATCTCAAAATTATTTGTCATGTTTTAACCCATGTTCCTTGGGAGGGGAGAGGTATTGTTAGCAATGGAGTTTGACAGTCCCATTGCTAGCAATATGCCTTATTAGGTCGACCTCGACGTAGTTCCCCCTGAAAACCATCGTGAACAATTCTTGTTGAATTCGTCACGATGGGCTAACTGACCTGCTTCATCCTCGCCTATCATCCCTCACTGATGCTCCGCCGGTGTATACCGATAGCGCGGGTGGGATTACCATTCGATTATTATCTATTAAAAAAAAAAACACCCATGTTCCTTTGGGAAAAATGTGCACCCTGTATATAACATGACAGTACCACGCCCCCTTGTGACCGGAAAACTCAATTTTCCCAATATTACAATATATGGAATGAGTAATGTAATTTGGTCGCTTCTAAACAAAATTTTTGATCGTTTACAGCTAGGCAGAGTGTCCATTTGCAACGCGCGATCGCCGCGCTCCCTAGCGGTGGTAATTCGATTCGTTTCAAATAAGAACTTTTTTAATATTAGATGTCAACTTAGTATATATTTAAAGAGTATTGCATAGATAATAATAATATTGAGTTATAAAATATACTTTTATACAATCGTGAATTTTTTTTTTTAATATATTTCTCATAATCCGTCCCAATTGTGGAATGTATAAGTTTTGTATTGCTTTCAAAATGGACACCCTTTATACATGGAGTTATTTTAATATCTATATTTATTTACAAATTATATATATATATATAATATACATATATCGATGTACAGAGCGCGAGACGCGATGTGTTTATCCATTTTTTTAAATATGGCAATATGATTCTTAATATGTATTAAAGTGAGTTTGTTTGTTTGCTACATCTTTATGCCTTAACGGCTCAACCAATTGTTATGAAATTTGGTATACATGTGCTATATGGGATGGAGAAGGGTATAGGGTACTTTATATCCCGGTTAGTCAGAGGGTCCAAGAAAGGAGCCTCCCTCAGAGGAGACAGCTGGACACAGTAACGTAGTGTCCAGATCAGCTAATCCTCTCACTACAATGGCAACTCAAAAATTACCCATCCTGTACTCATCGATCAATCCCCGTTAAAGAAAAATAATCCGGTCACGAGGACCAAGTCGCAGGTAATAATTTTTTATACAATATAAAAGAAATCTGAGCAAAGCCATATTATAAACATATACGTAACACATCGCGCCTTCACCGCCGCACCGCTCTGTAACGCTCCATACACGTGTATGGTATCATACATTCAAATTTACATACACCCACACAACTGAGATCATGGAGGCAAACTCGACACCGATTGAGAATTTCCCGTGTTGTTCAACTGTCCGGCGACTGTTTCGTCGCGGCGGCGTATAGGCTGGAGACTTTTAGTCGCAACCTGTCCATCATTGTCGATCGGTCGATACAGTCGCGCGACTGAACGACGAATGTTTTGTTGCACTTACTACCCGGCGATCTCTCGACTGTATACACTGTACTGGTTTCCACAAATTCAGATGATTAGGTCACCGTTTCCGCCTGGTTGCAGCTGGCTCCGGCAATCCAGCTACTGTACCTGCCTGCTTGCGAGTAGTTGCGACGGTCAAACTACAGTTTTCGCCTGGTTGCAGATGATTCTAACGACCAAGCTACTTGTTCTGGCTGGATGCAGCTGTTCCAGTGACCAGGGCACTATTGTTGACTGGTTGCACTAGGTTACGATGACCAAGTCGCTATTTCCGTCTGACTGCAGCTAGTGCTGATCACAGATCGCCATTTCTGCCTGATTTCAACTAATTCCACCGCCCAGCTCGCCGCTCCTACCTGGTTGCCGCCGGTTGCTTGGAGCGGCGACCACTAGCAGCGTCCCGCCGCCGCGTCCCTGGTTATCGCGACAACCGATTCACTTCACAAATGGAATGAGCCGCGCATGGCGGGGACTCATGCGTAGTTACTGGGACTCTGCCCTCGGCTGCCGGACCCTGAGCTTCCGTACGTTGGTTCCAGTCTGAAAAAATAAAAAAGATGTTTTAAAACATGCTTGCTAGCACAGCTTGTTTTCAATAAGCTTTTATTATATAAGCCGCCATCTTGTAGCGGCGGCCATCTTGAAATGATTACAATATTTAGTTTTGCATATTGTATTTCTCATCAGATTTTTAACTTCTTTTACAAAACTGCTCAAAAAAATGTGTAATGTTTTCAGGGTTCACATCTTCATCATCATCATCATCATTCCAGCCACTATCCGTCCACTGCTGGACATAGGCCTCCCTCATAGACTGCCATAAGGAACGGTTCTGAGCCACCTGCATCCATTGACATCCAGCAATGCATTTGAGGTCTTTACTCCATCTAGTGGGGGGCCTCCTACATTACGTTTGCCTATACGGGCTCGCTACTCAAGAACCTTTCTTCCGCATCGGTTGTCGGTTCTTCAAGCTATGTGACCAAATCATTGCCACTTCAATTTGCTAATTCTTCTTATTAGATTCTATATTCATAACTTTTAAATGGCTGAATAGGTTTGTATGTATATATGTCTTTTTTTTTATACAACCTAGAATAGCAAACAAGCTGATGGCCCACCTGATGGAAAGTGGTAACCGTAGCCTATAGACATGAGCAGTACCATGGACATATCTTTAGAATCTTTACGCCTATGATCCTGTGATACGCCTATGAGGCTGTGATTATTTTTTAAATAATTCGTTATTTGGCAAAACAAGTCTTGTTAGCTCTTGAAAAGAGGGGTTCTTTCTTCTCAGTATTATTTTTAGTTTTACCTATAATCGTGCGGCGCATAGAGGGCGTAGTCGCGCCGCAACCGCCGCGGGCTCGGGCTCGGGCTTGGGCTCGCGCTTGCCGATCCTGTAGCACTCACGCCGCCCACGCTGCCCACGCTGCCCACGGCGGCACCCACGCCACCCACGCGGCTCACTGATCGAATCAAGTATACTTAGTAGACATTGGTAATGTGGATATTGACCCGGTATCTATACATTGGATTTGTCTGGACATTGTGGAAAAAAGATCAACACCCATATCGAAACGTCGGCAACAAAGAAGCTAGTATGTAGGTACAGTTTACCGGAATTTTTCACATCGTTTTTTATATCCCCCATAGTGTATTTAAAATTCAAAATAAGGGGAAAGTTTAAAATGATCTGTGCCAAGTACTCGACTAACTTTTTTTTTGGAACGGGGCCTAATTGTTGGTAGACAAGTCTCTGTTATTAAAAATGGTGTCTATTTTCACATAGAAATGGACAATATTCAGATGGATTATTACCACTGAGATGTAGTATAGAGCTGTATATATTGGATTTCTCTGCACATTGATGGTGGAAGAAAGGTCATCACCCATTTCAATATCACCCATACCGATCGGATATCATATTTTAGAATATGTCAAGTCTGTTATCCAATATTACGCTTTGGTTAACAGACTTTGAACATATTTGTTATTGGACCAGTATATAGTTATTGTAACTAAAACATAATAATAATAATAATAATAATAATAAATTTATTTGCTTTAAATAGGGTAGGTATCGGTGGTCTTACATTACATAAAGTTTCGTGCCTATTTAGCCATTACAGAATAGCATGCAAATGTCACATTTTGACAGAAATTGATTAATTTAATTTATGCATCGACAACTATATTAGATATTTATCTATTCTTTCTTGAAAAATTCGTCAACAGAGTAAAAACTTTTGCTAAGTAACCATTTACGTAACACAATTTTAAATTTATTTAATGGAAGTTCCTTTATATCCGTAGGTATATTGTTAAAGATTTTCAAACACATCATATAGGAATTTCTTAATAAACGGCTAGTTTTAGGAATTGTATTGGTCACTAGTTTTTTAGGGTATCTTGCGCTTCTTTGTATTTGCTCTTTTGCTTCTGTAAACATGTGCTTATTCAATTTAACAAATATACCCGCTTCAAGTATATACAGACTGGGAACAGGTAATATATTTAGAGACTTAAAATAAGGCCTACAAGAAACATCAGGTGCAATATTACATATAGCACGTATACAACTTTTTTGCGCGACTAGAATTTTCCCAACATCAACGCCATTACCCCAAAGTAGCAATCCATATCTAATCATGGATTCAACATATGAAAAATATGCTGTAATAGCAGTATTTTTATTGGCTATCTTGGTTAATTTGTAGAGTGCAAAAGGGAATCTTTTAATCTTTGCACATACCTTTTCTATTTGTTCTTTCCATGTCAATTTAGAATTTATTGTTAATCCTAGAAATGTCACACAATTTGCATTATTTATAATTTGTTCATTTATATGTATATTAATTGAAGTATTTTTAAAGTTATTAAAATTCATCATTTTTGTCTTTCCTACATTTATTAGAAAATTGTTTTCTTGTGTCCATTTTATAATAAATGTCAATGTATTTGTAATGTCCATTTTATGTTGCAATATTGAACATTCTTTATCTGTAGAGACAATAACTGAAATGTCATCTGCGAAAAGTATTGTTTTATTATTTATTATGTCAGCAAGATCATTTATATATACTAGAAATAATAGCGGTCCAAGTACGCTTCCTTGAGGGACTCCGTAACTATTGTGTTCATATTCAGATTTAAACATTTGTACCGTTGATTTAGAGTCTAGTTGTTGTATTTCCACACATTGTTTTCTGTTTTCCAGGTAAGATTGTAACCAACTCTTTGCAAGTCCTCTAATACCATTAGATTCCAATTTTAACAATAATTTATCATGGGACACAAGGTCAAATGCTTTAGACATATCAATAAATAACACAGTTGTATAATTTCCTTTATTAACATTTTGCAAAGCCTCATTTACAAGTTTGAAAGCTGCAAGAGTTGTGGAGCCATTTTTCCGAAAGCCATGTTGATTAGGTTTAATAATATTAAATTTGTTAAAAAATTCATTTAATTGATCATGCATCACCTTTTCAAATATTTTTGCAAATATTGTTATTAATGTGATAGGTCGATAATTTCCCAAATCAGTACTATCTCCTTTCTTGAATATTGGTTTGACAACTGATATTTTTAGCTTTTCTGGGAATATTCCACACTCTAAAGAGAGATTAATTAAATGTGTTAGTATTTTAACTAGCTCTTCCTTGCATCTTTTTATTACGTTAGTGCAAACAGAGTCATATCCTTCCGATTTTGTATTTTTTAAGGACATAATTTTTTTACTAATATATGATTCGTTTACTGGTTTTAAGTAGATAGTATTTGATAAATTATTCTTGACGCTTGTAAGTGATTTTCTTAAGGTATTGTTGGTACTAAGGTTTGTAAAGTATTTGTTGAATGTAGTAGCGATATCTATGGGATTAGTCTTATGTTCATCTTTGTTTATAATTTTGCTGATATATTTTTTTGTCTGTGCATTACTTGTTTCTTTTTTAATTATATTCCATGTGGCCTTACACATATTTTTACTATTTGCTATATGTTTTATATTCGTTATTCTCTTAGAACAATTTGTACATTTTTTTAAAAGTCTATCATAGTTTAAGTATTTTCTACGATTTATTTCAGTTTTGTCCTTGTAATATTTATAACGAAGTGTTCTTTTAGTTATATAGCTTTTTCTAAGACCTTTGGATACCCAAGGAAGTTTACCTGTAGAGTTAATTTTTATTCTAATCTTAGGAAAACATAGGTTGTACAGGAGACAAAATAGATCATGAAATTCATTGAAAGCATCATTTACATCTGTTTTTTGGTATGCCTCTGAAAATGATACACTCTTTAAATGTTGTCTAAATCTTTCAATATTTTCATCCGAATAGCATCTCTTGTATATATAAATAAACCTAGGGATTTCTTTTTTAATGTTACTATTAAATTTGAGTATCTGTGCTGTATTGTGGTCTGATAGACAAAGGGGAAGTACATATCCTGATGCCTTGTTTATATTACTTATTATTAAGTCTAAGCAAGAGTTTTGTCTTGTAGGATCATTTATATTTAAAGACATGTTATATTTATTAAGAATATCAAATAATTTGATGGTATTTTTATTAGTTTTTTCAATCATATTGATATTAAAATCACCAGTTATAATAATTTTCTTTTTCGAGTACTTTTTAATGCATATGTGTAATAATAAGTCAATCCTTTCAAAAAAATAGTCAATATGTCGTTGCGTCCTAGATGGTATTCTGTATATGCAAATGATGATCATATTATTTGAAACTAAGCTTGTCGCACAACATTCGAAATGATATATTGTTTTAAGGTCATCAAAACAAGTTATGGTTTTATATTCTAATCCTTTTCTAATTAATATACAAGAACCACCCCTTTTATTTGGCCTAGTATAAGTTGCACTGAGTTCATAATTATTTATGTTTATGTTGGCTTCCTCACCAGTTTTTATAAATGTTTCTGTAAAGCACAGGATATCAGGATTCACATCTCTGTTTATATTTAAAAGAGTAATTTCTATTAATTCCTTTTTCGTGCGAAGTCCATGTATGTTTTGGTGTAAAATTGTGAAATGTCTGTCAGTTTTGGGATCGAAAAAATGATATATTATTCTCTTTTAGTGATGTCTCTAAGGTATTTAATGACGTATTTGGTTTATTATTATTTTGAGTTGTAATATCCTTAGAATTCTTATCACATATTTTCTTAAAATAATATGGTATTGTTCCTCGTTTTTGGACATAATTTATTTTTTGAATGTTATTTTTATGACATGTTTTCTTAAAATAACATGGTATTGTTCCTCGTTTTTGAACAGAATTTAGTTTTTTAATGGTATTTTTAGAAGTGTCGTATCTATTTATAAACTCTTTAATGCTATTTGGTGATAAAAATTGTAATTTATAATCAATGTAATCGATGCATAAATTAATCTTCCAACACATATAATTAATATAATTTCTATTTTCATTGCAATATACATCCGTGTCAATAATAGTACAATTTTTAAAATGTCTAGTCCATAGTTTTAAATTATAATTTAATGTATTTTTATTTAAGTAAGAATTATTATTTACTGGGATAATCAATATAGAAGCCTTATTTAATTTATTTATAGCTATGCATATGTTTGAGTGTAATTTATATATATCTTTATCATTATTTCCAATTCCTAGTATTACTGTATCTTCACTAGACAACCTGTTCGAAATATAGTCACAATGGGTCAGCAATTCTGTACTAGTGGCTCCAGATATTATAAACGAACAGGGCTTGTACACGTCGTTCCATTTCCCATGTCTCGACTTCAAAAGTGCGGTCGATAGTCCTCGAACATATTCATCACCAAGAATGTAAATATTTTTCTTCGATCTATGACTAGTAGCGCCATCTATATTTGTATTGAGAGTACAATCTTTGTTTCGGTTAGTGTGTAGATTTTCATTATTTAAACTAGTTTCCATAACGCGTAATGTTAATGTGCTTATGGCTTCTCTATTATGGGGTTTGCATTGGGGTTCACTTTCCTTTATTTTACAGTCATTTTTTGATAAGTCAAGCTGGGTACTCAAAATGCTATTACGTTTCTTATTGATCGTTTTTTTAGGAGTAGACTTACATATCAGGGACAGTTGTTTAACTTTTAATTGGTATTCAGAAACTTTTTTCTTTAGGGTGAAATTTTCTGATGATAGATTTTCAATCTCATTTTCCGCAATTTCAAGTTTTCCTTCTAATTCAATAATTTTTTCTTGTAGCTCCTCCAAATTCACAAAGTTAGGTCGTAATTCTGAGAAACTTCTATTTTTGTTGCCCATTGGAGTTGATGTCAGCGAGGAATATTCATCATCAGATAATCCTTCAAATGAATTTTCAGTCGATATGTTGATCTTGTGTCTATTTCGGTGATTAACATAATTTTGCTCCTGATATGAACCATTGCTTGGTGTCGACATATTTATGATTGAGGTGCAGGTTTCCGTTTTGGATGAACAAGTAAGGCATTTAAAAGCTTTTTTATCGTCTTCTGTCATTATGCGGAAGCGTTTAAAAGTGATCTTTGTGCAATTCAAGTGATAATAATTATCACATACATTGCATACTAAGAACTGTTTATTAGAGATGATTTTTGTACAGTGTTTACAAATGAAAGTCATTTTGTAGCTGTATTCTGTACTAATTCATACAACAATGTCCAAAGAAATCAACTAAAGTAGGAATCGGTCAAGCAAATTTCTTTTTATATATAGATCACGATAGGTAGTATATTGTTATATTGAGCTCATAAATAATTTTATCGTCACAAAAAGTCCACAGCTAGGATTAGATCGTACGACCACTCAGAATCAATCCCAATCTACTTTAAATATGCTAATAGATAGTTCAATAAATGTGCGAATTTTTGAATCTTTATCATATCATGTAAAACGGTTCTTAATTTGAACATTAAAATCTATGAATCATCAACTTTTGTAATTTGTATACTTTATTAATGTACCCTCATTGTTAACATAATATGAACTTTAAACTTGTATTATATGAAATCCAGTATTAATTATTTGATATTACTATCTTACAGTTTTTATTTTCACCATACTAATAGGTACACGTACTAATGCTAATATTAATTTATATTATTTTCTCTTGTAATCATCAGATATCGTTGTTGCTTATAGTTTAGAGATATGGTATTGTACATTACCACATATTTCTGTAGTGGTCCAGTTTATAAAGATCCAGTTAATAAAAACTCCCACAAACACTCACACATAATATTCACAGTTTCCTTTTTCAATTGAAATATATTTCAGAACTATTTCTTGTAAAATACTATTTTATTGAAATTAAAAGTACAGAGCCAATGTTTACGTTATGTTGACGTCTGTCAACGCTGTCATATATAGATATTACTATATGTTATATTACCCATCCCTAGTATTTCATATACCTACCGTAACTTAGCGTCAGGACAACCTCCACGTGGTTTCCCTTGGAAACCATCGTGCTGAATTCCAGATGTATTCGTCACGATGTGCCTGACCTGCCTTTTCATCCTCACCTATCACCTCTCACTGGTGCCCCGCCGGTGTATACCGATATCGCAGGCGGGGCTACCATTCCATTATCACCCAGTATAAAAAACATAGCTTTCTAATAATCATCATCATATCGGCCCTTAGCTGTCCACTGCTGGACGTAAGCCTCTCTCACAAAGGGGATTCTGCTAGTAGTTGCCACGCTTGGCAGGCGGGTTGGCAACTGCAGTTAAAAAAGATGCTGCTGGTGTTCCCTCCACCATATAATACGCGAATAAAAATTGTAATTCGATTTAAAATTAAGACAAAAAAATACAAAACTTACAAGCGAGCTGCTTAGCGGAGAGGTGTCCACTGTTGGACGCGCTCAGGGATGACGGGCTGGGCGTAGCGCGGGACCGGCCTGCGTACACAGATTGGGGTCAAGGTCAAGGCCACCATTTGTAATATAAAAAAAATCTGGGCGTGTAATTCATTAACATTACTTGCGAATCCAAAAAACAATACGTTACGTAAACAATTGGTGAAATTTCTTATAGACAGTGTACCATAGTGATTGGGGGGAAAGGGATTGTTAGTAATGGAGTTTGACAGCCCCATTGCTAGCAATATGCCCTATCAGGTCAACCTCCGCGTGGTTCCCCCTGGAAACCATCGCGTACAATTCTTGTTGAATTTATCATAATGTGCTAACTGGCCTGTTTTCATTCTCATCTATCACCCTTCACTGGTGCCCCGCCAGCGTACACCGTTATCGCAGGCAGGGTTACCATACTATTTTCACACATCAAAAAAAAAAATTAATAATTTACATGTAAGCGAAATTATGTTTATTTTATTTTAATTTGGTTATGATTGTTCTTTGTCTTGTTAATTGTATTGTCAAATATTTCATATTTATTTGTAATCGAGTAATGGTAATAGTATTTGAATGTTTCGACGTTAATATAATTACCTGTTCTCAAATTGTTGCATGCCCGATACGGTATAACTGTTGATACTGATGTCAAATTCAAAGCAATAGTTACTGCTATATGTATGTACACAGTTAGCAATAAAATTTTATTCTATTCTATTCTTAATCCGAGTACCTCTCGCCACTTATAAATATTATGTTTATATTTTCATCTGGGGCGATACCTTCTCGCCATGTTTGTATTTCATACAGCATAGTGTATATTTACTGTACTGCTCGTTCGAATTTAGTGCGTGCGCCAGTGCGCCAGTGCGCCAGTGCGAACCCTCGCATGAAGTGGTGAATGTTGTGTGGACGTAATGTAGCCGTGCTGCGTACCTGGCGCGTGCGCGGCGGCGGGCGGCAGGTCGCGGTAGCAGTGCGGCAGCGTGGCGGCGCCGGCGCGGCCGCGTGACGTCACGCCCTGCGACTGCGCCGCCTGCGCCGCCTGCAGGGCCTGCAGCGCTTGCAGCGGCGCCGCCTGCAGCGCCTGCAGCGCCTGCAGCGGCGCCGGCGGGCTCGCCGCGCGCGGCTGCAGCGACGAGTACGCTGCGGCACCACACGCTACGCTACACACCGGCCCACCACCGCACACCCTGCCCCTGCCCCTGCCCCTGCCCCTCCCTCTCGCCCCCCATTGAAATGGCTCCACTATCATCATCATTTCAGCCGTCAACAATCCACTGCTGAACATAGAGTTTGGCCAGCAGTTGCTAGTAGTCAGGCGGGTTGGCAACCGCAGCTAAGCTTCAGTTTAAAAAGGGACGTTGATACTTAACCCTCGACCATTATTTTTTTTTTATACAACTGAGAATGGCAAACAAGCTGATGGCCCACCTGATGAAAAGTGGTAACCGTCGCCTATAGACATGAGCAGTATCATGGACATAACATACACATAGAGTATACTGTTTCGCCCATGCGTTGCCATTCATGAGGACTCAGGTGTTATTCCTCTGTACCCTGTAAATTCACACCATCTTTCACCCTTCAAACCGAAACACAGCCATGCAAACACAACTGCTTTACGGTTGAAACACGAACGGGACAGAGGTACCCTTTGTCCCCCACCCACGGGAAAGAAGAGGTGGCAGTTTCTCTGCCGGGACTACACGGAGACTTCCTACTATAATCAACGGAGAATGTAAGTCGTTAATATGCTTTCATAAAAGGGAAGGGATTGTTAGTATTGGGGGGGGGGGGAGGCTAGAAGCTACCTATTGCTAGCAATACACCCTAGCTGGTTAGACATCCACGAGATTTCCCCTTTAAACCACCGTAGTCAATTCTTGTTGAATTCGTCACTTGTTCGTGCTTTCACTGTCACCTACCAACACTTACTGGTACCCCGTTAGTTGGTTACCGTTCCATTATTATAAATACATTAAAAAAACATGCTTTTAGGAATATCCTCTTGATTTTGACATTATATATATATATATATATATATATATATATATATATATATATATCAGATCGGTATCTACACCACGCCTATTTTATTAGAGAGACCACAGATTTCGTAATATGAAAGAATTTGTATTTATGACATTGCCAATGCGTTAGAGAGGGATAGATATAAAAACGCATCTGCCTTTTGACTAGTCCGTAAAAGTCAAATTCATCAAGGTATGCCACTTGGTTTTATTGGCCGTATAACCCTACCAAATTCAGATACAACCCGCTCGCATACTTTCTACATAAACTGTGTCCAATATATAATCTAGTAATGTAACATTTGTCATTGACAAATAATTGACATATCAAACATTGTCTATACACTGGCCTGCTATGAATTGACAAGAATAGCAACTGATGGTGTACCTTTCGTCCTCTTTTTACTAATTATATTTGCATAAGAAGAAAGGAGACAACCGTATGATTTACAGTTTTTATTTTATCATTCATTCTAAGTAGTTCCTTGTTCTTAGTTGGAGACAGGACGTACCTCTGAGCAAGGAGAGGTCGATGGCCGCCCGCAGCTCGTCGTCCTCTGCGCGGGCGCGTGCCAGCGACAACGCCGCCTGTACTCACACCGACAACAGGTTTTTTTTTAATGGATGATAATGGAATGGTAACCCCGCCTGCGCTTACGGTATACGCTGGCGGGGCACCAGTGAGGGATGATAGGTGAGTATGAAAAAAAAAGGCAGGTCAGTTAGCCCATCATGATAAATTCATCAGGAATTAACCATGATAGTTTCCAGGGGGTACCGCGAGGAGGTGGACCTGGTTGGCTATATTGCTAGCAATGGGATTCTCAGTCTCCATTACTAACAATCCCTTCCCCCCGCAACAACAGAGTTAAATATAGACGACGGAGGTCATCACCACCTTCTCTGTGTATGAAGAAATATCTGTTAAAAGGCATTAAGGTGACGCTAATGACACCAAATCTTCCGTTTTTCAATAAAGCAGTTTTCAAAAGACAAATGTAAATTAGGAAAATAATGACACCTGAGATTATATAGACAGAGTATCGAGCCATCGAATTGTTAGCAATGCGGACCATTGGTTCCATTGCTAGCAATAGCGTATATTGCTACAAACCTTACGTGGTCCCCCTGGAAACCATCGTGCCGAATTCTAGGCGTATGCATCACGATGGGCTAACTGACCTGCTTCATCCTCACCTATCATCCTTCACTGGTACCCCGCCGGTGTATACCGATAGCGCGGGCGGCGTTACCATACCATTATCATCCATTAAAAATATATATAACTATAGTATATAATTGAACAATTTTCAATGTGTGTTTGACTCAACAGTGGTCCGGTATGTGTGTATGTGTGCGTGCGTGCGTGCGTGCGTGCGTGCGTGCGTGCGTGCGTGCGTGCGAGCGTGTGTGTGCGCATGTGTGTGCGCATGTGTGTGTGCATGTGTGTGTGCATGTGTGTGTGTGTATGTGTGCGTGTGCGTGTATGTCATGTATAATCAGTGAGTGAGTAGTGCAGTATGCATTATGTGTTTGTGTATAAAATGCACATATATTTTGACCCGCTGACATTGATGCTGCTTACCACTTTGACAGCCGTCGATGAGAACTCTTTTAGAGTTACTTTTGTACCTTTGATTATCTCTGTTATATTTTTATGTATAATTGGTCTGTACAATAAAGTATTAAATAAATAAAGTATTATATTATTTTGAATGGGCTATGTACGAGCTTTGTACGAATGGACATATTATAAAATGTAAAATATTTGCATGCCTACATCTCTGAAGGCTCTCTAAACAGGTGCAAAATAATACCACGTGGCTTTTGTATAATTTTAAACTGTTTAATGCAAATAAACTAATTTCATTTCATATTAATTTTGTATGAGTCGTGTATGAGTCGTGTATGAGTGGTGTATGAGTGGTGTATGAGTGGTGTATGAGTGGTGTATGAGTGGTGTATGAGTGGTGTATGAGTGGTGTATGAGTGGTGTATGAGTGGTGTATGAGTGGTGTATGAGTGGTGTATGAGTGGTGTATGAGTGGTGTATGAGTGGTGTATGAGTGGTGTATGAGTGGTGTATGAGTGGTGTATGAGTGATTTACGAGTGGTGTATGGGTGGTGTATGAGTGGTGTATGGGTGGTGTATGAGTGGTGTATGGGTGGTGTATGAGTGGTGTATGAGTGATTTACGAGTGGTGTATGGGTGGTGTATGGGTGGTGTATGGGTGGTGTATGAGTGGTGTATGAGTGGTGTATGGTCACCTGGTGGTCGCGGCGCGCGGCGGTGGAGGCGGCCTGCTGCGCCGCCACCGCGCGGGCAGCTCGAGACCCTGCCGCCGACAAGTAGAACCAACGATAACTTACTATTTTTTTTTTATGCAACTTAGAATGACATACAAGCTGACGGCCCACCTGATGGAAAGTGGTAACCGTCGCCTATAGACATGAGCAGTACCATGGACGTAACAGAGTATACTGTTTCGCCCATGATAGCCCCCATGCGTTGCCATTCCTGAGAACTCAAGTGTTATTCCTCTGTACCCTGTAAATTCACTGCTGCTTCACGGTTGAAACACGAATGGAACAGAGGTGGCCAAGCAAACGACTTTTGTACAAAGTCTCCCTCTGAATTTCATATTAGCTTTATTTATTAGGCAAATTTTCAATATCTCAGTTTACACTCTTGTAATTTTCATAAATATCTCTTATATTTTTTCAAAATAATACAAAATTAATATTACACGCTGATAATAGGTACTTCACAAGTGAAAAAATTTTTAAAATCGTTTAAGTAGCTTTTAAATTTATTTATTACAAATAAACATACAAAACATCAAATCTTTCCTCTTTATAAATATTAGTATAGCATAGAGCAGCATTATCTGTCCACTGCTGGACATACGCCTCCCCCATAGACTGCCATAAAGAACGGTCCTGGCCACCTGCATCCACTGACTGTCTGCAATACATTTAAGGTCACTCCGTCTATTGGGAGATTATCCTACACTGCATTTGGCCATACGGGCTCGCCACTCAAGAACCTTTCATCCCCATCAGCTGTCGGTTCTCCGAGTAAGGAACGACCCTCAGCCACCTACATCCACTGACTCCCTGCAATGCATTTAAGGTAGTCACTGCATCTAGTAGAGGGGTGGGGGGAGTCAAGCATTTCTCTTCCTTGCAGGGAACATACAAGTCTGCTGTGTTATATAAAAGGCAATGTACTCACCGGGTCGCGGCGTGTGCGTGGCGCCGTCCCCCAAGTCCAGCTGCAGCACGCCGCCGCTGAACTCTGCCAACACATGTTTGTATTACTTATATACATGTATTTCCCAAAGTGTAGGCTGCAACCCTCTGGGGGATCCCCAAACCTATAAGGGGGTCGCGGAAGCTCGAATTAACTTTCAAAAAGACATTTATATTAAGGAAATTTAATTAATATCAGTTTTGGGTAGTTCATTGTTTATTTATTTATTATATTAAACTAATGCTTAAGAAAAGAAGGTAAAGAAAAATTTACTCAATTCAATCTAAAACTTAAATTTGAATTTACTTGAATAAAAACATTTATTTCTTTCTTTCAAGAGGGAGGGAGGGATTGTTAGTAATGCGGTAATAGTATGTGTGGTGGTGTGGCGGTGTGGCGGTGTGGCGGTGTGGCGGTGTGGTAGTATGGTGGTATGTATGGTGGTATGGTGGTATGGTGGTATGTGTGGTGGTATGGTTGTATGTGTGGTGGTATGGTGGTATGTGTGGTGGTATGGTGGTATGTGTGGTGGTATAGTGGTATGTGTGGTGGTGTGTATGTGTGGCGGTGTGTATGCGTGGCGGTGTACCGGGCGGCGCCGCGTGGCGGAAGTAGTGCGGCGCGGTGAGCAGGTGCGTGTTGGCGTTGGGCGCCATGGCCACGTCCGGCACGGCCGCCGACAGCCGCGCGCCGCCGCCCACGTGGCCGCCCACGCCGCCCACGCCGCCCACGCCGCCCACGCCGCTCGACCGGCACCCGCCGCCCGCCGCTCTGGTGACATGAATACACACAAAAGGTAAGATAGAAGGAAGCAGGGGAAGAGGGGGACCGAGACATAGTTACATCAGGCAGATCAAGGAAGCAGTCGGTGTCGTGTAGTATCAAGAGGTGAAGAGACTCGTTCAAAATCGTAGTGAGCGGCAAAAGCTCAGCCTCAAAAAACGGTCCTGAGCCACCTGCGTCCACTGGCTTGACATCCCTGCAATGTATTTGAGGCGGTCACTCCATCTAGTGGGAAAGTTGGTCTACACTGCGTTTGATAGTACGGGATCACCACTCAAGGACCTTTCTTCACCATCAGTTATCGGTTTTTCGAACTATGTGACCAGTCCATTGCCACTTTAGATGGCTTATCCTTCTTATAAATATATTAATATAACAATCGGGGGGAAAGGGACTGTTAGTAATGGAGACTGAGAATCCCATTGCTAGCAATATACCCAACCAGGTCGACTTCCTCGCGGTTCTCCCTGGAAACTATCATGGTTAATTCCTGATGAATTCATCATAATGGGCTAATTGGCCTGTTTTCATTCTCATCTATCACCCTTCACTGGTGCTCCGCCAGCGTATCCCGTTAGCGCAGACGGGGTTAACATACGTCTTTCCCATAAGGGAGGTTTTGCCAGTAGTTGCCACGCTTGGCTGGTGAGTTGGCAACCACAGTTAGGTTTTAGTAATGTTTTAAGAGGGACACTGCTGCCCATCCCTCGACAGTTAAGTTCCCTTAGTCGCCTCTTACGACACTCACAGAATCGAAAATTATTACAGTATGTTAGTTAACGAAATTCATTCCTTAGAATTAGTGGTACTCAATACCAGAGAGAGACTGTACAAAAGTCGTTTGCTTGGCCACATCCGTCCTATTCGTGTTTCAACCGTGAAGCAGTTGTGTTTGCATGGCTGTGTTTCGGTTTGAAGGGTGGGATATGGCAGTGAATTTACTGGGTACAGAGGAATAACACCTGAGTCCTCAGGAATGGCAACGCATGGGTGGTATCATGGGCGAAACAGTATACTCTGTTATGTCCATGGTACTGCTCATGTGTATAGGCGACGGTTACCACTTTCCATCAGGTGGGCCGTCAGCTTGTTTACCATTCTAAGTTGTAAAAAAAATAATAATTGGAAGTCAGAAAAATTATTTGTTTATTATATATTTATTAATTATTGTTCTCGAAAAAATTGTTACACTACTAAAAACTAAAAAAAAACATATGTTAAAGTCCTCGAAACAGAATCCTATTTTTTTAAATATCGACCCTGACTAGGCGGCCCGGTATAATTTCAACTAGCTATTACCTGTGCCCCTCGGCGCTCCTGGAGGGCAGCTCGCGGCGGCAGGTGCCCGGCCGAGACGTGTCTGCAATACAATAACATTAACACGTGTTATTTATATATATAATCAGTATATTGTGATTTAAAAACAAATTGCAGTGTTACATGTGTGGGATAAATGGCGGACCGGGGGGAAAGGGATTGTTAGTAATGCGAACTACCAGTCCCATTGTCTAGCAATATACCTTGGCAGGTCGCTATTCACGTGATCCCCCTGGAAACCATCGTACTGAATTCCAATTGTATTCGTCACGATGAGCCAACTGACCTGCCTTTTCATCCTCACCTATCACCCTTCACTGGTGCCCATTACCATTATCAAATATTGAAAAAAAAAAACAATGGCGGACACAAGTATGTAATGGCGGAATCGCATGTATATAATGGCGGAACCACATGTACAATGGCGGAATCACATGTGTAATGGCAGAACCACATGTCCAATGGCGGTCATACTCGAAGTTTTCCCCAGCGGTTAATAGCGATGAATTACGAGTAAACAATATTGTTATAACCGTAAGTTAGTTACGCCCTACCTAGTTCTTTCATAATTTGTCAATTTATAGAGGTTAAATGCATGGTAACCTTGAACCTTTTTCGCCGAGATACCAGAGGGAGACTTTGTACAAAAGTGGTTTGCTTGGGCCCCTCTGTAAAGCAGTTGTGTTTGCGTGTGCGGTGGCGGTGGCGGTGTGGTGGTGGTGTGGGGGTGGTACTGACCGAGCGGGATGTGCAGCGAGGGCTGCGAGCGCAGGCTGCCGGCCGACGAGCACCGCGCCGCGCCGCCGCTGCCGCTGCCACTAGCGCTTCTGCAATCAACAACGGAAATTGGACTCCCTTTTCCCCGTAAAAAATACCCAATTTAAGGCTAATGTGAATCATGGCTGTTTATTTATCATGTAGGATCGTCATCAATCGCAAAACTTTTTCAATATTAAAAAAGAGTTGTGATATTTATTTATATAATACTAGCGATCAGGCCCGGATTTGCATGGGTAAATATAATTTTTGAAACTATAATGTAGCCTATATTACTTGTTAATAATGAAGCTCTCTATAGGTGATTTTTTTTTTAAATCAATTGAGTGATTTTTAAGTTAATCCATACCAAATCTCTCCCCTTAATAATATGAGTATAGCACAGCTATGTAATGTGTGTGGTGTGGTGGTAGTGTAGTGGTGTCGCTACTGGCCTGCAGCAGTCGTCGGGCCAGCGGTCGGCGCGGTCGGCGCGGTCGCCGCGGTCGCGGCGCTCCGCCGCCGGCGACTCCCACTCGCCGCTGCTACGCGACCGCGAGCTGCTCATAAATATATTATACACTGTACAATGTTTGCTGTACGGCGGACTACCGCACATGTGGAATGGCGGACACACATGTATAATGGCGGCAACACATGGCGGTCGTACAAGTGTGTCAAGTATTTGAACATGATTAAATAACATTAATAGATTTGTTTATGTAAATATAACAGACTACTTAATAAAAAAAACCTTTACATCTTATGAGACTTTAAAATAAGTAAAACAACCACTTCAATAGGAATGATAGGGAACTTTCATAAATTCTCCCTGCCCCAATCAAACACAAGAAAACCTTAATAGCTTCTTTGAACATTATTAACAACGCCATCTAGTATCTGATTTCAAAACTAGTTTCTATATACAATACATTTCTTAAACACCATGGTAAGTTTTTTTTTTTTTCTATTTTATAATTTAATATTTCCACTGAATATACCTGTCGTTGGAGTTGTCCAGGTCGTCGAGCAGTAATTCCGCGCACGCGTCCGGCAGCGACATCTCGCGGACGGCGCGCAATGCAATCTGCAATTATAATCAGAGACAATGCACTCGATTCTGAAGCGACAATTTCATAAATTTATTATTAAAATAAAAATTTTAAATTTAATAATCTTTTTTATGCAATGGCAAACAAGCTTACGGTCCACCTGATTGTAAGCAGTTACCGTAGCCTAGCCAATACTAGGGGATTTAAGCGCGCGTTACCAATCCAGAAGAAACCTCTTTATCTCTTTTTTAAAGTTACCCGCATACTTTTGAAAAATAATAAAATTTTGAGAAATAATATTTTACAGTGAAATACCTATCATGATAGGGACAATAACGGGCTATTGTCCATTAAACAAACATTTATACACAATAGGGGCCACAGACAGCCCTCTATGTCGAAGCTATTTCGAGGCCGAAGAAACGACTGCTCACGTAATCCTGGAATGTGAAGCTGTGGCTCATCAACGTTTAGAAATCCTCGGAACGGTGAGGTCGCTCCGTGAGGCCTGTGAAGATTCCAGGAAGCTTCTGCGCTTCTGGGCGGAGCTAGTTTGGCTGTACTAGCCACGACTCATACGCGCAACGGCCCAAATAAGAAGCTAAGCGCGGAAAATAAGAGTCCTATTTATACTACATTACTATGAAATACAAAAAAACAGCAATGTAATACATGTATTAAAATCTTACCGTGACGCGCGGATTCAGCTGTATGAGGTCAACGCCACAAGTGAACGAGTGCAGCGTAGTACAGTGCAGCGTAGCGTAGTGTAGTGTAATGCAGCGCAGCGTAGTACAGTATAGGGTAGTGTAGTGTAGTGTAGTGTAGTGTAGTGTAGTGTAGTGTAGTGCAGCGTAGTACAGTGTAGCGTAGTGGAGTGTAGTGCAGTGCAGCGTACCTGTCGTGTGACGAGGCGCGCAGCGCCGCCAGCACGCGCAGTGTACATAGTGCGGGTAGTACAGTGCAGTGCAGTGCAGCGTAGTGTAGTGTAGTGTAGTGTAGTGTAGTGTAGTGTAGTGCAGCGTACCTGTCGTGTGACGAGGCGCGCGGAGTGCGCGTGCAGGCGCCGCGCGCGCGCGGCGGGCGGCGCGGCGCGCAGCTCGCGGGCGCGCGCGCGCAGCGCCGCCAGCACGCGCAGTGTACATAGTGCGGGTAGTACAGTGCAGTGCAGTGCAGCGTAGTGTAGTGTAGTGTAGTGTAGTGTAGTGTAGTGTAGTGCAGCGTACCTGTCGTGTGACGAGGCGCGCGGAGTGCGCGTGCAGGCGCAGCGCGCGCGCGGCGGGCGGCGCGGCGCGCAGCTCGCGGGCGCGCGCGCGCAGCGCCGCCAGCACGCGCAGTGTACATAGTGCGGGTAGTACAGTGCAGTGCAGTGCAGCGTAGTGTAGTGTAGTGTAGTGTAGTGCAGCGTACCTGTCGTGTGACGAGGCGCGCGGAGTGCGCGTGCAGGCGCAGCGCGCGCGCGGCGGGCGGCGCGGCGCGCAGCTCGCGGGCGCGCGCGCGCAGCGCCGCCAGCACGCGCAGTGTACATAGTGCGGGTAGTACAGTGCAGTGCAGTGCAGCGTAGTGTAGTGTAGTGTAGTGTAGTGTAGTGTAGTGCAGCGTACCTGTCGTGTGACGAGGCGCGCGGAGTGCGCGTGCAGGCGCAGCGCGCGCTCGGCGGGCGGCGCGGCGCGCAGCTCGCGGGCGCGCGCGCGCAGCGCCGCCAGCACGCGCAGTGTACATAGTGCGGGTAGTACAGTGCAGTGCAGTGCAGCGTAGTGTAGTGTAGTGTAGTGTAGTGCAGCGTACCTGTCGTGTGACGAGGCGCGCGGAGTGCGCGTGCAGGCGCAGCGCGCGCGCGGCGGGCGGCGCGGCGCGCAGCTCGCGGGCGCGCGCGCGCAGCGCCGCCAGCACGCGCAGTGTACATAGTGCGGGTAGTACAGTGCAGTGCAGTGCAGCGTAGTGTAGTGTAGTGTAGTGTAGTGCAGCGTACCTGTCGTGTGACGAGGCGCGCGGAGTGCGCGTGCAGGCGCAGCGCGCGCGCGGCGGCGGCGCGGCGCGCAGCTCGCGGGCGCGCGCGCGCAGCGCCGCCAGCACGCGCAGTGTACATAGTGCGGGTAGTACAGTGCAGTGCAGTGCAGCGTAGTGTAGTGTAGTGTAGTGTAGTGCAGCGTACCTGTCGTGTGACGAGGCGCGCGGAGTGCGCGTGCAGGCGCAGCGCGCGCGCGGCGGGCGGCGCGGCGCGCAGCTCGCGGGCGCGCGCGCGCAGCGCCGCCAGCACGCGCAGTGTACATAGTGCGGGTAGTACAGTGCAGTGCAGTGCAGCGTAGTGTAGTGTAGTGTAGTGTAGTGTAGTGTAGTGTAGTGCAGCGTACCTGTCGTGTGACGAGGCGCGCGGAGTGCGCGTGCAGGCGCAGCGCGCGCGCGGCGGGCGGCGCGGCGCGCAGCTCGCGGGCGCGCGCGCGCAGCGCCGCCAGCACGCGCAGTGTACATAGTGCGGGTAGTACAGTGCAGTGCAGTGCAGCGTAGTGTAGTGTAGTGTAGTGTAGTGCAGCGTACCTGTCGTGTGACGAGGCGCGCGGAGTGCGCGTGCAGGCGCAGCGCGCGCGCGGCGGGCGGCGCGGCGCGCCGCTCGCGGGCGCGCGCCCGCAGCGCCGCCAGCACGCGCAGTGTACATAGTGCGGGTAGTACAGTGCAGTGCAGTGCAGCGTAGTGTAGTGTAGTGTAGTGTAGTGCAGCGTACCTGTCGTGTGACGAGGCGCGCGGAGTGCGCGTGCAGGCGCAGCGCGCGCGCGGCGGGCGGCGCGGCGCGCAGCTCGCGGGCGCGCGCGCGCAGCGCCGCCAGCACGCGCGGCGACACGCACGCGCCCTCCGCGCCTGCAGCGCCCTCTGCACCGGCCGCGCCCTCCGCGCCGCCCGGTGACCCCCCCGCACCCGTGCGAGCCGCTGCCACCTGCGTACCACCTCCAAGCGTTACTTTACACTCTTTACGCCCGCCTCCACTAAGCCACTAACACTAGTAGCAAATACGTTTCATGTTTTGATAGAAACACTGTTCGCGACATTATAATTTCCTTATATAAAAATGTGTAGTTATAGCGATATTTTATAGTTATTTTTTAAGTATTGATTGTTAGCATAAGTTGTCAGTTTTAATCATTTAAATTGTTAATTTTATAGACCTTTATATGATGTATCTTTAGCTTGTAAGTGAAATAAAACATTTATTGTGTCGAGTCCTTATTACCCACGATAAAAATAAGGAAAAAATTGTAAACATTAGCAATAAGAATGGTTGTAAACATAAATAAATAGACACCAAATGGTACCGCTCTGAAGGGTCACGCGTCCCTCTCACACTCGCCCCGTCCCGCTCGCACAGACTCACCGACGTAAGATAGTACTAGTTATCGTGCGACCGGGCGGGAATAAAAATAGGCCGCCTACCGTTGAGCGGCATGCACTCCCAATCCGATAAAGGAACTAGGAGAAACTCTTCAGAGCGAAACCGGGAGCTTCAAGAGGAATACAGTCGTTTCTCTCCGGCCTGATCCAGCACCCTACAGTCCACGCTCACCGAACGGGTCAAGCTGCCCAGTTCATTCTGGTCCTTCGAGAAGCCAGATTGCTGGAGGAAGATCATTCTGGTCCTTCGAGAAGCCGGATTGCTTGAGGAAGACCATTCTGGTACATCGAGAAGCTGGATTGCTGGAAGAAGACATTCTAAAGCCGGATCGCTGGAATGCCAACTACGAGAAGCATGAAGTCGTCACAGCAGAAAATCGCCGTCACCGATGCCACAACGTCCACCGCCGCCACGTCGACTACGGCCGCCGGAACGCAGTCCGTCGCTACCACGCCGTCTGCTGCTGCCACCAATTCATCTGCGGCTGTCAGAACGTCATCTGTCGCTGCCACGTCGTCTACCGCCGCCACCACATCGACTACGAACACGTCCGGCGATACCACGACCACAGGAGCCACAAAGACTACCGAAGCCACAAGAACGACAGAGGACTGTCTCCAAAGAAGAAGGAACCGAAGCACGGTACGGCACGCACGATTCGCACCACGGCCTCGCAGAGGAAGAAGGCTCTGGCCAAGGCACGGGAGGAGCTACTTCGTAAGGAGGTGGAATTGGCCGCCGCACGTGTCGCCGCCTTAGAAGCCGAATCAGAAGACGACGACGAAGTAGAAGACGACGACGCTACTGTCAGAAGAGAACGGACGTTGGATTGGGTTCATCGAAGCACGCTGGCACTCACAATGGAGCCGCATGTACCAGAGATAGAAGAAGTCACCGGCAAGCGTCAGGGGTTCGTCCCATCAAGACCCGTTGAAGAAGATTCGAGAGCGCCGCCGCCACAGCCGAGCAGCGACGCACTTCACCGGGACCACGCACACCACGTTGACCCATATGCCGCCATTCCTACGATAGCAGCAGCGATGCAATCGACGAAGAAAGAAGAACCGGTGCTGAAGGTGGGCATCGATTGCAACGAGTTTGCGATCGCCATGCAGATGGCCGCTCGCAACATACTGCCCTCCAGCGCACCAAGAGTCACCGAGTTGCCAGTCTTCAATGGATCGTCGAGCGAGTAGTTACCATGGAAGATGGCTTATGAAGAAAGCGCAAGTCAACACACAGAACAGGAGAACCAAGCAAAACTGCACAAAAGCTTGAAGGGGGCCGCAAAGGACGCGGCACGCTCCCTATTCGTCGGGTCTACGACCGCAGAAGAAGTAATGAAGATTCTAGCCGCGAGGTTCGGCCGCCCTGGAGCACTCGTCACAGCCGAACTGAACAAACTCCGCTACCACGACTCTCGGACAACGCAAGAGACGTCTGCCTCTTCGCAAGCAAGGTGCAGAACGTCGTCGCCACGATACGAGCACTGAACAAGAATCACTACCTCTACAACGAAGAAATAGTGAGAAACGTCACAGAAAAGATGCCGTCGGTACTACGCTTCAAGTACTACGATTTCGCCAACGAACAACCGGACCTCTTAACGCTCTCTCAGTTCCTGCAAAGAACCGCCGCACGATGTGGAAACTTCGCCCCCGCCGAGGAGATACCGTCCAAAGACCGGCGGGAGTCCGCTCCTAGAAAGACGGCGAAGACATACACGACGCAGGAGAAACCCGCTACACCACCGTGTCCGATATGTCGACGAGAAGGACACGCTCCATCGGACTGCAAGACGATGAAGGAAGCAGACACATCGGCGAGATGGGAGCTAGCGAAGACTCATTGGCTGTGTTTCCGTTGCCTCAAAGTGAGAAGATTTCGCCACGCCTGCAAGAGCAAGAGATGTGGAGTAGATGAGTGTACACAGACTCATCACCCTCTGCTGCACGGCACCACGCGAACACAGCAACCGGAGAATGAAGTAACAACGCACGTCGTCGAGGACAAATCCGCTGCAGTCGCCGCATCGGCAAGAGAAAACGACAAGATCGCGTTCCTGAAGATTCTGCCGATACAAGTCACCGGTCTCACGGGAACGTGCAACACCTACGCGCTACTGGACGACAAGTCGACTTGTACCATCATCGAAACGGCGGTGGCGGAGCAAATCGGTGCTACGGGTCCCCCCTCTCCCTTCTACATAGAAGGGGTGGCCGGGGCGCGAATCAACGCTAACCAGTCGACGCGTGTTCACTTCAACATCCGCGTGCGGAATTCACAAGAATACACAGTGGGAGCACGGACAATGGACAGACTGCAGTTATCACCGCAGTCGGTACCGCGCAGCGTCATCGAGGGCTGTCCACATCTGCGTGATATAGAGAGCGAACTGGTCTATGAAGAGGGCAAACCGACGGTACTGTTGGGGCAAGACAACTGGCACCTACTGCTGGCCCACGAAGTCAGAAGAGGATCCGACGCGCAGCCGGTCGCATCACTCACCGACTTGGGATGGATACTGCACGGTACGAGTCGCGCCAGGACAAGACAGCAGGTGCATAGAATCAGCCACATAGTGACGACACATGAAGAGGAACAATGGGAATCGCACCGAAGAGGTCTTACAACGAAGAGGAACGTCGCGCCCTACGCATATTGGAAGAGAAAATTCGTCCGTTTCCGGCGAGAGGATACGAGACGGGGCTATTGTGGAAAAAGGACGACCCTGTGCCGCCGGACAACTATGAATCAGTGATGCGACGTCTCCAACTGGTCGAAAGGAAACTCGACAAGAATGAAGAAATTAAGAAGAGATATGAACAGCAAATGGACACACTACTCAAGAACGGGTATGCTGAAGTCGCCCCGCCACGGAGTTCCCAACGGGTGTGGTACCTGCCACACTTCGCCGTCATCAACCCGCAGAAACCGGAGAAACTACGGATCGTGCACGACGCAGCAGCCAAGACGAGGGGCATCAGCCTAAACGACATGCTGATGCCGGGCCCCGACTTACTTCAGTCTCTACCGGGGGTCCTCATGCGGTTCCGGCAACGACGGGTGGCAGTCACGGCGGACATAAAGGACATGTTCATGCGGGTCACCATACGGGAAGAAGATAGGGACATGCAACGGTTCCTGTGGCGAGGAGATCGACGAGAGGGTCCACCTGTGGAATATAGGATGAAGAGTGTCATATTCGGCGCCACATCGTCACCATGCACAGCGATCTATGTCAAGAACAAGAACTCAGAACAGTACAAGGAAGAGTTCCCGGAGGCAGCAACGGCGGTGGTCATGAACCACTACGTCGACGACTACCTCGCCAGTTTCGACACGGAAGAGCAATCCGTACGCGTCTCAAGACAGGTCGCACAGATCCACGGTCGAGCGAACTACTATCTCCAACGGTGGGCGTCGAACTCGCATCAAGTGCGCGCCGCGTTCTCCAACACCGGCGGAGACAGCGTGGTACAACTCGACGCGGAGAAGATACTAGGGATGGTATGGCGACCTTCTGAAAACACCTTAGGCTTCAACTTCCGCCACAGATAGCGAACGGGGAACAGACGCCGACGAAGAGGGAAGCGCTACGAGCGATTATGTCGCTGTTCGATCCACTGGGCTTCGCCACTCCCATCACCATACAGGCGAAGAAGATACTGCAGGAGACGTGGCGTACCGGAATCGACTGGGACACAGAGCTGCAGCCACGAGAAGCGGACGCCTGGTGGAGTTGGATGGCCCACGTGCGACGGCTGTCCGCGCTGGAGGTGCCGCGGTGCTACCCGGAGGTAGCCACGGCCGATACAGCGGAGCTGCACACCTTCGTCAATGCCAGCTCGGACGCATACGCCTGTCCCGTATACTGGCGGGCCGTAAGCGCGACCGGCGAAGTCCACGTGTCGCTGATCGCAGCAAAGGGACGAGTGGCCCCACTCAACAAGGTGACCACGATACCGCGACTAGAGCTGCAAGCGGCCGTCCTAGGATGTCGCCTATCACGCACGGCAGTCGAAGAACACGACCTGAAGCCCGCTCGCCGAATATACTGGTCGGACTCACGCACCGTGCCCGCCTGGCTACGCACCGGTCCTCGCGCATACAAGCCGTTCGTCGCACACAGAGTCGCTGAGATCGTCGAAGAAACGAAGACGAAACGAGTGGAGATGGATACCGACTCGGCACAACGTAGCAGACGACTCCACACGTGACACACCGACGGACTTCGGCTCGCAACATAGATGGTTCCGCGGGCCGGATTTCCTGTACCTCCCCGAAGAACAATGGCCGCGTGAAGATAGTTCGAGCGACGGCAGTCAAGCGGAAACGGGAGAAGAACGCGTACACAAGCTGCAGAACGCGACGCAGTTGTCCATAGCGTTGCCCGACCCGTCACGCTTTTCTAATTGGTTAAAACTTGTTCGCAGTTCAGCACGGGTATTGCAGTTCATTGACCTCCTGCGACCGAACAAGCAACGCTGTGCCGCCGCCCGAAAGAGAAACAAGAAGAAAGAGAGCGCCGACCCCACTTGGACCCGCACGAAGAAGGTCGATAAAGAGAAGATGAAGATGAAAATCAAGAGTAGCAACAGTCCATCTGTGTGTTTCATTCTCATACACACACACACTACCTAGATCGCGCGCGACGACTATGGATTCGCGCGATGCAACAAGAGGCGTTCGGCGACGAAATCGCAGCATTGAAACGAGGGAAACAGCTTCCGTCATCCAGTCGAATCATACAGCTGTCAGTCGTCATAAACAACGACGACATTCTGCGACTTCGATCAAGAATAGCAGCCGCCGCCGATCTGTCAGCCGAGCAACGAGAGCCCCCCATCGTCGACGGAAACCACGCCTGGGTGCGCCTATACATCGCGTGGGTGCATCGAAAACTTCACCACGGCGCCTTCGAGATCACCACGAATGAGGTGCGACAACACTTGTGGGTGTTGCGTCTACGACACGCCGTCCGCAGTGAACTGAAGAGGTGTCAGCTGTGCCGCCTACGAAGAGCGAGACCGGCGCAGCCGTCAACCGGCAACCATCCGCAGAGCAGGCTGGCGCATCATCAGCGACCGTTCACGTTCACCGGCCTAGACTACTTCGGGCCTATGACCGTGACAGTGGGCCGCACTCACCAGAAGCGATACGGAGTGCTCTTCACCTGCCTAACCACGCGCGCAGTTCACCCAGAGATCGCCGGCAGCCTCAGCACGGACTCCGCCATAATGGCCCTGCGGCGCTTCATAAGCCGCAGAGGGTGTCCCACGGAGCTATGGTCCGACCAAGGCACCAACCTCAAAGGTGCCGACGTGGAATTAAGAAAAGCAGCCGAGGAAGCCATCCAAGAAGAATCATCGGTCTACTTCATCCGGTGGCGCTACATTCCCCCGAGCGCACCCTTCATGGGAAGTGCGTGGGAACGGTTGGTGCGTAGCGTGAAGACCGCACTAGCCGCTACGTTGAACGAGTGGGCCCCCAAGGAAGAGGTCCTCCACACTCTACTGATCGAGGTCGAGCACACTCTCAACAGCCGACCGCTAACCCACGTGTCAACATCGGCAGACGACGACAGCGCCCTAACCCCCAATCACTTCATATTGGGCGGTCCATCGCGCGTCCCACCGCCAGGCAGCTTCACGGAGGGCGACGCGGCGGGACAAAGGGAGTGGCGTGTCAGCCAGAGGATAGCTGACTGCTTCTGGAATCGGTGGGTGAAGGAGTACCTACCCGAGTTGCAACACCGGCGGGAACCCCGAGCGACACATGGAGCCATAAAAGTTGGACGACTTGGTCCAAATCGCAGACGGGACCTTGCCTCGCAACACGTGGCCGCGAGGCGTGGTGGTGGCGACCTACCCTGGACCAGACGGCGAGATCCGAGCAGTCGACGTGCGGACGAACAAGGGCATCCTACGGCGACCCACAAAGAAGTTAATTATACTGCCCACATCGACATCGAGCGACGCGAACACGAAGTGACTCCAGCTACGAGAGCTGCGACGGGAGAATATGTTCGCGACATTATAATTTCCTTATATAAAAATGTATAGTTATAGCGATATTTTATAGTTATTTTTTAAGTATTGATTGTTAGCATAAGTTGTCAGTTTTTAATCATTTAAATTGTTAATTTTATAGACCTTTATATGATGTATCTTTAGCTTGTAAATGAAATAAAACATTTATTGTGTCGAGTCCTTATTACCCACGATAGAAATAAGGAAAAAATTGTAAACATTAGCAATAAGAATGGTTGTAAACATAAATAAATAGACACCAAATGGTACCGCTCTGAAGGGTCACGCGTCCCTCTCACACTCGCGCCGTCCCGCTCGCACAGACTCACCGACGTAAGATAGTACTAGTTATCGTGCGACCGGGCGGGTATAAAAATAGGCCGCCTACCGTTGAGCGGCATGCACTCCCAATCCGATAAAGGAACTAGGAGAAACTCTTCAGAGCGAAACCGGGAGCTTCAAGAGGAATACAGTCGTTTCTCTCCGGCCTGATCCAGCACCCTACAGTCCACGCTCACCGAACGGGTCAAGCTGCCCAGTTCAAACACTATGTTGGATTAGTAATACCTAAATAATGTTTGTCTATGTGTTTGCGAAACATTAAAAACAATGGAAAACTACAGTGTTATTGACTGAATAGAATGAAATAAAAGTTATGAGTAAAACTTTAAAAATACATATAATTAATTGATGAAACACAAAACTAGTTCTACAATTTATTTAAACAACAATAACTTACGGCTATCTACAATCTACAAGCAATATAACATCATTAAAATTGTTGATTGATACGCATCAATATACACATTAACCCACAAAAAGTAGCCATCTAATTTATGGCCAATCATATTTCTGACCCTAATCGAATATCATTAAATAATCACAAAAAAAAAAAACAATGATAGATAAAAATATAATAAAATACACTTTGAATCCATTTATAAGTAAGCGGCGACTGACCATGTACAGGGTGTCCGGTATACGGTGCAAGTACTTGGCTCGGCGGGCGCGTGCAAGCTCCGCCTCCGGCACCGCCTGGTCCTCCAGCAGCGCCTGCCACACACACACACAACACATTACACGGATAATACTACGCAATTTCATCATCATCATCATCATCATCATCATCATCATCATCATCATATCAGCCTTTCACTATCCACTGCTGAACATAAGCCTGCCCCTTAGGGAGTTTTTCCAATAATTGCCGTACTTGGCAGGCGGATTGGCAACCGCAGTTAGGCTTTAGAGATGTTTAAAGAGGAACGCTGCTGCCCATCTCCCGCGCTCTCCCTTAGTCGTCTCTTACGACACCCACGAGAAAAGAGGGAGTGGCCTATTCTATGCTGGGACCACACAGCTATAAACGAGGTAAAAAAAATTTGCTTTTTGAAATTGGAGAATAATTAAAAAATGAAAATAGAGTCCATTGCAACAAAACATATGGAGCTCCTGTTCTAACCCAGGAGTGCTCTAATTAGATACTCCGATGCAGTCTTTGTTTCAATAAGAAATCCCGGTATACCTAGTTCCAATGAGACGGGGGGAAAGGGATTTTTAGCAATGGAAATTGACAGCCCCATTCCTAGCAAAAAGCCCTATTAGGACGACCTCCACGGAAACCATCGTGCACAATTCTTGCTGTATTCATCACGATGGGCTAACTGACCTGCTTCATCCTCACCTATCATCTCTCAGTGGGGCTCTGCCAGCGTTTACTGTTAGCGCAGGCGGGGTTACCATTCCAGTATCATCCATTAAAAAAAAAAAAGTTCCAATGAGACGGCGGCGTAATCACTATGAGAAACTTCCATGTACAGATGGATTCATTTTCCATTAAAAAAAAAACACAGTCCAAGCTGCAATTACCAGACTGCCAACTTTTACCAGAGGGAGACTGTACAAAAGTCGATTGCTTTAGTACCTCTGTCCCATTCGTGTTTCAACCGTGAAGCAGTTGTGTTTGCATGACTGTGTTTCGGTTTGAAGGGTGGGATATGGCGTGAATTTACTGGGTACAGAGGAATTACATCTGAGTCCTCAGGAGTGGCAACGCATGGGGGGTATCATGGGCGGAACAGTATACTCTGTTATGTCCACGGTACTGCTCGTGTGTATAGGCGACGGTTACCACTTTCCATCAGGTGGGCCGTCAGCTTGTTTGCCATTCTAAGTTGTATAAAACAAAAAAAATTGGCGTGGATTCCGTGTTGTTGTAAGCTTGCGGGAGGCGGTACCTTGAGCTCGTCGAGGTAGGGCAGGAAGCAGCGCGGCGGGCGCAGCGCCCCGCGGCCGAGCCACGCCGCCGCCGACCCCGCGCCGCCGCCCGGCGCCGCGCACAGCCCGCGCCGCACCACCTGCACCAGCCACCACCACCCGCCACCCGCCACCGGGCCTTACTCGCACATCCATACTGGGTATCTCACATCCATTCTATTCGTAACGACTTCGTATCCTGTCATTTCACTGCCGTACCGTTATTTCTTAGTAACATTTTTTTAAAACCATATTCGTTAATATACTGACTAGAAGTCTAAAAATAACAAGTTGGAAAAACTACCTTGACAAGTGACAAACAAATGTATAGATAGACATGGTGTCGCTATAGCGTACACAAGATAGAGACAAGAAAGGCCGCATCGACATCTTATTAACATAATGAAGTTTGCTACCCATAGATTAACAGTTTCAAGTTCAGAAGATTAAAATGATGATCCTTCGAGCCGGATTCCAATAAGTAAATATGTTGTTCCCATATAAATGTGTTCCGCAAAGCAGGCCGACGGGACGGGACGGGACGGGACGGGACGGGACGGGACGGGACGGGACGGGACGGGACGGGGCGAGGCGTCACCTGGTGCAGCAGGTCGTGGTCGGGCGGCAGGTGCTCGAGGCGCACGTGCGGCAGCAGCGCGGCCAGCACCTCGCGCAGCGCCGCGTCGCTCACCTCGCGCCGCGCGCGGCCGCCGCGGCCGCCGCGGCCGCCGCGCCGCGACACCGAGTGCGCCGTGTGCCACACCACGTTCGGCTCTGTACTCGCCACCACACGCACGCCACACGCGTTTCAAATTCAACTTAATACATTTATCGCTACCCTCCCACACACACGTCTACAATTTTACCACTATTAAGAACTGTACTGGAAAATAAGCCAGTAACAGCGATTTTACAAAATTGGTATGTTATTAACACGGAAGTAAACGCTTTAGATGGTAAACTGAATTATTAAAATAGGTTTAAAAGATGTCACATAACATACACAAAATATAATGAAATAGTAAGTCTCCTCTTTTTAAGTAAATTTATTATGGTTAGTGATTTTTAATAGCTTTGTTGAAACCTTCTCATATAATTATTTCTTTTCGTATAATTTACTATTAATATTTAAAACAAAGTTGGTGGTTAGCGGGAGTCGGAGGTCAAGTGTGTACCTCTGTGGTCTGCTGGGTGTGCTGGATGCGTGGGATGCGTGGGATGCGTGGGATGCGCGGGATGCGCGGGATGCGCGGGATGCGCGGCGAGGGCGGCGCGCTCGGCCCAGCGCAGCAGCGCGCGCAGCGCCTGCGGCTCGCTGGCCTGCAGGAACGGGGACGCCAGCGCCGCCGCCAGCGCGCCGCGCGGCAGCCGCGCCGCCGCGCCGTGCGCCATCGCCGCCGGGAACTCGTCGCGCAGGTACCGCATCGCCTGCCTGCCGCGCCCGTCCACACCCCCACACGGACACACACACACACACACTAGTCTTAGTATTGGCACATCGCGGTCGTGCGACAAAACCACTATTAATAAAAGACCATAGTAGAGAAAGAATTCACCACATAGAAATTTAACAGTTGGCGTTCCATTGTTTCTGCCTACCCTAATAGGAGACAGGCGTGTCAGATATGTATGTATATATGTAAATTTAACAGTGGTGGCAACGAATTTTTTTTTAAATTACCATTTTATTTGATGGAAAGCAAATCCTTAATGTGGTCTAAAATGAAACTCGCAGGCCCACGAGTAACCTATTCACATTTGCCTTAAATTGGTGCAGATTATATTCGGATGGAAAAACATAAGTAGGGAGAGAGTTCCTCTCTTTGACTGTGCGCGTGATGAAAGAAGACGCGAGACGCTTCGTGCTTATAAATGGTATATGTACGACGTAAGGGTGGAGGCTCTCACCCAGTCTGGTCATCCGATGTCGAAAGAGAAAAAGAGAAATCAGGTCATGTAGTTCTTCAGCACACTCTGCAAAATTTGCAGCGATGTTCTAGATTGTGAAATTTAGAATGTAACATCAAATCGTCTCCTATTAGATTTTTGGCTCAACGTTCAATAGAATCAAGTGAAGGCAGCCGGAACTTGGCAAAGATGTATTTTTATATCCGTACTGGCACGACATTTCGCCATGTGCGTGCGTGTATGCGTGTATGCGTGTATGCGTGCGTGCGTGTCCGTACCTGTAGACCCACTGGCTGGCGTGCGGCGCGTGCGCCCAGCGCAGCACGGTGGGCAGCGTCTCGGGGCACAGCGCTTCCACTATCGCGTCCTCGCAGCCCTGCACTACTATCGGCATCTCCAGGAACCTGCGCACCACACCTTCACTTTTGAACATCTGAACGGAGCCAACGCATTTATTGACTGTTGCCCACACTCCACCAACCATATTAAAATATATCTGTGACAGCCAAGCCCACATCTCTCAAAATTATTTCGATTTTTCTATTAAAAAAAAAAAATTTGCAGAGTTCACTGACCTGGCGATTTCGTACAGTTGAAAGGCGTCGTCCAGCATGGCGCCACCGCGTCCGCTACGATTCCCGCTTGACCACGGCTGAGACAAGACAATATATATAAAATGTCATAAACAGCAAATGTGTATACAATTATATAAGCCTAACTTTTAGCGACGACTTCGTCCGCGTGGCCGGGATATGTTTACTCACCGAGATATAACCTTCTCTATCCCATATAGTCCGATTGGCTAAGTCATTGTCCTTACAACGAACAAACTCACTTTCACATTTATAAGTAAAGATGGAAGCAAACTTAATTTTTTGCTTTTTAGTTTAGACTATAACTTTCGGCGAAAAAATAAAATAATCGTTGTTTTTTTTTAAATTCATTCTCAGACTCCAAATACTTGCTACTATATGTAACACGGCGGCACTTTCACGGAAGTTCTTCTATTCGAAACGTAGCGTTCTCTTTACCATAGATATATCCGTTGAATGACTGGTAGGAAAATCACTGTAGTCATACTGTTAGGGTCTTAGCATAAAGTATATTTTATGTAAGAATGACTCACCGCGCCACCGCTGCCGAGGCTGTTGGTTGATGATGGTGATGATGAGTTCCTGCCGATCAAGCTCAGGTCCACCTGTTTACAGAAGATATGATAGCTTAGTAACATTAATAATTGTATTAAATGTTGTTTCAATTATTTAACAGCAATTAGATATATTTCTATAGATCATTGGTCCTTCGCGCCGGACATGATACCTGGTCAGTGTACGCGGCGTGCAGCAAGGCGCGCGCGAACCGGCGCGGCAGCACCTTCTCGTCGACGCAGACCGCGCCGCTGCCGGCCGGGCCCGCGCCGCCGCCGCCGCCGCCGCCGCCGCCGCCGCCGCCCGAGCTCGCGCGACGCGACATCACGCTCCTAGAACGTAGCAAGGACATCATTCGCCACTAGTAATAGCAAACCACGTATAGACATCGTATAAGTTAGCTCGCAGTCTTAATCGCGATGGAGCGTCACCTGTTTTTACAGTTAATTTAATATATTTACTACACCATAAATCCCCCTAATGGTAAACTGCCACAAGGAATGCTCCCTTTCAATATGGCAGTTTATGAGAGAGGCATATGTTCAGCAGTGGACAGATAAAGCCTGAAATGATGATGACACTGTAACGAGCGTTCATCAGCTTCTCAATATGATATAGTTTCAATTTTTGATATATAATTTTATGATGCTGCAGCTAGTATAACCGACCTGAAAAACCTAGACCTGGCGGCAAGCAGCAATCGGTGGCAGGGGAGTTCCAGAGCTGCACGGAACCCATACGCTGCGCCGCATCCACCCTCCACGCGGAACACTAGCCTTGCGTCAGCCATCTCACCTATGAACAGATACGTATAAACCATATACTTAAGATGTCCACAAGTCACGATTTGTCAAAATTTTTGTGAGATAAAACAGTTTGTTCAGCAAAAGTATCTCATATGCACCCAATTTTGGTGGACTGTGGGAAGTTGGAATAAAATCTGTGAAACAACATATTTAGAAAAACAAGTCAGGACAACGTAGCCACGTATAGTGTACTGACCGGAGTCGAGCAGGTAGCGCATGTCGTGTTGAGCGCCATCTAGCGAGAAGCCGAGTCGCGCGGAAAGCCGGCGCAGCGCCGCCGCGTCCACCCGCGCGCGCCCGCAGCGGCACAACGACGCCGTCCCGCGACGACCTGCGGCGTAACGAGACGATCCTTTAGATTAGCTAACGGGAAGACAGTTGGAAATTTAATTTTCTATTCTACCAATATTTTTTAATAGTTTTTTTTTTTTAATCTAAAAAGTGTAACATTTTTTTACTTTAAAAAATTATATGTTGGTTAAAAAAAATATATACTTACTGCTTGTATTCTCCACAATATCAAGATCGCCATCTACACTCCCTCCGCGATCCCATTCTGAAATACATAAAAAAATATTAAGTCATATATCATTGTATATTCATATCCAAATGGATAGTGTGAAATATGTTTAAATTGCTGTGAATATAATGTGCATACATTATAGAAAATTATTAGTGCCATAGTGTGAGTTATGTTATAGAGTGGTCTGGGTCGGTAGTGTGAAATATGTTTAAATTGCAGTGATCATGGTGTGCATACATTATAGAAAATTATTAGTGCCATAGTGTGAGTTATGTTATATATGTTATAGAGTGGTCTGCATACATAGTGCGAGATATGTTTATGTAATAATGGTTAAATGCGTTGCGTGTGTAGTGCGCAGTAGAGTACTCTAGCTCCTCGCGACCAGAGTATAGTGTGCAGTGTGTAGTGTGCGGTGTGTAGTGTGCGGCGGGTACTCACTGGCACAGAGTGCGCAGAGCGGACGGCGCGAGCACAGCGAGGCGCCGGCGTACAGCGCGCCCACCGCCGCCTCCACCTCCTCGCGGGACAACGCCGCCGCCTCACCCTCCAGCGGAACGCGGCACGTCGACCTGCCGCATTACCACATTTACCCCATCACACTCTGACAATACCATACTTTTTATAATTTTAACACTAGTGAGAAAAAAAATTGTACCGTACCGCCACATTTTAAAAACTCTTACAAATAAAATCTAATCATATAAGTCAATGTTTGGGTACTGACGGCGGGTAGCGCTGCAGCAGGTCACGGAAGTAGGCGCAGCGCGCGGCCAGCACGGCGCGGTGCGCCGCCAGCGACCAGCCCGCGCCCACCAGCTCCACGTCGCACCACCACCTGCACCGCGCCACCAAAAAAAAAGTCACTCATTAAAAAGTAAAAACAACCGGATTAACTTCCGTGTATTTTAGTCGAGAAAACTCGACTAGTTTCTGGACTATCCGGGACCCTTATTACGAGCGGCCGTGACGTGAACGCCAGCTATAAGTATTAGCGAACTAATCAAACGTTCACAACTAAAATACACGCAAGTTAATCCAGTTATTTGTACACTAATGACTACCTATATACTGAACAAAAATTGACGTACAAACAAAGAATGATGGTCAGCGCGGGAGTAGAGGCGGCACTACTCACCGGTCTCTGTAGGCGGCGGCAAGGTCAACAGTGAGCGAGTTGGCGGGCTCGCGCGCGAGCTCGGCCTGCGTGACCAGGTCCCGCAGCGCTGCGCCCGCCTCCAGCTCCTCGCACAGCAGGAACACCTCCGCCAGCCGCCACGAGCTCACCACCGACCGGATGAACCGCGCGTGCTCGCATCCTGCGAGCGCAGGCGCCATCGTTACGGTTATTTGGTGATTACTCAATACAAACCATCTACGAATATGATAAATTACAAAACAACAGACTTTTAACCGCAACACTAACCAGACAAACTTACATATGTGTATTTTGACTTTACATAAAATTTTCTTAACAACGATCCTAAACCGGAATATAATAATCCACCTAGGAGCTCGTACGATCCGTACACATTACATAAAGTGGGCAGTGCTAGTGTGACTATAAGATTGGATCATCTTACAACGTGGTTGGTGTAGTAGTGCGAGTTATGTTGTATATACATAACTTACTAGATAATTGTGCGACATGAGTACAAACACGTTTCAAAGTGATTGTACTACTATGTGAAATGAAATATATTTTTTTACGATACTTAGAATGACAAACAGGCTGACGGCCCATTTGATGGAAAGTAATAATCGTCGCCTATAGACATGAATCGTAGAATCACCACGAATATACCCGTGTTGCCTTTAATGCATTGTCATTTCTAAGGACAATGATGTTGTCTCGTTCGTACCCTATAATTTAACTGCCATGCTGTTACACATATATGTGTAGTTTATGCGAAACCATTTTTTAAGAGACTAAGTCGCCTTTGGAAAGTAAACACATCAACGGTTCCGTGTACGTGTCAGTTATATTTTACAAACATTGTGTGCGATAGTGCGAGTTATGTTAGAAACAAGTGGGCATAGTGCGAGTTGTGTTCGTACCGCGGTCGGGGCGCGAGTCGCGCGGGCGGCGGGCGGCGGCGGCGAGGCGGCGGCGCAGCGTGCCGAGCCCGGCGCCGCCCGCCTTCTTCTTGCGCTCGCTGCAACCACACCATTTATGATTTCGTTAAGTAAACAAGCCCTCTAGACAAGTGACGAGCGAATTCGTCGATGGAATCGACATTGCTAAAGCAAGTCCGTGAGTTGGAATGAGACATCTGATGTTGCTATCTCAATCTATCTCACAGACTCGCTAGCGATGTCGATTTCATCTATGAATTCGCTGGCCAAGTGGCCTAAAGGACCAGATACATTTTACTGTAAAGAGAAACCCTTTAAATATCCACTGACATACAAAACCAAAGATGAATACAGAATACTAATTGCAGACAATCAAAATTGGCCGTCTATGATATCTAGATAGGAAAAACTTCAAAATAATGATAGGGACAATAACGGGCCATTCTCTATTAAACAAACATTTATACACAATAGGGGCCACAGATAAAGCTCTATACCAACGTTATTTTTACGCCAAAGAAACGGCATCTCGCGTAATCCTGGAATGTTTAATTTCCAACGTGTTCAAATCCTTGGAACAGTGAAGTTGTGCCGTGAGGCCTGTAAAGATACCAGGAAGCTTCTGTGCTTCTGGCTTAGTTACTGTCTCTGCGAAATTTTGTTTCGCAGCGAATAGGATATTGGATCGAAAAGCTGAGGCTTTAATCACCACAAAAACATATTGAAAAAAGAATTAATATAATCGAATCAATTTGACAATATCTGTATTAACGTTGAATAAAAAAAAAAAATTACATGACTGGCCAATAATTGTATTGCATACCACAATAAAAAATCGACTTCAAAATTGGTGGTGTTTTGCTTTAAAAACTAAACTTCTGAACCGATTTTAATAAAACTTCTATGGAACCAATCTGTAAGTATAACCTTTCAAATAGAAAAAGAATTTTCCAAATTGGTTTACAACTGACCAAATTATGAGGTAACAAACATAAAAAAACAATATTGTTCTCAGAGTTTACGTATGCGAGTTTCTTTATTCCACTATAACTTCTAAATGCCTGTACAGATTTTCATATATGAGGTATCGTTAGAATCCTTACCTCATTCCGAGTGACACTGGCTGTAAATTTTTTAAATTATTCATTCTTGTTGGGGCAGTCGTGTTTTTTAATTTGCAAAACAAAATATATTCGTGACCAATATTTATTGGTACTACAAAGAATCTGGCTATTTGCTTTGCAATCTCTTTGTCTCCTTTTGTAAATAGTAAAAAAAATTGTACTTGACAACTGCTAAAGGTTAGGTTGTAGTACAGTTTCGTTTACTTTTATATTGGAGTTTTTATTCATTTTTCTTAATATAATCGGGTGAGAGCAAACCACCAGTGTCCGTCATGCCCACTCACCGTATGACATCGGCCATGGTGGGCGGCGCGGCCGGCAGCACCGCGCCGTCGCACGCCTCGCCCTCCTGCCGCATGAGCAAACAATAAGTCATACAACATTCATCATGTCATATCAGGTCTTAACTGTCCGATGCTGAACATAAGCCTTCCCTATAAGGATTTCCCTTATGAAAATTAATTAACAATAAAATTATAGAAAAATCATGTAAACAGGCGGGTGCAGTAGTAAAACACATCATTATATCAGCTGTTAACTTGCTGAACATAGGCCTCTTTCATAAGAGCATTTCGCCAGTAGTTGTTGTCACACTTGGCAGTTGAGTTGGCAACCACAGTTAGGGTTTTAGAGATATTTTGAGAGACACTACTGCCCATTCCTTGACCATTAAGTTGACTGAGATCCTTTAGTTCGCCACTGCCGACACACACGGGAAAGGAAGGTGTGGCTTATTTTAAGTCGGGACCACACTGCGATATTCATCATTATCATCATCAAATTCAAATTTGATCAACACAACAAATCCATTCTTCACTTCTGAACATAGGTCTACTTCACATTACGCCACAAAGTATAATCTCGCGCCACTCGCATCCAGCGACTTGTTACAACACTCTGAAAGTCGTTACTCCATCTCATGATAGGTGGAAGATGTTCAAATTTCCCAATTAACGATTTTTTATGTAATTTAGCGAATAAGCCGACTGTTCACCTGATTATAAAGTGATAATTGTCGCCTATATACATAAACAGAACCGTGGGCGGCACAGAATACTCTGGTCATCATCATGGTACCCCTCAATTGTTGCCGTTACAAATCCTGGCGCTTTAAACAAGTGGGAAACATATCCATCGATGGAATAGTTATAGCAAGTGAGTCCATGAGTTTGAATGAGAGATCGCACAATTCTATCTCATTCCAAATCATGGATTCACTAGCAATGATGACTCCATCGATGAATTCACTTACCACTTGTCTAAATTATTATTATATAAATCGTTAACTGTCCACTCCTGGACATAGGGAGGGGGAGCGGATTGCCAATAATTGTTACAGGCGGATTCATAACCGCAGTTAGGGTTGGTGATGTTTTAAGAGGAATGCTGCTGGCCACCTGTCGGCCATGAAACTCCCTTAGTGAGGTACAGGAGAGGAAGAGGCCGGCTGCGTACCTGCGGGTGCGAGAGCGCGGCGCCCATGTCGGCGTGGCGCGCGCACAGGCAGCACAGCAGGCGGCTCATGGGGCGCCCGCCATCACCGCGCCGCCGCGCCCCGCGCCCGCGCTGCGCACGCAGTCACATGTAACACGTTTACATCACAACATGGGGGGAAGGGATTGCTAGTGATGCACACTGAGAATCCCGTTGCTAGCAATATACCCAGCCATGTCGACCTCCTCTCAGGTTCTCCCTTCTCATGGTCATTACTCAATATGGATTATACATTATTAATAAATTGACATGACTACATACATCCCTCAAACATCTCAAATTTTAATTAGTTATAGAGTCTCAGATTTCCAATTCAGTACAGAATCTATCTTCACACCTAGAGTAATAACTATACAAAAAGCTATAAAATATTATCACAATATGTACGTCAAAACAAACAGAGAGACAAATTTTCCAAAAAATATTATTCTATCTTCTATTGTTCCTATTAAGACTACATAAATATTTTTTTTCTTATATGACCCCCATGCACAGACATCTCTAGTTACAATTTTCTTATATTACTAAGATATAAAAACTTGCTTAGGTCAATTCACACAAGTTTTATAATACAAAGTAATTTATTTTAAGGGGCCATTTCTTTAAACCTTTCTCTTATATTAACATTCCAATTGATATCCCAACAAAATCTCTATTCTAAAGACCAATATGAATAAATAGCTACCACCCCTTTCTTTTTTCATCTGACCAAAGGTTGTCTGGAAGAGATTGCTTTAACAATAAGACAACTTTTTATAGTTCATATGTGTTAATATATACATATATTTTATATTATTCTGTAAGTACTTAGTGCAATAAAGAGTAATTTTGTTTATACAACTTAGAATGACAAACAAGCTGACAGCCCACCTAATGGAAAGTGGTAACCGTCGCCTATAGACATGAGCAGTACCATGGACATAACAGAGTATACTGTTTCGCCCATGATACCTGAGGAATTAGGTGTTATTCCTCTGTACTCTGTATTTTCACTGCCACATCCCACCCTTCAAACCGAAATACAGCCATATAAACATAACTGCTTCACAGTTAACACACAAATGGGACAGAGATAACCAAGCAACAGTCTTTTGTACAAAGTTTCCCTGTGGTAAATAAATAAATTTCTAATAGTCTTGAGTTAGTTTATGATGGTCCATGAAACAGTAATTTTGAGAAAGGATCAAATTAATAATATTTGGAGAAGAAATGTCGCATTACAATGAGGCCCAATGTATTTCAGCAAATATGTAGCTTTAGCTTTTGTAGCTTTTTATTTTCTTTCTTTTTATCAATTATTTATAAGTCTTTTTATCCATTCATATATAATGTGGTACACTTTTATTTGAAAAAAAAAGCAAAAGACAGTGTACTTTGCCTGTTCTTCTCAGCTGGAATTACATTAGCCTATGCCTATTTCGAGCAGTGGATTCATAAATAAAAAAAAATGTTTCGAAAATGCTTATTATATTAATAAAAAAATATGAATAATAAGTATGACAAGAATAATAATATTAGTACAGAAATTTTATTCTGAAACTAATGTTTCACAGAGTTAATTTTACTAATATAATAAAATTTTAACTAGAATATGTCTGTACATATGAAATATTATGCTTATTTACATATATTTAGCTTTATTTATATTTTTTTCCAATGCACCATCTACTCATTCAATCTTTAATTCCTTCTACTCAAAGGTTGTCTACAAGAGATTGCTCAGCAATAAGACTACCTTTTGTACTACACTATGCTTATTGAAAATCCTTCAGTTCTGTAATATTGGTGCAATAAAGTGTTAAATAAATAAATAGATAGTCAATTTTAAATTTTCATATTTTAAATACACAATAAAAAAGCTTATAAATTCTTAATATCTAATTATTTAAAAATAAATAGATATTTAAGAAAAATTAAAATGAGCGACACCCTCACACCTGTTAATTTTTAATTCAATAAAAAAGAAATAAATAAACTTTATTTCCTTAAACAACAGACCAAAAATAAAACCAATAGATGCCAAAACAAGATTTTCTAATAATTGTCTACCCTTCCGTGTATTTGTTCCAGTATCACACAAAAACTATTGCATCAAACTGGACTCCCAAGCAGTAGGCCATAAGTTAATTAATTATTAACTAATTAATTATAAGTTAATTAGTTTATATGTAAGTACATATTTTTTTTAATGGATGATAATGTTTCCTCTCCTATATTACATCTAGACACTGGGAAGACACCAGTGATGAATGATAGGTGATGATGAAAGCAGGTCAGTTGGTCCATTGTGATAAATTCATAAAGAAATAATAATATTGATTTAAAAGTAAAAGGGGGAATCATGAAGCGATTGTCCTGAGTGGGTATATTTAATAATGGGGTTGGTACTAGCCCATCCCTATTGCTAACAATCTCTTCCCCCCCTCCCATATAGATGGTTATATAAAACCCAGGATTGTTACAATAAGGACATAATGCTTATAATGCAGGACCTGGGCCTCTAGACAAGTGCCAAGTGAATTTATCGATGGAATCGACATAGCTAGCAAGTCCATGGATAGGCACGAGTCACCCGGTGTTGCTATCTCATTCAATCTCACAGACTCGTTAGCTATGTCAATTCCATCGACAAATTCACTTGCCACTTGTCTAGAGACCCTGGGAGGCATTACATGGCCAATCTCAGCAAATAGTAATTATGTACTAATATTTTTAACACATATAAATTAATTTTAAGATTAAGCAATCAGATGCAACATTCAACTAAATATGTTGCATAAACATATTCCATTTTTAAATGACATCAAAATATATAATTATAAATTTGATTAAACGGACAATATATATTTATTACACATTAACATGTATCATTCTTTTTTTTTATACAACTTAGAATGGCAAACAAGCTGACAGTCCACTTGATGGAAAGTGTTAACTGTCGCCTATAGACATGAGCAGTACCGTGGACATAACAGAGTATACTGTTTCGCCCATGATACCCCTGTGTTGCCTGTGTTGATACATGTGTTGCCATTCCTGAGGACTCGGGTGTTATTCCTCCGTACCCAGTAAATTCACGCCATATCCCACCTTTCAAACTGAAACAAAGCCATGCAAACACAATTGCTTCACGGTTGAAACACGAATGGGAAAGAGGTGCCCAAGCAATTGACTTTTGTACAAAGTCTCCCTCTGGTGAATTCCATGTTAATGTATATTACTGGAGAGAATTATTTACTTTATTAAATTTTATAATACTCTGTCATTAAACTTCAATTTTTCTGTAATAGCCCATTAAGACTATTTTTATTGGATATTTAACAACATATTTCTTTATTAAAGCACAATTTAAGTAATTACAGAAGAATGGACATATATTTTTTTATATCATTTCTTTTTTTTCTAACTTTTACTGGCCAAAGTCCTATTAATCTTTAAGTCTATTCTTAATTTGTCATTAAATTAAATTAAAAAAAAATAAAAGTACATAAATTAGCTAAGCAGCAATATTTTGACTTCCATATTCAAGTTACTCTATTCACAGACAAAAGTTTAATGTTCAATTGTGAAATTTTAACATTTGATGCATGCCAATGTTGACCTCTTATAAATAGAATGTTAATAATATTGTCTATAGTTTAAATTTTTATTCTAAGCTCTAATTTTTATATTTGTTAAGAGAGAAACAAGCTAAGGTCAATGGCCATACTGCCTAGTTAGTCCTTAATATTTAGTTTATTATTCAAATTCATTAAATGACGTTAATGACTTCACGAGTCACTGGAAATTCTAATTTAAAAAGAAAATAGGCAATGGAATATAAATAAAATGCCTTGTACCTGTCACTAGGGTGTTCATGTAGGCAAATTCACTTCAATTTAGGGCACCACTACATTTTTTTTGGTATTAAAATTTTGAAAGTGAATGTTTGGGGGGTGCGGTTTAGGGGAGGGTGTGACGTCACTGCGCGCGCACCTGACCCGACGGACTGACCTACATTTTTGCTTGCGACATCTTATAGAAATGTCAACAGGCCTTAAGCGAAACCGAGTCTATTGACTAACACTAAGACCGAATGGCCTAGATACCGCAAAGAGGATTTAGTAACCCTATAACACTTAATTTTTAAAATAAAATTAAACAGTTTCATACGCTAACACCGATATCTTAAAAATTGTAATAACGATGCCAGATTTTAGTGTATACAGCATATGTGACTATAGAAGTATACTAACCAGCGATCCCAGTCATCACAGCAGTTTATCCTAAATTCTGTATTCAATAATTCACATAAACATTGCCGTAATTCGCCCTGCCAGCGCCATTATCAACATGTAGTCAACTTGTTAATCACAATTTTACCGCTCACAAAACACCCATACCACTCGTTAATAAACGTAAAACACTTATCACTATTGCCTTAGTATATTTTTACAAGAATAAGTCACGTATACAAGCTCTTTGTATAAAAAAATTGAAAAATCGGGATCAAGATGAACCCGTTACAAGTTCCCGTTCTGGCGATTCTGCCAACTACTACCAACCTAAGAAAGTTATAAATAAATACTACATGCACCAACATTTCAAACGTAATTTCGATAACATCATCCAAATTTATTGGTTGATTCCCAAAAACAAGGTCGGCTATTGGTCTGTAATCTGATGGAGGCGTGATTTTAACCAATAGCAATATAGTGTGTTTTATGATAACAAATTCAATTTTTTTTTATAATTTTACCTAGATAAGTACTTTGATTGCAATGAGATCGGATACACAATTAAGAAAAATTTATTAAACTATACATAAAACAAATTTGCTTCCCGCGTCTCTTAAATCTTTTAAACTATGCAACGTATTTTAATGCGGTTTTCATCAATAGATAGAATGAATCAAGAGGAAGTTTTATATGTATAGGTTAATATTTATTGAATTAATTTTTTGAAAATATTACAAAATTGTTCAAGATGACGAAAGTCAAATCAACTTAGAGCTTTAATCGAAAAAATTGCTTCAATTTGAGATGTAACAAATAAATATATGGTGTAATTGTTTGTCTTTTATAAGTGGAGTAACCTATTCCGCTGCTGCTTTAAATCGCTCCAATTAATTTTACGTTAGTTTAATATTAAGATTTTTTAGTTTGCATCGATAAAAATAAATTTGACGTTTTAATTTAGCTTTACTTCACTCTCTCTGTCTTTCTAATCCTTTTTAATGTATAATATTAAATTTTGTTTTAATGTTATTAACATTTGCTAATAAATTGTTTATTTCTGTCCTTCAACTGGGAGATTCATCACAATCTTTCTGCGAACAAAATTTATTGACTGAGTTCAGTAAAAATCCTAAGTCACTACAATAGTCATAGAAAAGGACATTATGGCATATATCTATATTTTAAAGGTAGCTTATTATACTTATCCAATTCATACTCCACGCAACATGATAATACTAAAATGTACGCGTATATGCTCTCCTATACACTCAAAATTAGTACGCATCGCTAGTTTATAATATATTTTATATAATATGTAATAAATTTTGTTTATATGTTGTTAAGTTAAAACATTGTTTTTATAATATTTTTTTTCGCATAACATTTTATATTATCGCTGTTGAATTGTTTCCTGTCCTTTAATTCTTAGATGTTGTATTATTTTTAACTAAAATATTTTTAATAAAATTAATTTACAGTACTAAATTTCAAATTAAACATGACTTTTATAATTTTAATTATTATTTCTACAAAGTGTATCCAAACACAAATTGTAAACAGAAAAGAAATGTCAAACAACTGTCAAACAGCGGCAAAAATTTTTCAACACAATAAATTTTTTAATACTTTTAATCGATGTTGTTTTGCAATTTTTAAATATAGAAATTACTGTTATTTTTAGTCTATATTAAATATTTATATTATTTATTTTTAATCGGAAATAATAAATGTTTGCTTCTGAATTCCTTAATTGAAGAAACAAATCGGTAAGAACGTATTTATTTTTATTTATATAGTTAAACTGCATTAAGCAGAGTGAAATTGTATGTAAATTTGGCTGACTTAACACCGTACGGTGTTCTCTACCATTTAACCATTGGGCAAACAGAAATAAGTAGGCGGTGCATTATTAAAATGAGAAGAAAATAAAGTAATACTTTATCTATTATTATTTATTTATACGTATATGTTTATAAAAATTTTTACGTATTTAAATAACTTTGAATTAAAATTATATTTACTCCCTATGCTTGTTTCTCTGTGTGGTGATGGAATGGAAATGTAGCCTATCACCACTTCTTATTTTGAAAAAATCTAAAAAGAAATTGCTTATGGAAATCCAAGTTCAGAATTGCTATTTTGATATTTTATAAAGATGTATATTTGGGTCAGTTTGCTACTCTTTACAGTAAAATGCCAAGTTAACTCACATTTAACTCTTTGATGCTGAACAGGTTTATCACACCGGCCTTATGGTCCCCACTGACCAGTTGCCAACATAACAAATTAGGTATTTTTTGGCAATTTTTGATATAAAATTTTCTATTTACAAAATTTTGGAGCAAAAAAATTCTTGGAGATATTGCAAATTTTTTGTAGAAAAGTGAAATGGGCTTAGAGAAATTTAGATATTTTTTTTTGGTAATTTTGGTTAATAGTTTTAGTGCTTGTAAACTATTTACAGATATATAAGGTACATAATTACAGTAGAATATATATCTAAAGGTATTACAAGAATTAAAAGCACAATTTCTATTAAAATTCTTGCTTCAACTTCCACGAGACAGGGCTTTGCCTAGTGTGGGGTTATAGCTATATAGTAACATAGGCAAATTTTGTTTAAGGGAATAAAATTATTATTATTATTTATTTATTTATTTATTCATTAGTACCTATATGTGTACATGGCGGACTTAATGCTAAAAGCATTCTCTCCCAGTCAACCATACGGAAGTGTCAGAATACTCGAATGCGGTACTACTAATTATTGATATACATACGTACTAAAATTACATATATAAACGAATAAATATATATAAATATATTGTGTATGTGAATAAATATATATAATTATTATTAGTTATTATTATATATAACAGAAAGAGAAGGAGAGGGAAAAGTAGAAACAGAAGGAAGGACCATTCTTATTTTTATAGTTGATTTTGTGGCACATAATAAAACTTGATAAAAAATTATACAACTTTGTCAATGGGTAAAGATCCTGAAACTTATATTGATTTGATATTTATAATCCTGCCATTTACGGAGAAGGGGATTATTAGTTATATGGAGTACTAGTCCCATTGTTAGCAATATACCCAGTCGGGTTGGCCTCCAGATGGTCCCTCCTGGAAATCATAGTGCTAATTTCTAGTTGTATTCTTCACGATGGGCTAACCGACCTGCCTTTTCATTCTCGCCTATTACCTCTAGTGCCCCGCCAGCATATACCGTTAGCGCAGGAGGGGTTAACATTCCAATATCACTCATTAAAAAAATCATACCTATCCTTGTTTGATGATATTTATTTTGCTGTTCTGTTTATATTTCCCTAGATTTGGTTCTTGAGGAAATTAAGCATAGTATATTAATGCTGTATCGTAATTAAGAGCCATGTGGTCTGGGCATAGAATAGGCCACCCCTTCCTTTTCCATAGTTGTTGTAAGAGCCAACTAAGTGAGGGCGATGGATAGGCAGCAGCAGCCCTCTTAAATCTCCAAAATCCAACTACAGTTACCTGCCTGCTAAGCATGGCAAAACCCCCCCAAGGGGGACGCCCATGTTCAGCAGTATACAGTTAATGGCTGATATGGGGGGGGGAAGGAATTGTTAGTAATGGGGAGGTTAGTCCCCATCGCTATTAATATACCTTAACAGGTCGACCTCCACGCGGTTCCCCCTGGAAACCGATGGGCTAACTGACCTGCCTTTTCATCCTCGCCTATCATCTCTCACTGGTGCCCCGCTAGTGTATACCGATAGCGCAGGCGAAGTTACCATTCCATTATCATCCATAAAAAAAATGCCTGATATATGGGGAAAAGGATTGTTAGTAATGGGAACTAATGGCCCCATTGCTAGCAAGCCCTGTCAGATCGATCTCCACGTGGTTCCCCCTGGAAACCACCGTGGCTAATTCTAGTTGATTTTATCAGGATGGGCTAACTGACCTGCTTTCATTCTCATCAATCATCTATCACTGGTGCCCTGCCAGTGTATACCGATAGCGCAGACGGGATACCATACCATTATCAGCCATTAAAAAAAAATGGCTGATATTATATGTAATGTGGTTACCAAAATATCCATATATTTTCAAGAATTAATTGACATTTACAGTCAGAATAATTAATATGTTCCCCGCACCGACTCGTGCTGTCCTACGAGATCGTCCGCGCACAGCAGTCTCGCGGCCACACGACGACACTCTCGCTCATATTTTCTATACATGTAGTATATGTGGATTTATTTAAGTATGTATTAATAAATTAAAGTATACACATACATACATACATATCTGTCTCGCCTGTCTCCCATTACGGTAGGCAGAAACAATGGAACGCCAAATGCTTCGATTCAAACAAACCTCTTTCGCTTCTTCCACATTCATCAATCTTTTCATTCACGCTCGCCGGTTATGGGTACTTTTAATTTGGCCCTTCTTCAGCACGTCGCCTATTTGGTCGACATACGTCCGATATATATATCACATTGTTGTATGCATATCTGTATATGTATTTAAAAAAACGAATAGAGTTCCGTGCCTCCGTCAAACTGTTTATAATTACTCCTCTCCATCCGAAAGGTTTTGCCGTATCAGTCTCGGCATAGAATACGCCACCCGTTCCTTTCCCGTGGGTGTCATAAGAAGCGACTAAGGTAGAGTAGAGATGGGCAGCAGCGTCCTTCTTAAAACATCTCCAAAGCCTGACTGCGGTTGCCAATTCGCCTGCTAAGCGTTCAACTACTGGCAAAAGCCCCCCAAGGGGTGGCGTATGTCCAGCAGTGGACAGTTAAAGACTGATATGACGATGTTGACGATGTATGTATTGGCACCAATTGGTCTTAATGAGACCCCTGAAACCAATGTTTCCTAAATATTTCCCACGTAAGACATGGTCTAGTTAATATAACAGTAAGACACCATAGGGAGACTTTGTACAAAAGTCGATTGCTTGGGTACCTCTGACCCATTCGTGTTTCAAACGTGAAGCAGTTGTGTTTGCATGGCTGTGTTTCGGTTTGAAGGGTGGGATATGGCGTGAATTTACAGGGTACAGAGGAATAACGCCTGAGTCCTCAGGAATAGCAACGCATGCGGGGTATCATGGGCGAAACAGTATACTCTGTTATGTCCATGGTACTGCTCATGTCAGTACATTAGTATTTTAAATATAAATAATTGATTTTGTCGCAATGAAATCGGTATTTCAACCCCTTGGAAGTAAGATGTATTTAGAAGAACATTGTTTATAAGAAGCCTTTTAAAAGAAGACGTATACTCTCAGATATGTTTCTGAAGCTTTGCTTGGATCCTGGGCCTGGCCTTGGGAAGGGATTGTTGGTAATGGGGTTTAATAGAACTATTGCTAGCAATATCCTATGAGGTCGATTTCCACACGATCCTTCCCAGGAACCGTTGTACTTAATACTTAAAATCTTGAATGAATGAAAACTCTTTCTTTATTTTTTCTAATTGATTTATTTAAATGGATGATAATGGTATGGTAATCCTGCCTGCGCTAACGGTATACGCTGGCGCGACACCAGTGAGGGATGCTAGGTGGCAATGTAAAGACAGGTCAGTTAGCGTATCATGATGAATTCACTTGGAATAGAACACGACAGTTTCCAGGGGGAACCGCGAGGAGGTCAACCTGTTAACAGTGGGGCTACTAATCCCCATTTTTAACAGTCCATTATTCCCCGATTTTAAAGATTAACAATATGTATACAAATAAAATGAATAATTAATTACATACATTACAAGTAAGATAAAGAGGTAACAGTGGGTGGCCTTGAATTAGAAACCATGGACTATCTGACTTGCTTAGACTGTCACCTATCCGTGGTCCCGCCAGCGTATACCGACAGCGGGGCTACCATTCCATTTTCACCCATTAAAAGAAAATTATTGTAGGAATTATTTGTTGTAATGTAGTAAAAAATATTTTCAGGTTATCCATGCACTGCTGCAATGAGTAATTCCCGGGCGAATGATTCGTCCGGCCGCGAGAGTCCCAGTATTCTCGCACCAGAGTCTCCGGGTAGTCCAAATATCCTCGACCCACCTTACAGCCCGCCACCGGAATGGCAGGAAGGCCAATCACACAATCTCCAAGACTCGGAGACGTTCACTCAACCCGACCAACCAGAAGACAGTAATGACTCGTCTGTGATTGTCGTCTATGATGCCGAAAGTAGCAGCAGTAGTGGAAATTATGTGAATGTGATGGCTGAAGTCATAAATGCAAGGCCTCCTCCACTTCATAGTCCGATCAACGAAGATAGTGCCACCAGCACTTCTCAATATAACGAAGAATCAAATAGCTTAATGTCTTTACCCGAAGCTGTAGTTCTTAAAGGCGATGAAACTAACCAGGAACCACCAGCTAAAATTAGAAAAATCAGCTCTCCTGAGAAACCTGATGATACCGATGGAGAAACTTGTCCTATATGCTTAGATTCGTGGGGCAATTCTGGAGAACATAGGCTTGTAGCTTTAAAATGTGGACATCTATTTGGTTACCAGTGCGTTGAACGGTGGTTGAAGGCGCAACCAGCCAAAGACCGCTCCTGTCCTACATGCAAAAGTAAAGCCACTATAAAGGACATAAGGTACATTTATGCTCGAAGGCTCGTCGCAGCCGATACGTCCCAGATCACGGCCCTGCAAAAACAACTGGAGTTAATACAGTCAGAGAAAAGTAGAACAGACTTGGAGCTTCAGAAGTCAAGGATAGCGCATCGAGCTTGTATAATGCAGCTAGAAGTATTGAGGAGTACGTTAATGAAATCTCAAGTGAGCAAAGACCAGCCCGTTCGAAGGTCGTGGAGGTTCGCTTTGGAGAAGAACCTAGAAATATCCAAAGACGGCGGCTGTAGGGTCCTCACATATAATTGTCGGACTTACGAGCTGTACGTCTCCCAGAAAAGTACGAACAACTTGTTTCCTGGCTATGGTATTAGGAAAGTCAGTTGCGTTGATTACAAGTTGGGCCAGTTCGTCCATTTGCATCCGAAACCTATCAGAGACATTACCTATTCCCAGCCCAGAGACTTACTACTGAGTGTCGGTTTGGATAGTTCAGCGAGGATCGTGGAACGCGGCATTCCGAGTATCACGATCCCAGCCGGTTTCCCTCTCTGGTCGTGTTCGTGGGATTACTTGAGGAGCAACGAGTTTTACGCCGGCGGTGTCGGTGGAATAATCCATCAGTACGACGTTAGAAACCCCAGTTCTTACATACAAAGACTGTCAGCCCCTGGCGATGTTTCCCCAGTTGTATCTCTCTGCTCGACTGAGTTCGGTCTACTATCGTGCCAGTTAAACTCGTGCTGGTTATGGGTGGCCAACATGCGGCAGTGGGAGCCGCGTTCATTACCCATCGAGGGTCCATTCATGTCCCTTTGCTACGATAACGAGTCGCATCGCGCGTTGATATCATGCAGACCAGGCGGTACCAACTCGGAGCGCTCGAGACTGACAGTCTGCAAACTGAAAGCTTCCGTCGCAAGTGGGGAAGTGTTGTTTGACATTGAACAGACCTTTGCTGGTTCCGCGCGCTCCTCGCTGTTGTCGCGACCGACGTGGGTCCGCGCGGCCGGAGCTAGCTGGGTGGCGGCGCACTCGGAAAGTGATTCAACGCTGTACCTGCACGGGGTGGATGGTTCGAGGACGATGTCGTTGCCCGCCGCTGAGCCAGCGTTAGACGTCTGCTCAGCTCAGTTGAACGGCGATATAGTGTTGGGTGCATTATCAGACTCGAGACTTAGGTTATACAAGGCCGTGTCCACGAACTCATGATATATAGAGACTGTAGTGTGATGTTAGTGACAGAAATACGAACTTGCTCGGACACGTGGCGGTGTGTGAAATTACATGTTTGAACCAGAAAGGTGTACCGAATAGATATTACATGTTTCAAGTTAAAATTTAGTGCGTCCATAACATTTGCTTACCGAAGTGTGGGACCGTTGTCATCTGTCAATTATCAATAACATTTTGACAATGTTTTTAACGGATTATATTTAAAAAAGCTGACTAAATCGTTAATCATAAACTACGTAGCATATAAATCTATTTCTAAGAAATTTGCATTTACTAGTGTTCGTTTTTTAAATTTGACAGATAACCGCGATGTTGCCATATTTGTTATGAACGAATGAACTCATATAAAAAGTTACATAAACGCGAAGTTCATTAATTTAAACATCTTTTCCATTGGCGTCAACCTCGACTGCACAACAATAGAAGTAATCGATTTAAAAGGGATTGACCGCATAAAGAATCTATGGTCTGATTAGATTTAATAGATTTAATGGAAAGCTAACGAAATTTTGTTGATGTTACCACAGGAACACTCTCCAAATGTCCAATTAGTAAGAAATCAAGATGTTCAATCATTTGTACGACGTTTCATTTATATTATTGTTGGACATTTGTTCAAGTTTTCATTATCCCTTAAAAGCCTGATTTTTTAAATCAAATAAAAATATATATATGTGTACCCTTTACTGTGTTTACTAATGGGGGAAAATAGTAAAAAATCAAAACGATATTTTTATATATTTATTTTGAAAAAAAAAACATTTGGTAACATATAAACAGCCAAATATTAAAATACAATCGATTGTAGGCGCCCAATGCGATTTATAACCTCAGTATCAAATTTGAAGCTTCAGGTATTTAAGGGTATTTATAATTTCTATTAATAGTTGGGATACCTTGACCGCGGACTTTCCTTACTAGAGGTACCCCAAGCACCGACTCATCTGTAGACCTTCACTCATATTTCAAAAATTAGTATTCCCAAACCGATACGGCATCATAACCTTCAAAAAAAGAGCATATTTCTTTTTAAAAGGCTAGTAACACACCTGCAATGCCGTTGGTGTTGTGGGTGATCATGGGCGGCGGTAGTCACTTACCATCAGGTGAGTGCTCGTTTCCCCCGTGTGTTAAAAAAAATTAGTTTTTATATTTTATTCATGTTGTAATCTCAATTTTGGATACAGTTTTAGCTCGAATTGAATAATAAATAAATCGGAAGCAGTAATAATTCGCTTTGAACCGTATGATCTGAACTCACTCGAATAATATGGTCCAGGTGGCTGTTAAGAGTTCTTACGCTTGCAGAAAGAGGACGGAATACGGAGAAGATTTAGAGATTTTATATAAATTCGCCCTTTATTAATATTTCCAATAACAAACATTCGAAACTTCACAATTTTTATATTTTTATTGTTAAAAATTTCATAAAAACACACAATTTACTGTAATAACTGGATCGAAAAAGCTCGAGTTTCGGTATCAATTCGTGATCCTTAATCACAGGCGGCTGTGACGCGGCGCGAGCCTGACTGCGCGCGTCGGCCGCCGTTCTAATTACACGTAATTTAAACTGGTAGTTATTACATTAAAACTTTTAAATTTGTAATACTATTGTAATATTTTTTTACAATTTTTTTTTGTGATAATATTTTTCAAGGCTTATTAAATTTCAAAACGTTATGGGCAGTATTATTTTTTAAATTTATGTTCTTGTTTCAATGATTTTTGTACACATGCATGATGGAAATTATATGTTTGTCGATTCCAACAATTGTTCCGACTCCATCTGGAAGTCCAGCGTGTTGTCAGCGTCGCGTCAACTGTGACGCCGAATGCGGTACTGCCTCTGAAAATGTATGATCGAAACTAAATCCGTAAAATTTCTCATGTGCATTTACATAGCTATCAATATGGACAGTTTTCTAGCAAACACGACCCTCTTATTCTATCACGACTAAAACCTACAAATCTTACAATACGCACAGCGCGGTTTCATAGAAGACTTCTTTCACGAATATTCAGGTTGTGGAGTGATCTGCCTGCCGAGGCATTCCTTACAGACTACAGCATGGAAGTCTTTAAAAAGGGCGTATTAAGGTTTTATAAGGGTCAGCAACGACAATGAAATGACATTCCTGGTGTTACATGCGTCCATAGGCTACGGTAACCCCGTTTATCAGACGGGCCATATGCTTGTTTGCCTTACTATAGTTGTATAAAAAATCTAACTGTTACACTGTTTTGTCATTTTTTTCAAATTGGATATTTAGTGTAAAAGAAAGAGACAAACTGTTCGCTAGCTAAAGTAGGTTTATGACCTATTTTGACGTTTTTTTTTGAATGAAGGGATAAAACTTTAAAATATAACTATGAACTATAATAGCTTTAAGGAATAAATTCTCTGCCTATATTTCTCCACTGATCTTAAATGTAAGATGAGAAAGTGTATGTGCCATGTTAAATAAAAATGGAACATAAATAATGTACTTACCTACAGGGTGTAAACTACTTATATACAGGGTGTAAAGAATAAGTCAGCAAAAACTGAAACACTGAATTCATACCATTATTCTGAACTGATAACCAGTGAAAATTCTTTCCTTCTAATTTTAATTTATTTTTACTTTTTTTTTTTCATTTAAAATGATGTAATCTATGATATTATGTCATAATATAAAGAAATAATAGTATTGTATAGTGAAATACTATGTAAAATAAAACAGCAATGTAATACACGTATTAAAATGCTATCGCGACGCGCGGATTCAGCTGTGTGAGGTCAACGACACGAGCGTACGAAAAATACCTACGAAGGAGCTCCATTACCGCGCGCGTTGTAGGTATCACGCGTCGTGTGTATCGTAAAATTTAAAATACATTGCGCGGCGTCAACACTAAGAAACGTTATTTGTATGGCCGTGGTGCATTTCCAGTGAGAAACTAATCTGCCATCTGATTCAGACCATTCACGTGAGTCAGCTGTTTTCGTTTTGGCCAATTTGCCCCTTCTACCCTGTATAATTTAATTCGTAAAAAGAAAAGCAATTTTTAGTTTTGCGGTACCAATTTTTAAACGTATTTCTTAAAATTTAAATTTCTCTCTTATATATAAAATTCTCGTGTCGCGGTGTTTGTTACCAAACTGCTCCGAAACGGCTTTACCGATTTTCATGAAATTTTGTGTGCATATCGGGTAGGTCTGAGAATCGGCCAACATCTATTTTTTATACCCCTCAATGATAAGGGTGACCCACCCGTAAAAAAGTTTTTTTTTATTTTTTAAACAATTTTTTTATTTTTATTTTATAATTTAGCATTGAAAAATATATACAACTTTAAATTTTCATCGTTTTACGATCAACCCTCGTATTTTAATCGCAATTTTTATATTTCGCAATAAGTGGTAAAACAACGTTTACGGGGTCAGCTAGTATATATATATTTCTATGATCTGATACCAGTATGAATAAAATTTCTAGTAATTTAGACTTTTTGAATTTAGTCCTTTATTGCCACTTAGAATAAAGATATATTTCTTTATTGCACTAAAACATACAGTTATAATAAAAAATTAGTAACAGCAAAGGCGAACTTATCTCTAAAAGAGATTTCTTCCAATCAACCTAACGCAGTGGCATAGGAAGTAGGGAGTGGGCAGTAGTAGTGCAAGACAGAAAGTAAACAACAAAAATACATATTTACGTTATTTACAAATCATTATAAATATATGTTTATAATTTTTATTTATTTATTTATTATTAATTCACAATGCAGTTATTTAGTTATCAGTATTCTAGAAAGCTGGCTGCTTTTTGCATATATCGATTCACCTTTCACATAATTTATTTGCGCAATGCGCGATAATTTATAATGATTCGTAATAAATATACATTTATAAAGATTTCCCTGTCAAATAGAATTTTAAACTTTAGAGAAAGGTTTAAAGAAATTGCGTCCCAAAATTGACTCACAATATCTCGGACGATCCCATTTGGTCAACATTCTTGGCATTGTTTTCAATCTTGCGTTTAGGGGGGGGGGGATTATTAGTAATGGAGACAAAGAATCCCATTGCTAGCAATATACCCAACCAGGTCGACCTCCTCGCGGTTCCCCCTGGAAACTATCATGGTTAATTCCTGATGAATTCATCGTGATGGGCTAACTGGCCTGTTTTTATTCTCATCTATCACCCTTCACTGGTGCTCCAGCGTATCCCGTTAGCGCAGGCGGGGTTACCATACCATTTTCACCTATAAAAAAAATCTTGCGTTTAGAAAAAGACAAAAAATATGCTGTTATTAAATAACATGGTGAAAAGTGTTAGTCGTAACGCATTTATTGTTTTGTAAATAGTTTATTATTCATTTTCTGGTTGTATGTACAATAAATGTTTTGAGATTTTTTTTTCTTTTATGTTGTTTTATTTAATTATACAGCTTCGAGAAAACTTTAAGAATGGCAAACAAGCTGACGGCCTATTTGATGGAAAGTGGTAACCGTCGCCTATAGACATGAGCAGTATTGTAAACATAACAGAGTATACTGTTTCGCCCATGATACCGCTCCATGCGTTGCCATTCCTGAGGACTCAGGTGTTATTCCTCTGTACCCTGTAAATTCATGCCATATCCCACCCTTCAAACCGAAACACAACTGCTTCACGGTCGAAACACGAATGGGACAGAGGTACCCAAGAAAATTACTTTTGTACAGTCTCTGGTAAAATCTGAAAGAATATGTATAATAGATTGATTTTATAGAGAATTTATCAAAACCAACTCAGTAATAGACTAATAGAGTAAACCAGGAATTAGAATAAAAGTAATTTGTTTACTACGACTGAAGTCGATGCTTTCTTTATGTAATCTTAAGGTACTTTTTTTTTATACAACTTAGAATGGCAAACAAGATGACGGCCCACCTGATGATAAGCAGCTACCGTAGCTTATAAACGCCTGCAACACCAGGGGTATTATGCGTGCATTACCGACCTCGAGGAAACCTCTTTAGGACCTCCTACCCTTTGAAGAACCACATGCTGTAGTCTCTTGGCAAAACCTCGACATAGAGCTCATTTTATAACCTGAGTGTTCGTGAGAGAAAACATCTCTGTCACCGCGTTGTACACGAAAATTTAGGGTATGACGGTAAACTCTTTGTTGATGGCAAGCCATACGATGGTAGAAAGTGGCCGCAGGCATCATATTGAACAATTCGTGTTTTCAATCGTTGGCCTGTGTTACATTACCGCACTACAGCAAGCTTAAAACACTTAATATAACTTAGATCTTCTTCAATATAGTTAAGTTCTAATCAATTGAACACGTTTACGAATTACGTTACTTGTAAGGATTAATAAAAATTTTAGAAAAAGCAATATTAGTTTTATTTTCATGTGTCAATTGTACATATATTTACAAGAACATTGTTGGAATACCAAATGTATTAGTTACATTTGGTATTATTTTTTACATAAAATGTAACTTTTCAAAATATTTATTGTTATTTTTTTAGAGGCGTTCTGGCAACATTGAAAAGGTACTTGGTGTTACCATTTAATTTCTTTCAGGCTTCTCTAGCTATTTTTCTTCCCATTCAATTACTACAATTTACGATCTGATATAACAAAAAAATATTTATTTTTCTATAGATATCATCAAAAATAGCTAAATAGCCATTGAAAACAATACAATAGTATATATTCGTTTATTAGAACAAAAAATTTGTATCTGTTTAAAATTTAAAATGTAATCAATCACAACAGCTTGAGTGCCTATGCTTTTTAAATAAGTATCTACCTATGCTGTCTTCTTCTTCTATTTCACCTTTTATGGTTACTCGGTATCAGCTTTTCTAATTATGCGACGCCATCTATTCTTATTTTATGCATCCTCCTTCACAAGATTTATCCGTTTCATATATCTATGACCATGACGTTTGAAATGTTTCCTATTCTTTTTTCTTTATATCTATGGATAGGCACTTTTTCACAACATGGTCATTACTTCGTAGGACGTGTCCATACCACTTCATCGTAGATAGATACCATAATCTTGAGAGCAGCTTTGCAACTTCCTTTAATTTTTACTCCCTATTCCTCTAATCTGTTATTAATTTCGCACTTTAAGTGTGACTCCAATATGTATGTATTAATTGTAATATACATATTAATACATACATATTTATTTATCTATACATACATATTTTACTTTTTCATACATACTTACGCTGTAAATTTTAAAATGAAAATTTGTAAATTGCTAATAATGAGGTCAATTCTGGGGCGAGATTTTTAGAAACTTGTTTCTAAAATTAAAATTTTAATTTGATATTGCAGTATTTTTTTTATTATTATATAAGAACCAATATGAACAAATTTTCAAACAAACAAACAAGCTGACGGCTCACCTGATGGCAACTGGTTAGTTAATGGTTTAGATAGTGATGGTCCGTAAATCAGTAATTTTGTGAAATTGTCATACTAAAATACTAGGTTAAGAGATAGACTTATAAAAATGGTAAATAGGCAAAATTTGCCCTATTGTCGACCATGTCGCACGCTAACACGCATACAGTGGCCTTTTTAATTCCATTTATCACAAAAATTTTACTGTTACCTGGCAACTCCAATATAAAAAAAGTAATCTGTCCTTTGGTTGGTAGATGAAATACATTTGTTTTGTTAATCTAAATTAAATTGTAAAAATATATTTAAATAAAAAGTTGAGGTTTATTAGTGCATTAAAGTGTTTAATTTAATTATTTGTTTAATTATCTACTCGTTGGACTTCTTTTTCATTTATAGACAAGGTTAGTTTTGATTTAATTTACTTTTCTTTTAGCAGATGACTGACACAGTTATGAGGTCATCGTCTTGACGACGAAAAATAACAATATAAATAAATTAGAACTGTAATTAAAATTAGTAGGGAGTCTTTTATTAGTCAATAAAACAAAGAAATAAATTATTTTTAGTTTTATCTCTCTTTAAACGATTGTATATAACTCCGCACATGCTTCGTCCGCTGGCCGGCATCAGTAAGTGATTAAAGGAGGGAATGAAGTCTGTTGGATTGTTGTGACCAATTATGTTTGTTATAGTTTCAGATAGTATAAAATGGAGCAAATTCTACATCAAGTGGCCAAGAATGTGGAGAAACAGCTGGATGATGAGATTGAACGGTTGGTAAATTTTATTTATTTACTTGAATAACTCAGTGAGCTTTACAATCTCCCAATTATTGATATAATCAATGACATGAGCTATACAGTCCACATGCCACAGTTTACATGCTGTCTGGTCCCGGCATAGAATAGGCCATTCCTATTCCGTGGGTGTTGTAAGAGGCGACTAAGGGAGGCTGCAGTTGCCAATCTGCCTGATAAGCATGGCAACTACTGACAAAACCAGGATTATGTTCAGCAGTGGGCATTAACTGTCCACTGATATGATTAGCTTTACAGTCTCCAAATACGGACACGGACCCAGTAAAGTTTCATTTATATTCGGTTATACAGTTTTGTGGGGGATCTATTTGGGGCTGGCCTGACTTGTGCGAAGAAATAAATAAGTATCCAGGTGGACACTCCCATGTGTTTATGGAAATATATGTATATATATATATTAGGTTCCTCTGGATATTGATGGTGGAAGACAGGTCATCATCTATTTTTATATCACCTATATCGGTTGAATATCTATTTCCAAATATGTTCCAAAAAATCTGTTCAATATTACGTTTTGGATAACAGACTTTGAACATATTTGTTATTGGACCAGTATATAGTTATTGTAACTAAAACATATATAGATATTACTATATATTATATTACCCATCCCTACTTTTATCTACAAAAAATCAGTTGCGTTTTACAATTAACAGAGCATAATGTGTTTGTCCATACTTACGATTATACTACATTCATTCCCATAGGTAGACTTTAATTTAATGGGTGGTAATGGTATGGTAACTTCACCCACACTAATGTTATACACCAGTGGGGCACCAGTGACCAGAGGGAGACTTTGTACAAAAGTTGATTACTTGGATACCTCTGTCCCATTCGTGTTTCTACCATGAAGCAGTTGTGTTTGCATGGCTGTGTTTCGGTTTGAAGGGTGGGATATGGCGTGAATTTACTGGGTACAGAGGAATAACATCTGAGTCCTTAGGAATGGCAATGCATGGGGGGTATCATGGGCGAAACAGTATACTCTGTTATGTCCATAGTACTGCTCATGTCTATAGGCGACGGTTACCACTTTCCATCAGGTGGGCTGTCAGCTTGTTTGCCATTATAAGTTGTATAAAAAAAAAGGCATATTGCTAGCAATGGGGCAAACTCCATTGCTAACAATCCCTTCCCCCCATAGGTAGACAGTCTGTTTGTTTGCTGTTGTATGGAAGTCATATGTAACTTGCTCCACAGTCTGGAGCAGATGGACAGTGCAGACTTAGAGGCGATCAGGCAGCAGCGCCTCAACGAGATGAAGCAGCGCGCCAAGAAGAAGCACGAGTGGTTGGCCAATGTGAGTTTTTTTTTATGGGTGAAAATGGTATGGTAACCCGCCTGCGCTAACGGGATACGCTGGCGGCACCAGTGAAGGGTGATAGATAAGAATGAAAACAGGTCAGTTAGCCCATCATGATGAATTCATCAGGAATTAACCATGATAGTTTCCAGGGGGAACCAGGAGGAGGTGGACCTGGTTGGGTATATTGCTAGCAATGGGATTCTCAGTCTCCATTACTAACAATCCCTTTCCTCCCAGCCAATGTGAGTTGCATGGACAGCTATGTTATTCGGTCCACAGGAATCATGACCACCTTGGTGGTGAGAGGAAAGGGATTTTTAGTAATGGGGTCTAACTGTTCCATCGCTAACAATATGCTCTAATATATCCTATCACGTCGATCTCCATGTGGTTCCCCCTGGAAACTGTCATGGTAAATTTTTGAAATTGTAATGTTGGGCAATCTGACCGGCTTTCATCTATCATCCCTAAGTGATGCTTCACCAGCATGTACCAATAGCGGATGGGCTAACTTACCTGCCTCTTGATCTCACCTATCATCCCTCACTGGTACCCCGCCAGCGTTTACCATTAGCACAGGAAGGGTTATCATTCCATTGTTATGCCATAAAAAAACCTAACCCCATATTACATACAATTTCTCATAGGGCCATGGGGAATACTCTGAGCTGGACGGCGAGAAAGAGTTCTTCACTGCCTGCAACAAGAGCGAAAATGTGGTTTGCCACTTCTACCGCGGTGGGGCGGAGCGGTGCCGGATACTCGACATGCACCTGAAGGCGCTCGCCGCCAAGCATGTGGAGACCAGGTTCGTGAAGCTGGACGCGGAGCGGGCGCCGTTCCTCACCGGTGAGAACCATTCATCTATCATCATAAACACTATAGTATGGGGTTCTTCAAAAAGGATACATTAACCGCTTACCATCAGGTGGGCCGTATGCTTGCTTGCCACCTCAGTGGTATAAAAAAAAAATAAGGTTTCTTCAGGGTCGGCAACGCGTACGTGACACCCCTAGTGTTGCAGGCGTCCATAGGCTACAGTGACCGTTTACCATCAGCCGGGCTGTATGCTTGATTTCCGCTTTTTTTTCATAGCACTGAGGTGGCAAACAAGCATACGGCCCACCTGATGGCAAGCGGTTACCGTGGCCTATGAACACCTGCAATACCAGAGGTATAACGCGTGCGTTGCCGACCCTGAAGAAACCTTTTGAAGAACCCCATGCTGTAGTATCTTGGGAAAACCACCTTTGTGTATAGTATAAAAAAAAGGCAGCGCTTTTGTTTTTCAATAAAAGTTAACTGCCGTTGTCAACTCGCCTGCCAAAGGTAGCAACTACTGGCTAAACTTGGGGGAGGTCAATGTTCAGTGGACAGTTAACAGCTGTATTACCATTTTTTTGCAACATAGAATGGCAAACAACCTGATGGAAAATGGTCACCTATACACATGAGCAGTACCGTGGACATAACAGAGTATACTGTTTCGCCCATGATACCCCCCATGCGTTGCCATTCCTGAGGACTCGGGTGTTATTTCTCTGTACCCTGTAAATTCACGTCATATCCCACCCTTCAAACCGAAACACAGCATTATTATAAATCAGGATCGCATCAAATTTTATTGCCTTTTTTAAGACCACACCTATTAACTTTTCTTAAACATGTCCCATGTACAGACAGCGCCTGGTTACAGTTTTATTAGTAATACATTGTGTGGTCCCGTAGCTCGCCTGAAGATCCGCGTAATCCCCACGCTGGCGCTGGTACGCGAGAACAAGACCAAGGACTTTGTGGTCGGCTTCACCGAGCTGGGCAACAGGGATGACTTCACCACAGAGATGCTGGAGTGGAGGCTCGCCAGGTGACTGACTCAGTTAGATAGCCACACTTAGAAATAATGACCCTTCTAATGGAAAGTGTTTTTTGTTGATGGATGATAATGGAATGGTAACCCCGCCTGTGCTATCGGTATACGCTGGCGGGGCATCAGTGAGGGATGAGTGAGGTAGACAGGTTAAGATGAAAAGGCAGGTCAGTTGGCCCATCATGATGAATATACTAAGAATTCAACACAGTGGTTTCCAGAGAGGACCTGCCAAGGTATATTGCTAGCAATGAGACTGGTAGTCCACATTACTTGCCTAATCCCTTTTCCCCTATAAGCCATGGTTACCATTGTCCATTAAGTGGATTGTTAGAATGTGTTGTAAAAATATACGTAATACTAGCATCTGGCCTGGTTTTGCATTAGAAGTATAGATAACAGTAGCCGAGTGGTCCTGGCATAGAATAGGCTACCTCTTTCTTTACTGCGGGTGTCGTAAGAGGTAACTAAGGGAGGCCGAGGGTTGACCAGCAGCATCTCTTTTAAAACATCTCTGTACCTCAACTGCGGTTTCCAATCCGCCTGCAAAGCATGGCAACTACTGGCAGGACCTACTAGGGAGAGGCTTACGTTCAGCAGTGGATAGTTAAAGGCTGATAGATAACAGAAATATACTTGTTACAGGTCAGAAGTAATAGAGTACAACGGGGATCTCACGGTGCCGCCAGCGGAGGCCCGCAGGCAGCGAGCCCTGCACGTGCAGAGCAAGAAGACCATCAGGGCCAAGCAGGACGACGACTCAGACCTGGACCTCAGCGACTGATCCTCTGGAGGCGCGACCATTACCATGTATACACCGATACCATCGAGATAATAGTAAATAACGTATGTACATACGTACTAGTAGGCGTGGAAATATCGATACCGACCTAATATCAATACATATAATAAAATCGTAACTGGTCGCTGTCTGTACATGGAAGATATATAAGAAAATCTATTATGAAATTTATGAACGCAATACAATTCAAAATAATTGATTTGTAGAATTTTTGTTTGTTTGTACGTTTGTGCATGCTGTTCAGCCTTTAACTGTCCACTTGGGGGGTTTTGCCAGTAGGTGCTACGCTTGGCAGGCATATTGGCAACTACAGTTAGGTTTTAGGGATGTTTTAAGATGGACATTAGTGTCCATCCTTCGCCCTTCCTTAATTGACTCATACAATATCCACGAGAAAGGATGGAGTGGTTTATTTTATGCTAGGACCATATGATCAAACTTATTATAGATACAAACAATTACAAGAAAATATTACACTGAGAAAACAATGGGTGGCCTTATCGCTAAAAGCGATCTCTTGCAGGCAACCTTTGCATGGAGAGGAGTAATTATAAACGCATATTATGCAGCACATTTATTATGGTACAACTCAGTTGGGTGACACCCTAAGAAACGGGAATTACATAGTAGGAATGATAAAATAAAAACAGTAAATCATATGGTAGTCTTCTTTCTTCTTATGCTAATATAATTAGTAAAAAGAGGACGAAAGATACATCATCAGTTGCTATTTTTCTCAATTCACAGCAGCCTAGTGTACAGAAAATGTGTGTGTAAAATTTTTGTTCATTTTAATATGTCAATTATTTTTCAATAACAAATGTTACATTACTAGATTATATATTCGGCACAGTTTATGTAGAAAGTACGCGAGCAGGTTGTATCTGTATTTGTTACGGTTATACGGCCAATAAAACCAAGTGACATATCTTGATTAATTTGATTACTATGAATTATTCAAAAGGCAGATGCATTTTTATATGTCTATCCCTCTCTAATGTATTGGCAATGTCATAAATACAGCGAGCAATACACTATGTGAATTACGCATTCCATCTATTCTATTCCGAAATCTTTGGTGACACCCAACTTTATCTTATCACTATTTTTTTTTATATATTCCTGTAATTTAAGTTCAGTTGTGAGCTCGATTTATATTTATTGAGTGAATGGTGCTATATTGTACATAAAGAAGATTATTTGGATGCTTCAATACAATATATTTATGTAATCTGTGTGGTTAAGAAGCCTCTTACACGAATCATTACATGATTTCTTGTCCATAACTGCATAATCTGTCTGTATGCCGGTGTAAGAATCTGTCTGCAGGATAAGTATTTGTTTTGTATACATAAATCCTTATCATGAAGTCTACAGCAGGGTTTTTAAGCTTTTTTTTACATTTTTGTTGTGTTACCATGTTAAACTCGTAGTGTTGCTAGAACAGTTGTATGTGAAGAGAAAAAGTGTGTGTATGATAGATAAATTAATGCTTGTATTATATTATAGCTAATAAATGTTTTATACTATTTTAGTTTTTTAATTTAACCCTTGATTGTCTAGGAAATGGATCATGAATATGTATACGGTAATACTACATCACAGGTAATATAAAACCAGTAAATACTCAATTAATAATCTAATTGCCCCGTCGCCCAATTGCTAGCTAATATTCCGTTTTGAGTCGGCCTATACGTAATTCTTCTTAGAAACTATCATTGTTAATTATTATTGGATTCATCTCGATGAACCTCATTGGTGTCCCGGCAACGTAGTATGATAGCGCAGGCATTTTCAATTTCACCCATAAAATGCACTTGCCTCAATTTTCCTACTTGTACCATAGATTAAGAATAGTAATTTTGAGGCTAATTCTTTTTCTACGATACTCATGTAATAACAACATTGACAGCTGACAGCTTCGACCAAATGTTAAAGTGACAGTTGCAAAAAATCGCAGTTGCCTGTGATATTTTGCGTTAACAGTTTATTCTATTTAATCGTTTAAATTATTCAATTTCTTTTCCAATAAGAAATTTGAATAAACAAGAATCTAATTAGCAAAACAAATTACCCGCTCGCGATATCGTACATAAACAGAAAAAGTGTAAGCGAATCAACGTAATATTTTGTTTTGAAATATCGAAATATTATTTTATCATTACGAAGCCTACGAGAACTTGTAAGTATAAGGGGAAAAGTGTGTTAGTTCTAATTATAGATTGCGAAGATAGTACATTATTGGGTCCCAAGTTTTCAAATAATTATGCAAGGTCGCTGCTCAGACTTTGTACTTTGATTGTGCCCTTTCTCTAACATAATATCAGTTTTCGCTACAAACAATTATATTAAAAATAAATTACTTATCATATTTATAGTTTATGTAATGTGGTGTTGATGCAACATTCAATTGTTCCTGCTAATACTGTAAATGAAAATTAGTATGAGTATAGTCTTACTTCATATCTTTGAATTGTTAAAGACATTTTTGTGCCAAAGGAAATTAAATCGAAGTATGTTCGTACAGTAATTGTTGCCAACTCCTGTATGAACATTCTTAAATGGAGGAGGCCTTTTTTTTATACCACAAAGGCATGCAAGCATACAGTCCATCTGATGGTAAATGGTCAAACAGCCTTTTTATTTGAAAGATATGTTGATCCAGTGATTGTTGTGTGGTGTAATTAATAATAATGTAATTATAATTTATGGCCAACAAATAAAGGCTTTATAATTGAATACAGTAGTCAGCAACAGGGGGGAAAGGGATTGTCAGCCATAGAGTTTGACAGCCCTCCCTTTCTGGTGGGTGTTGTATGAGGTGACTAAGGGAGTTTATGGAGGGATGGGCTCCAGTGTCCTTCTTAAAATATCTGTAAAAGCCTAACTGCAGTTGCCAACCCGCCCGCCAAGCATGGCAATTACAGACAAAACATCCCTCATGGGGAAGGCTTCTGTTCAGCAGTTAAGGGTTCTTTTCTTTTTATTGGATGAAAATGGAATGGTAACCCCGCCTGCGCTAACGGGATACGCTAGCGGGGCACCAGTGAAGGGTGATCGATGAGAATGAAAACAGGCCAGTTAGCCCATCATGATGAATTCATCTGGAATTAATCATGATAGTTTCCAGGGGGAACCACGAGGAGGTCGACCTGGTTGGGTATATTGCTAGCAATGGGATTCTCAATCTCTATTACTAACAATCCCTTACCCCCCGCGTGGGTCGGTTATCATCTATAAAAAAAGCTAGTACAAACTCATGAGACTCGTGTAATTCTTCATGACAGACACACATAATGTAATGTAAACTATTCCCAGGTGTTGCCACCCGGTTGGCGATGCGCCAGACTGTTGCCACTAAAATTATTATTTCTTGAAATAAATGAGTTAATGACTTATCCCTGATCTTGAACACGTCGAGGTATATGTAGGAAGTGTTGCCTTAGAATTATTGCGTTCAAATAGGGGAAAAGGGATTGTTTGTAATGATATCAAATAACTTTATTACTAGTAATATACCCTGTCAGGTCAACCTCCACGTGGTTCCCCCTGGAAACCATCGTGGTTAATTCTAATTGAATTCGTCAGGATGGGCTAACTGACCTGCTTTCATCTGTCATCTATCACTGGTGCCCCGCCAGTGTATACCGATAGCACAGGCGGGGTTACCATACCATTTTCAGCCATTAAAAAAATACAGGCATATTGTTACTAGGAGTTGTTTTTTTTATTATTAATCTACTTTTTTTCAATGGATGATAATGGAATGGTAACCCTCCCTGTGAAGTGCCAGTGAAGTTAATTCATACAATAAATTTGCATGCTCTGGTTGCCTTTAAATGTATGAACAGTAAGCCGTAATCCACTAGTGTATTGTATTGAAATGTTTCGCAGTATCTTATGTTGGCGATCCTATAAATAAATAAATTTATATATAATTACTTTAGTTGCATATGTATGTAAAGGCGTCAGGGGTGTTCTTCTCTAGAAATTTGTCCGATTCTAGAAAAAGGGCATACAAGTATGCGACCCCGGCCTCCCGAGCCGCTACAGTGTCCCCCCTTTCCTTTCCCACATTCCCAAGTCCCTTATTCCTCTCATTTACCAATTTTCTTTACACATTTCCAACGTTCCCTTCCATTTTTCCTCAATCTTTTCCTCCATACCGTAGGTGGTGGAAACCACCAACAATTACATTCCCAAAGAACAAAGAAGGTTTACGTCAAGCAGGCGGCCGGTCGTAAAACTATAGGCCAAATCTTTTTACATCGTCACAGTCGTAGAATACTGACGGATCTATATATGTGATATTTGTCAGATCCGTCAGTATTCTACGACTATGACGATATTATAGATAAAACCAGATTACGCCGACCCCAAATTATAATTGAGATAAGGGTAGGAAGATGACGATGTATGAAGAAGTCCGTTGCCTCTGTCACGCGGGACCCCGGGATTGTATTGTCTAACTACCGACTAGCTGGACCGCTTTACTTATAATCTCTTTTCCCCATTTTCACACATTTCCGCTTCCTATTCATATTATCTCGGGCCTATTAAAAGAAAACTGCGAGTCACTGTTAAGATAAGATTACTAGCTGGTACATAGTTGGTACGCGAGTGCGCGGCGTTGCGTAACAGACGGTAACGTTCATATAATGTCAGTCAATTAGTCATGCAGTATTCTTTTTATACAACTTAGAATGGCAAACAAGCTGATGGAAAGTCGTAACCGTCGCCTATAGACGTGAGCAGTACCGTGGACATAACAGAGTACACTGTTTCGCCCATGATACCCCCCATGTGTTGCAATTCCTGAAGATTCAGGTGTTACTCCTCTGTACCCTGTAAATTCACGCTATATCCCACCCTTCAAACTGAAACACAGCTATGCAAACAACTGCTTTACGGTTGAAACACGAATGGGACAGAGGTACCCAAGCAATCGAGAGATCTACACAGAGAGAATGCAATCAGAGTGAGGGCGGTAAGCTCACCTCACCTCCCACTTATGGACGAATTAATGTTTATTTTCCATGGCGGGAAGAAGTTGGGGTGAGGTGGTAAGGGGGGGGGTGACGTCTAAAAAGGCCCACATGTAAATAGATAGATAGATACTCTTTTTTTGTTTCCTATATATAAAAATTATGTTCCTTTAGACAGTTATATAATAGTTTTCCAAATAAAGTTCAAATAAAACTACATATATATATATATATATATATATATATATATATATATATATATATATATATATATAAATAAATGTATATTAATTTACTATATTCATTTATTTTCTCTTCCAACTCGCCTGATCCTGTAATCCTCTCCCTAAATTTTCTGCCACCGTATTCCTGTTTTGTACCGCGTCGATTTCCCTGCTTTTTAATTAAATATGAAAATGTCTAATGGCTACCCTAAAAAGCCAAAGCCAAAAAATAAAAAATATATATTCAAATCTTTAAATTCATTTGGAATTTTATACTGTAAAGTAGTTTTTTTATATTTGTCTGATCTTGGTATATATATACATACATACATATCTGTCACGCCTGTCTCCCATTAGGGTAGGCAGAAACAATGGAACGCCAAATGCTTCGATCCAAACAAATATCTTTCGCTTCCTCCACATACATCAATCTTTTCTTTCTTTCTTGGTATATATTCACACTATTTATTTATGAACATTATTGTTTCAGAACGCTCAATTCCAAGGAACATGTAAGTGACGCACGGCAGTGGCAGGAGCACCATGGCGGTAGGGGAGGCGCGGATACCGCCGCTGCTGCGCGACGAGAGAACCCATACGCATCATGGTAGGGAAATACACTGTTATTTCAAATAAACTTTTCTTTTTTTCATATGATAATTAGAATGGCAAACAGGTTGACGATCCGCCTGATGGAGAGTGGTAACTGTCGCCTGTAGGCATGAGCAATCACCATAAAATCACGGTATACGTTGATGTAGTCATGGTACCCCTAATGCGTTGATATTTCTGAGGGCTATTGATGTATCAGTTGTTACTATCCACTGCTGAATACAGCTTCTCCCAAAAGCTGATTTTGCCAGTAGTTGCCACACTTGACAAGCGGGTTGGCAACCGCAGTTAAGCTTTTGGTGATATTTTAAGAAGGACGCTCCTGCCTATCCTTCAACCACGTTTTTTTATACAACGTAGAATGGCAAACAAGCTGACGGCCCACCTGATGGAAAGTGGTAACTGTCGCCTATAGACATGAGCAGTACCATGAACATAACAGAGTACACTGTTTCGCCCATGATACCCCCCATGTGTTGCCATTCCTGAGGACTCGGGTGTTATTCCTCTGTACCCAGTGCTTGTTTGCCACCTCAATGGTATAAAAAAAAAAATATATTTATGCATGTTTACGGAATATGTTTGTATATTTAAATTTTTTTTATTTTCGGCTTCAAACTCGAACACGTGATCTCGGCTCTGAGTTCTTTTTAAATTGAATGATAATGGAATGGCAACCCCGCCTGCGCTATCGGTATACACCGGCGGGGCACCAGTGAAGGATGATAGGTTAAGGTTGAAGCAGGTCAGTTGGCCCATCGTGATGAATACAACTGGAATTCAGTACGATGGTTTCCAGGACCACGTGGTAGACCTGACAGGACATATTGCTAGTCCGCATTACTGGGGGGGAAAGGGATTGTTAGCAATGGAGTTTGACAGCCCCATTGCTAGCAATATGCCTTATCAGGTCGACCTCCACGTGGTTCCGTCTGGCAACCATCGTGAACAATTCTCGTTGAATTCGTCACGATTAGCTAACTGACCTGCTTCATCCTCACCTATCATCCTTCACTGGTGCCCCGCCGGTGTATACCGATAGCGCGGGTGGGGTTGCCATTCCATTCAACAATCCCTCACCCCTTATTCAGCTCTGAGTCGGTCTATTTACTCGCTGAACCACCACGTTCCTATTACGCGTTAATTCCTATATTTGTATGTAATAAATTATTCATATTGATGTATTAATTATAATTATGTTTATATTAATTAACTGATAATTGTTATCTGTTTGGTAACTTACGCAACAACTGGTCACAGTTGTAATTACAACCGCACGTACGAGGGTGGCGACCTCTGGTGGCGAGCACTACGAGTACATTACGCGCCGTCCGTAGCACGAAACAGATGAGCAGCGTTTTTAAGAGATCTCTCTAATAAGAAATTATGATATTATTTATTTATTTATTTATTAATTATACACTTTATTGCACCAAGTAAAAAGAGAAATAACAAGTACAGTAAATATTATTGGGAAGTGATACAAAAGGCGGCCTTATCGCTAAGCAATCTCTTCCAGACAACCTTTGGGTAGGGGGCATTGAGAAAAAGACAAAGGGTAGGTGGCACACTATTATATAGATACTAGCGGCCCGTCCCGGCTTCGCACGGGTGGACATTTTTACAACATTTAAAACGATGGTTATTGTGACATAAAGATAGATAGTTGGACATATAGTGTCGCGGAGTTTTCTACAGAAACTAACTACAGTTATTGATATTTTCTTCAATATTGTAGAACATACTTTTGTTCTATCACCAATAGTTTCCGCAGCGCACGCGACCAAAGATATTTTATAGCATTTTTTTTTTACACTTTGAGTTACGTTACTAAAGTTTTAGTAAGGATCCCTAATCTTTTCTAGCAATAAATATATATAGCCTATGTTACTCAGAGTGAATGTAGCTTTCTAATGGTGAAAGAACTTTTGAAATCGGCAAAGTAGTTTTTGAATTTATTCATTACAAACATACATACACACAAAAATACAAATATTGCCTCTTAATAATCTTAATAATATTAAATATACTTGTATATATATATATATATATATATATATATATATATATATATATATATATATATATATATATATATATATATATATATATATATATATATATAATGGTACACATACAATAGAAGAAAATGACGAAGGGAAACGAAGAGAGAATATTCTGTCTATAATTCTTGTGGCCATGTTATGATATTGTATCATCATTATATCATCGATTTTGATACTTCTTTTTGTAAATGACCGATGTCTACTTCCGTGTTGATAACATTTGAAGTTGCTTTTTTTCTGTGCATAAAAAATTGTTTGCTGCCTGTCAAAGTCTAGATGGTAGACATTCGACACGATTTCACGTTGTAAATTGAAATAATTAAATTAGGGTAAATATTAACCATTCTTACTTTGTAAGCAAAGATAATATTTTTTTTATACAACTTAGAATGTCAAACAAGCTGTATACTCTGTTATGTCCATGGTACTGTTCATGTCTATAGGCGACGGTTACCAATTTGCATCAGGTGGGCCGTCAGCTTGTTTGCTATTCTAAGTTGTATAAAAAAAAAAAAAAAACTGACGGCCCACCTGATAGAAAGTGGTAACCGTCGCCTATACACATGAGCAGTACCATGCACATAACAGATTATACTGATTCGTCCATGATACCTCTCATACGTTGCCATTCCTGAGGACTCAGGTGTTATTGCTCTGTACCCAGTAAATTCACGCCATATCCCACCCTTCAAACCGAACACAGCCATGCAAACACAACTGCTTCACGGTTGAAACACGGATGGGACAGAGGTACCCAAGCAAACGACTTTTGTACAAAGTCTCCCTCTGGTAAAATAGCAATATATTGTACTTAATTGTAACTATATCATTGTTTCCCAACCATTTTTTTGCCATGCCCCACTTGTACATTTCTAAAATACATAATTTTTCCCGACAAAGTTTACTTGACGTCTCTAATCGCCCAGTTGATATTTTGGTAACGTCAAACGAAATTATACCTAATAAATATTTACAGCACTTTTTTTAATTTACTTTTTTTTTTTTGTTAAATTTGGCACTTGGCAGGCTCATGTCCAGCAGTGGACAGTTAAAGGCTGTTAATGTTAATGATGAAATAAATAAACAAGAATGATGATGATATTTTTGTGCATTACATGTTTTTGTATTTTATGCACGAAAATTATTAATTCACTCTTGCGTCACCTGCCCTTTTCTGTCTGTTCTCCTTTAATCAAAGGTTGTCTGTAAGAGACCGTCCTAGCGATAAGACCGCCTTTTGTACCTTTATGTGTATATTTCAATCTGTATTTATGTTACTGTATTTCACTTGAATTATTCACTTGTCATTGTATATTTTTATTTATGGTGCAATAAAGAGTTGAATAATAATAATAGTATACAATCAATTAACACGTTCACGCCGGCGCGGGCCACCGGTGGTCCGCGCTAGACTGTCTCATTGGACGATACGTACCACCGGCGGTACGCAATAGCCTGTCTTATCTGGCAGCGCGTACCACCGGTGGCCCGCACTAGACTGTCTTATCTGGCAGCGCGTACCACCGGTGGCCCGCACTAGACTGTCTTATCTGGCAGCGCGTACCATCGGTGGCCCGCACTAGACTGTCTTATCTGGCAGCGCGTACCACCGGTGGCCCGCACTAGACTGTCTTATCTGGCAGCGCGTACCACCGGTGGCCCGCACTAGACTGTCTTATCTGGCAGCGCGTACCACCGGTGGCCCGCACTAGACTGTCTTATCTGGCAGCGCGTACCACCGGTGGCCCGCACTGGACTGTCTTATCTGGCAGCGCGTACCACCGGTGGCCCGCACTAGACTGTCTTATCTGGCAGCGCGTACCACCGGTGGCCCGCACTAGACTGTCTTATCTGGCAGCGCGTACCACCGGTGGCCCGCACTAGACTGTCTTATCTGGCAGCGCGTACCACCGGTGGCCCGCACTGGACTGTCTTATCTGGCAGCGCGTACCACCGGTGGCCCGCACTAGACTGTCTTATCTGGCAGCGCGTACCACCGGTGGCCCGCACTAGACTGTCTTATCTGGCAGCGCGTACCACCGGTGGCCCGCATTAGACTGTCTTTTCTGGCGGCTCGTACCACCGGTGGTACGTATTCGATCATGAAGCGTAGCATCAATTAGAGCGCCGCCTCGCAGCAAAAACATTAAAGTCGGCCCCGGCGTGAACGTGTTAATCTATTTTGCATTTGTTTTACTATTACATCAGTACAGTTGTCCCTCGTGCTCGGGTCAATATAATAATTTGTTTACATTTTCGAATAGGTAAATAAAAACATCCAAACATGTATACAAATATTTATTGTGAATGATAATAGATATCAGGGGGATATGTTTTGATAACGTTACTTCACAAACAATAATATAAACATGTTGTCCTTAAAACGTGTACGGTTATAAACAGGCGTGACGTTAACCACGAGTTTAATGTAACACGCTACACACTACTATAATAATAATAATATAATATAGGGGGGAAAGTGATTGTTAGTAATGGAGACTGAGAATCCCATTACTAGCAATATACCCAACCAGGTCCACCTCCTCGCGGTTCCCCCTGGAAACTATCATGGTTAATTCCCGATGAATTCATCATGATGGGCTAACTGGCCTGTTTTCATTCTCATCGATCACCCTTCACTGGTGCTCCGCCAGCGTATCCCGTTAGCGCGGGCGGGGTTACCATACCATTTTCACCCATCAGAAAAAACTGACCTGCTTTTATCCTCACCTATTATCTCTCACTGGTGCCCCGCCGGTGTATACCGATAGCGCAGGCGGGGTTACTATTTCATTATCACCTATTAAAAAAAATTGCACAAAAATATGCTACATTACAATAATGTAGGGTATCAAACGATTGCCTATTAAAACTGTACGGGAACAAAGAGACAAGTTATTTAGACAACCCAATTTGTAAACTATGTGACCTGGTGCCAGAAACCAAAGATATCGCCTAGTACTTGTAATGATGACGTCCAGTTAAAGTAAATATAACATTTAGTTCAGTAAAATATTAACAAACGACACCTAGTTATACTAAACTGGGTGTTCGTAATCATGCACCACGGTACTGCTCATGTCTATAGGCGACGGTTACCACTTTCCATCAGGTGCGCCGTCAGCTTGTTTGCCATTCTAAGTTGTATAAACAAAAAAAAATTCTCAACTGTCAGTTTAAGACGGCCTTAACATTTCGAAATTTCCGAACGTGTGGTTTCTGTTATTGCAACACTGAATTTTGACAGGTGACCATAGACAACTGACAAATGCAGTGGCGGCTAGTTGTGGGTAGTATCAAGTTTAAATATTATAACGGAATCAACTTATCTCACCTATTTTCTTATATTGCTAAAATATCCAGAGTTCTTGCTAAAAATTCGATGATTGTTTAATTTTATAATGAATCACAGCACAGGTGAGGTTTTCTTCTGAATTTATAGCGGTTTTCTTTAATTTAAATCAAGTTACTCCAATTAAATTCGCTTAGTTATAAAAGTATGCGTTTACGAATCAAATACTGGAAACGAAAAAACACATATATATATAAAAACATATATATTATGTCTCTGTTATGTCCATGGCACTGCTCATGTCAATAGGCGACAGTTACCACTTTCCATTTTTTTATGGGTGAAAATGATATGGTAACCTCGCCTGCGCTACCGACATTTCATACATACCTAATCCTACCTAATTCTACCAGAGGGCGACTGTACAAAAGTCGATTGCTTGATCACCTCTATCCCATTCGTGTTTCAACCGTGAAGCACTTGTGTTTGCATGGCTGTGTTTCGGTTTGAAGGGTGGGATAAGGCAGTGAATTTACAGGGTACAGAGGAATAACACCTGAGCCCTCAGGAATGGCAACGCATGGGGGGTATCATTGGCGAAACAGTATACTCTGTTATGTCTATAGTACTGCTCATGTGTATAGGCGACGGTTACCACTTTCCATCAGGTGGGCCGTCAGCTTGTTTGCCATTCTAAGCTGTATAAAAAAATCCTACCATGAGCGGTCAGAAGACCGCTTTAAAATAAAGTACGTATCTTGATATAGAAAGAGATTTTAGCCAATTGGATAGTAAAACAATTAAGTTGTAAATATTTAAAAATGCCTTGTATGTATTTATAATTCAATAAGTTACATGGTGATACAGTAACGTTGTACATAAAAATTTTTAAACTAAATTAATGCTCCTCTCCACTCAGGGTTTGCTGGAAGAGAACTCTTACAGAGTTGAGCTCGACTGTTGTACATCTTTATTTTAAAATATGTATATTTGTAATTTTTTGTGTACAATAAAGAATCATTATATTCCTATCTTTATCTCAATTATTATATGGAGTCGGCGTAACATGTTTTTTTTTTAATTTATAACACAGGGAGGGGGCAAACGAGCATGCGGCTCAACTGATGGTTAGTTTTCTGACCGGACGCCTGCCTGACGTCAACGTTTTTTGGGAATAATCTATACTTATATATAAATCTGTAGAGAGGTCAATTCTGTACATGAAATATATTTCCAAAATAACTATCAGCGGGTGATTAGTGATCGATACTGATGCCAAAAATGCAATCAGTAAAATTTTTGTCTGTCTGTCTGTATGTTCGTTATAGATACAAAAACTACTCGACGGCTTTTAACGAAACTTGGTACAGTTATTCTTTATACTCCTGGGCAGGTTATAGTATACTTTTCATTACGCTACGATCAATAGGAGCAGAGCAGTGAAAGGAAATGTTGGGAAAACGGGAGAAGTTACTCCATTTTTAAGCTTCCGTCGCGTGTGCAGCCATAATGGCCACTTTTTAAAATGTAAAAATGTCCACCCGTGCGACGCCGGGACGGGTCGCTAGTAAAGAATAAATAAATAAATTTCAAAAACGGTCATTTGATCGCGCTTGGTAGGCTTAGTGTTAATATTGTTTAAACTGTGTCGCCAGAGTCGCCGAAGCCGACGGGTGCGTCGGGCTCGACAAGTGGCCAGCGGACGCTGAGCCGCAGCGCGACCGTGCTGACGTCGCTGGTGGCGGGCGCGGTCGCCGGCGCCATCGCCAAGACCGCCATAGCGCCGCTCGACCGGACCAAGATCAACTTCCAAACGTCGTATGTTGCGTCTCGCATATTTATATATATATTAATATATTTTTTATTGCACTTGTAAATTACACATGTAATATACCGCATTATGAATATTGTGAGCAAGGGTGGACTTATCTCTGACAGAGATCTCTTCCAGCCAACTTGATACAGTTAGAAAGCATGTCGCTATTACATTTGGACAGACTTCGGTGTGAATGTTTTGGAAACCAATGAACTTTCCAGTCAGATCCCGTACTCGTGGCGCGCTGCGATCGACTTCCTGCTGCACTCGGCGCGCACAGAGGGCGTGGCGGCGCTGTGGCGCGGCAACAGCGCCACCATGGCGCGCATAGTGCCGTACGCCGCCATACAGTTCACGGCGCACGAGCAGTGGAAGAGGGTGCTCGGGGTGGACACTCCACAGAGCGCGCAGTGAGTACCACGCACACATGCACACGCACACGCACACGCACGCACGCATGCACGCACGCACGCACGCACACACGCGCGCCCACAGGCACGCGCTCGCACATGCGCACACGTACACGCGCACGTATGCACGCACACACACGCGCACACGCGCACATACGCGCACATACGCACACATGCACACACGCGCACATACGCGCACACACGCACACATGCACACACGCGCACATACGCGCACACACGCACACATGCACACACGCGCACATACGCGCACACACGCACACAGGCACACACGCGCACATACGCGCACACACGCACACATGCACACACGCGCACATACGCGCACACACGCACACACGCGCACACGCGCACATACGCGCACACACGCACACATGCACACACGCGCACATACGCGCACACACGCACACACGCGCCCACGCGCACATACGCGCACATACGCACACACGCGCGTGCACACGCGCACATACGCGCACACACGCACACATGCACACACGCGCACATACGCGCACACACGCACACACGCGCACATACGCACACACGCACACACGCGCACACGCGCACATACGCGCACATACGCACACACGCGCACATACGCGCACACACGCACACATGCACACACGCGCACATACGCGCACACACGCACACGCGCACATACGCGCACATACGCACACACGCGCACATACGCGCACACACGCACACATGCACACACGCGCACATACGCGCACACACGCACACACGCGCACACGCGCACATACGCGCACACACGCACACACGCGCACACGCGCACTCAAGCATACATACAGAGAGAGAGAGAGAGAGAGCAATATTTTTTATTCTAGTCAACTTAGTATGGCAAACAAGCTGACGGCCCACCTGATGGAAAGTGGCAACCGTCGCCTATACACATGAGCAGTACCGTGGACATAACAGAGTATACTGTTTCGCCCATGATACCCCCCATGCGTTGCCATTCCTGAGGACTCAGGTGTTATTCCTCTGTACCCTGTATACCAAAACACAACTGCTTCACGGTAGAATGAACGAATGGGACAGAAGTGCCCAAGCAAACGACTTTTGTACAGTCTCCTTCTGGTAACTTAATTGACAATCTTCGTAGCGCAATGGTGGGCACGTAATTTTGCGTAAATAAGATTTCGGGTTCGATTCCTGGTTGAGTGGATTTGGGAGACGATGTTTTATAAATTGGCACTTTTTTTTAATGGATGATAATGGAATGGTAACCCCGTCTGCGCTAACGGTATACACCGGCAGGGCACCAGTGAAGGATGATAGGTGAGGATGAAAGTAGGTCAGTTAGGCCATCGTGACGAATTCAATGATAAATTAGTCACGATGGTGTCCAGGGGGAACCGCGTGGAGGTCGACCTGATAGGGTATATTGATAGCAGTGAGGTCTTACCTTCCCATTACTAAAAATCCCTTTCCCCCTATAAATTGGCTCAAGTCTGGGTCCTATGGGTTGCGCACTCAGATGGTCATAGGCTGGTCCTCGTAATCGAGGGTTTTCCCTCTTGCCTGGTGTACTGGTGACGTGGCCCGTTCCCCAGGGCGCAGCCGGTGCTGCACCTGGTGGCGGGGTCGCTGGCGGGCGTGACGTCGCAGAGCCTGACGTACCCGCTGGACCTGGCGCGCGCGCGCATGGCCGTCACCAGCGCCAGCCAGTACCGCACGCTGCGAGCCGTGTTCGTCAACGTCGCCAGGGACGAGGGCGTCATGACGCTCTACAGGTATGCCGTGTGATCAGGACGGACCGATTATGACGTTTATTTTTGCAGTCTATGTGATTTCATCCTATTATCATCCTATTAGTGTGTGTGCGACTGCCAATATTTATGGATTGAATCCTATTAGACTATTAATATACGGAACCCACTAAAAATTATCATGTGCTGAAATAAAAATTGGCATGCCTTTAGATAAGGCGATATGTGTAACTCATTATTATTTAAGACAGAGCAAATAAATTATTTTATGTCAAACATGCTTGGAAATGTGAGCATTATTTTGACAATCTTCTTCGAGATAAATCAAAATTGCCGTACTGGCCAGATAGATACATGCGGGCAGCGGCCGGCAAAAGTTGTATGAAAATCCATATCTGTCGTGTTTTGCGGCCAGATAAATTACTATGTAAACTCATATCTGTCCTGTAATTTAAAAATGGAACGACCTTTTACTTCGAAACATGGCTACCAAAGAGGTAATTAATACAAGGTTTTATTTAAATTTCGAACTGGCTTGCAAATAGAAAGCTGTTTATTAAAAAGAAAAAAACAAAGGAACGTTATGGCGCGTGAAAAATTATTATTGTTCGTTATTCGTCATTGAACTTAAAAAGTAAAATTGTGTTTTTGATTTCCGCGCATTGTTTGAGAAAAGTACTAGCCTTGGCCACAACTAAGCATTGATGGACTCACGTGTGTGTGCCTCGGCTACGCCTCGGCCCACATTTGCACGTTCGTCCACCAATGCCTCAGTTGCTGGCCGCTGCAGTAGTGTACTAATTATTATTGATGGTATGTCGCGTGTACTGCCGCAGGGGCTACTGGGTGACGGTGCTGGGCGTGATACCGTACGCGGGCATCTCCTTCTTCACCTACGACACGCTCAAACACAAATATCTAGGTGAGTTGCGGCGCGGCCGTGTGTTCGGAGCTGCCCATCGAGTGTACCACACTGTGCCAACTGTACAGCTCATGTTCAAGTCGGACAATTGAATATTTGCATAAAGAAATATTGCGTCGAGAAATGACAAAATAACACGATCATCCCATACTTTTTTTTTTATACCACTGAGGTGGCAAACAAGCATACGGCCCACCTGATGGTAAGTGGTTACCGTAGCCTATAAACGTCTGCAGTACTGACTAGACAGCTGGATGTGTCGTGTTTGATATATATATATATATATATATATATATATATATATATATATATATATATATATATATATATATATATATATAGTATTTTATTGCTATGATTTACATGTTTTTACATGACTTTTTGTTTTATTTTTTATATTTAAGTGACTAGTGATGTGAGCAACGTAATTGTTAAAAAAATAACTAAAAAAAACTGTGGTGCCATAAAATTATTTAGTAAATAAATCCTGTTTTCTCGAAAAATCATCGCATTTCTCTTATTTATTATTATTTAATATTTAATTTAATAACTTAATCCAAAATATTGTTGCCCGTATAATTATTGTCCTGTTGCCACGTCCGCCGGCACTGCGCGGTCTGGCGTTGTACTGGCGTGCCGCAGAGTGGTTCGGGTCGCCGCAGGGCGCGCTGGTGAACGTGTGGTTGGGCGGCGCGGCGGGCGCGGTGGCGCAGTCGGCCTCGTACCCGCTGGACATCGTGCGGCGCCGCATGCAGACGGCCGCCCGCCGCCACCGCCACACCGCAACGGCCACCGCCGCGCACGTCTACAGGTCGGTGGCACGAGCACAGCCCGCAGGCTGATGATGATGACACAGATCTCTTGTCCTTTTTTGTATACCACTGAGGTGGCAAAAAAGCATAAGCACCATTCTTTGGAATCAACTTCCAGCAACAGTATTTCCGAACTGATACGACAACATAACCTTCAAGAAAAGAGTATATTCCTTTTTAAAAGGCCGGCAGCACACCTGCAATGCCGCTGGTGTTGTGGGTGATCATGGGCGGCGGTAGTCACTTACCATCAGGTGAGCCGCATGCTCGTTTGCCCCCTGTGTTGTAAAAAAAAATATGGCCCACCTGACGGTAAGCGGCTACCGTAGCCTATGAACGCCTGCAATACCAGAGGTATTACGCGCGCGTTGCCGACCCTGAAGAAACCTCTTTACCCCTCTTTTGAAGAACCCCGTGCTGTAGTCTCTTGGGAAAACCTCGGCAGGAAGCTCATTCCACAACCTCTCTGAAACCGCACAGTACGCGACCATTTAGGCTGTAGGACATGAGGATGAACTCCCTGTCGATGGCGAGCAGTACGATGGTAGAAAGTGGCTGTGGGCATCATATTGAACAATTCCTCTGAGCACAATACGTTGTACAAGTGGTAGAACACGCAGAGTGACGCAAAATGTCTCCTAAGATACCGCTTACGAGCCTGGGATCACCGACAATTCTCATAGCTCGTCGTTGCGATAGGTTGAAGGATTCAAGTGCAAGTTTCTTGCAGTATCTTCGAGTAGATGTCCAGAAATTTCAGTACAGTCATAACAATATGTCCATTTTGTAATGTTTGTAAAAAGTCTCTGTAGAGTATATTTTTGATACGTTAATTGATATCAACAGATAAGTCGAGCATTTACTTGCATGTGATTTTCAGAAGAGAAAAAAGATGGAAAAAGAAACTTCTCATAAACGATTTTTTTTTAATTGCACATTTATGATTTAGTACTTTGCTTGGGTACCTCTGTCCCATTCGTGTTTCTACCGTAAAGCAGTTGTGTTTGCATGGCTATGTTTCGATATAAAGGGTGGGATATGGCAGTGAATTTACTGGGTACAGAGGAATAACACCTGAGTCCTCAAGGATAGCAACGCATGGGGGGTATCATGGGCGAAACAGTATACTCTGTTATGTCCATGGTACTGCTCATGTCTATAGGCGACGGTTACCACTTTCCATCAGGCGGGCCGTCAACTTGTTTGCCATTCTAAGTTGTATAAAAAAACTTTATTGACTGGTGATTTATATAGGTTTTACATATGAGACATAAATAATTCAAGTATTGTTTTATTGATTGGTCGATATGTCTGTCCACAGGACGGAGGGCTGGCGCGGCTTTTTCAAGGGGCTCAGCATGAACTGGGTGAAGGGCCCCATAGCGGTGGGCATCTCCTTCGCCACATACGACGCCATAAAGAACACCCTGAGGGACATAGCGATCGCGCTGGACAGTTAATGACTCGACACAGACTCTAGTGGTAAGGTACACGTCACGTTCACATGGAGTTGTGTTGTGAATGCAGTTTACTGGGTGTTCCCGTGAAATTGTATGATTGATAGGTTTTTTTACCAGCTTCTCACTATATACCGATCCTGTTGCAAGATTCACGCACAATTTGATCGATGAGTTTAACTGTGAAACCCATTTAGTTATGTATATTTTCTTGTAATGGATGATAATGGTATGGTAACCCCGCCTGCGCTATCGGTATACACCGGCGGGGCACCAGTGAGGGGTGATAGGTGAGGATGAAGCAGGTCAGTTAGCCCATCGTGAACAATTCTCATTGAATTCGTCACGTTTCCAGGGGGCACCACGTCGAGGTCGACCTAATAAGGCATATTGCTAGCAATGGGGCTGTCAAACTCCATTGCTAACAATCCCTTTCCTCCCAGTTATGTATATTAAATGTATAAACAATATACTAGGATACTATGTATATATAGGGGGAAAGGGATTGTTAGTGATGGAGACTGAGAATCCCATTGCTGGCAATATACCCAACCAGGTCGACCGCCTCGCGGTTCTCCCTGGAAACTATCATGGTTAATTCCTGATGAATTCATCATGATGCGCTAACTGGCCTGTTTTCATTCTCATCTATCACCCTTCACTGGTGCTCCGCCAGCGTATCCCGTTAGCGCGGGCGGGGTTACCATACCATTTTCACCCATAAAAAAAAAACTATAGTATATATATATATATATATATATACTAAAATACTAGGATAGTAAGATGTATGTACATTTATTAATGACGTGTTCGAAGCACACGAACTGTAATTATAAATTTTAAACGCAAAACTTTTACATTTGGCCCCTGTATATGTAGTATATGTAATCTGTGAATTTGACTATATCATAAAATTGACTGTAAAATGAATTTTTGACCATTTATCGTCGATATTATATATATATACATGGTAGTTACCGTTTGGTAATACGTTATATTGTTAACAGTTACGATTCAGTTTACGTAATACTCAATATAAACAAGGGAATAATAAAAATACCATATATATATATATATATATAAAATACCTTTTATTGGTACAACGCTATTTATTACTCCTGTTGCAAACTTCTTTGTTGTTTTTTGAAGATTTTATTTTTCTTGTATATTTTTGTTTTTATACTTTTGTTTTGTTTTTTTTTTACAATTGTCACTCTTTGCTCTTTTTCGCTGTCGTACTCTGTCTTCTGTAGTTATCTTTGTAATAGTTATTTTTTCCTTTAAACCCATTTGTTTATTAACGTCAAATACAAGTCGGCATACAGTCCATAATATCGTCCATATCTCCGTTAATGACTGTTGTACCGATGTTTTTTTTTTAATTGATATAAAATATGGTAACCCCGCCCGCGCTATCGGTATACACCGGCGGGGCACCAGTGAGGGATGATAGGTGAGGATGAAGCAGGTCAGTTAGCCAATCGTGACTAATACAACAAGTATTAATCACGATGGTTTCCAGTGGGAACCGTGTGGAGGTTGACCTGACAGGGCTTGCTAGCAATGGGGTCATTAGCCTCTATTACTAACAATCCCTTTCCCCCCCTGTACTGGTGATTGACGTAACTAGAATTAAATAGTAAATTTGACGATATATATATATATATATATATATATATATATATATATATAATACATACATACATATATATGTATGTATGTATGTATGTATGTATGTATGTATGTTGTGGATTAAGTTGACATTGTTTGTAAAATATATTTAATATTGTTATTTAATGCTTGGAATATTCAATTTAGTTTAATTTAATCATTTTTTTGTATGATCATATCTTATTTTAGACACAATGTACATTGTTTTTTGACTATTTTTTTTTATACAACTTAGAATGGCAAACAAGCTGACGGCCCACCTGATGGAAAGTAGTAACCGTCGCCTATACACATGAGCTGTACCATGGACGTAACAGAGTATACTGTTTCGCCCATGATACCTCCCATGCGTTACCATTCTTGAGGACTCGGGTGTTATTCCTCTGTACCCTGTAAATTCACGCCATATCCCACCCTTCAAACCTTCTGTTCACTAGGTATTCATACAATTTAGTTTTATATCTTTTTATGTCACCTATGTCTGTGAGGGATTTATTTTATGTTTACAATATTGTATGCGCACCATTTATTTTAATTTGGGATAATTCAAGTGTATCTTTAAAATTTGTCAGTTGAATTGAAAGAACTGTCGTGCAAGGGAACCTATGTATGAAGTTTGCATGTTTGTTAATTATTTATTTAGTAAATTAATGAAATAAATAGTGGAGACTATGTATAAACATGTTAATCGTACCATGATATTTTTTTTTATGGATGAAAATGGAATGGCAACCCCGCCTGCGCTATCGGTATACACCGGCGGGGCACCAGTGAGAGATGATAGATGAGGATGAAGCAGATCAGTTAGCCCAACGTGACGAATTCACCAAGAATTGTTCACGATGGTTTCCAGGGCGAACCACGTGGAGGTCGTCCTAATAGGGCATATTGCTAGCAATGGGGCTGTCAAATTCCATTGCTAACAATACCTTTCCTCCCTGTACCATGATATTGGAACGCATATAGTGTGCCTTGTAGGTTTAAAGTGATTCTAATTTGTACTCTAAATATGGCTTTACGTTCTCTTGTAAATGTACGACATACATAGATGTAGTAATAGGAATATTTGAAATATATATATATAGGATATAGATGTAGATGGGCGTAGATGACGCAAGTACCACGATTGATGACGAAAACTCAAGTGTATAGTGTTTTTTTTTACTTACTATTGTTACAAAACATTAGTTGAGCAATATTGGAACCATTTCAGTTTGGAATTCCACAAGGATCTTTGTAGAATTATAAACTCGTGTAACTGGACTGTTACATATGGCAGAAGTTGTTAATTTTAAATATTTACTTAACCCTTCTTTGCATGTTTTTTTTTTATTGGTGAAATAAATCGAGGTGATGTGAATTCATGTTCAAAATTAAAGGTAAAATGGTTAAAAAACCAAATTTGATAGCTATGTTTTTTTTTTCTCAATGGACATTGTACACTGCTGTATCCGCTGACATTGATTGATGATTTCCACTTTGGGTGTTGCTGGAAGAGAACTCTATCAGAGTTAAGCTCGCCTCTGTACTTTTGTTTACCTCTGTCATATTTTTATAACTAATGTGTACAATAAAGTATTAAATAAATAAAATAAAAGGACACAAGACACGATCAACTTAAAGTGAACTTGTTCTTTTATATAATTTTTGGGCATTCAATGTTACGATGGAAATTTCCACCATTGTGCAAAGAAGGGTTAAATACGATAAAGGATACTGTTAAAAATAAACGACGTTTCATAAATTTATAGCAAGAATTATATGTAAATTTCGATATCTGCTTGAAGCCACGCCACGTGTGTGTCATGTCTTATGCCCAGCAGTGGGCAATTGTTAATCTAATTTATTTATATAATGTAAATAAATAAATGTAATTGTCATAAAGGAATCTTAATCAACTAATGTATAATTACTCTTTTTTTTTATCGTTGGTTGTTTTAATTTTATTATTTTATTTAAATTTTACATTTCAACTATAATTGTTATTATATTGTTATATTTTTAATTGATTTTGTTTTTATCTATATTGTTCTAGTTGTAAACGAATAAATGATAAGTGTTTAAGAAGCTTATTTCTTTTATTTTTCCCCCAAATGTTTTATTAGTGAGGTATAACACCTGAGTCCTCAAGGATGGGAGGTATCATGGGCGAAACAGTACACTCTGTTATGTACATGGTACTGCTCATGTCTATAGGCGACGGTTACCACTTTCCATCAGGTGGGCCGTCAGCTTGTTTGCCATTCTAAGTTGTATAAAAAAAAATATCACCAATTACTAGGTCCTCGAACTGGGAACAATAAAATTCTTGTTACTGTTAAAAATATTAATAATCCAAGCGTATAGTCTGTTTGAATGGAATTTAATAGAAAGGTAACAAAGTCTATCAGAGGGATTTGTACAAAAGTCGATTGCTTGGGTACCTCTGTCCCATTCGTGTTTCAACCGTGAAGCAGTTGTGTTTGTATGGCTGTGTTTCCGTTCGAAGGGTGGGATATGGCGTGAATTTACTGGGTACAGAGGAATAACACCTGAGTCCTCAGGAATGGCAACGTATGGGGGTATCATGGACGAAACAGTATATTCTGTTATGTCCATGGTACTGCTCGTGTCTATAGGCGACGGTTACCACTTTCCATCAGGTGGGACGTCAGCTTGTTTGCCATTCTAAGTTGTATAGAAAGTAAAGTTTAATTGATACTCTCAAATCGAAATTCATCGTCATCATCCCAGCCATTACCCGTCCACTGCTGGACATAAACCCCCCCCCATAGACCGCCATAAGGAACGGTCCTGAGCCGCCTGCACCCACTAACTTCCTGCAATGCATTAGACCGTTATTCTAGTGGGGGGTCGTCCTACACTGCGTTTGCCCTTATATGGTCGTTACTCGAAAATCTAAATTAGTAACTATCCAACGAATGAAATGTTTTTTTTTTATTTGTACTATTAGATTATATTAGTACGTAGTAAGTTATTCTAGGGGGGGGGGGGGAAGAGATTGTTAGTAATGGAGTCTAATATTCTCATTGCTATCAATATACCCTATGAGGTCGACCTCCACGCGGTTCCCCCTGGAAATTATCGTGGTTAATTTTAGTGGAATTTGTTACGATGGGACAACTGACCTGCCTTTTCATCCTCACCGATCACCCCTCACTGGTGCCCCGGCAGCGAATACCGATAGCGCAGGCGGGGTTACTTATTCTATTGCCAGTTTTTAATAGGTGACAGTTTTCATCAGTTTCCATCAGGAAAGCCGTCCATGTTTGCCGTTCTGCGCTGTATATAACAAGGTAAGGTAAGGGCATCGCTGTGGCGGTGGTGAAATAAAACGAGCAGCATTTCGAGTTCGCACTATTTTAATCAATTAATTAATATTGCACAAATTGTTTTATACTTAACGGCTATGTCGTTATCCCAAATAACAGAGAAACAGCACAGTCCGACAGCACACGGAGAGAGCAAGTACATGTACTGCGGATTAAACGAACAATCAACGTGTGGAATTGTTTTAAAAAAGTGGAGTCTCGATTCGTGGAAATCATTCCAATCGTTTTGTCGGTGAACGGTCTTATCCCAACCAGACTGGAACATCTCAGACGGTTGGGATTCCGAGGCGGTTCACTCCCGGGAAAGATGCAGAAAGCGGTGCTCTTAGATTCTGCCCGCATTGTACGCCGGTTTCTCTCCCTGGGGCCCTGAACCCCGGCCGACTGTGCTTAGTGACTAGACTGGGGGTTAGTTGCCATCTCCTCTCCTTAAGAGGGGACATGAGAATTTTTGTAAAATTTAAAAAAAATTAATAAAGTGTCTTTATTGAATTCTAAACTACATTGTTGTTATGGCCCAGAACCCATACTATCCGAGACACGGTACTTTCATAGTTGTTTTGTTAAGCCATTAAAACAATATTCCTACGCAGTATAAAACAGAGTGGCTTCCTATCTGTCTGTCCCTATGTATGCTTAGATCTTTAAAACTACACAACGGATTTTGATGCGTTTTTTTTTAACAGATAGAGTGATTCAAGAGGAAGGTTTATATGTATAATACATGCATAATACTGTAGAGGAACACTGATAATTTTATCGTACTTACATATATTTAACGGTATATTAAAAAAAATATATTTTGGAAATTGTATTATGTAGTATATTTAGTATCAGCATTGCACCCGTGCGAAGCCGGGGCGGGTCGCTAGTAAGGTAATAAACAAACAAATAAACACGCACACATATATATATATATATATATATATATATATATATATATATATATATATATATATATATATATATATATATATATATATATATATATATATATATATATATATTGTCTGTCTATCGCATGTCCATTTTTTTGTGGTAAAACCATACTTACTGCCTTTTCATCGATCCAGCTACAGTACCTACTTGTAATGTTACTAAAGACGTGAGACGAGAACTAAATTATCTTAATTATTAATTTATTAATTATAATTAATTGTCTCCTTATATATACAGTTATTATACCAGTTGAAATAATTATTTACATGGATACAGAATTATAAAAATACAGTGAACGCTCTATGTAAGCAAACATTCTTTATATTCTATTTATTCTACTCAGTAAAAGAAATAAGTAAAAATATTTTCCAGACGGTAAGTATTTTTATACTCCTTTTTTCTCTTTAAGCAACTTTTCCCAATTTTTTTTTATACAACTTAGAATGACAAACAAGCTGACGGCCCACCTGATGGAAAGTGGCAACCGTCGCCTATAGACATGAGCAGTACCATGGACATAACAGAGTATACTGTTTCGCCCATGATACCCCCCATACGTTGCCATTCCTGAGGACTCAGGTGTTATTCCTCTGTACCCAGTAAATTCACACAATATCCCACCCTTCAGACCGAAACACAGCCATGCAAACACAACTGCTTCACGGTAGAAACACGAATGGGACAGAGGTGCCCAAGCAATCGACTTTTGTACAGTCTCTCTCTGGTAATTATAATAAATGTTTCTATTGAAATATGTACAAATGAGTTGCTTACATAGAGCGTTCACTGCAGTTTACACAGACAGTCAAATTCAATTATAATATTGCATTTATAACACAACACATTTGCCTCGCGGTACCGGCGTAGAAACGCCTTCCACACCCGTGGGTGTCGTAAGAGGCAATAAAGGGAACGGAATGATCCAAGGAAGGGCAGCAGCGTTCCTCTTAAAACATATATATATATATATATATATATATATATATATATATATATATATACCGAGACATAGTTACATCAAGGAAAGAGTTGGTATCGTGTCGTATCAAGAGGTGAAGAGACTCGCTGACAATCGTAGTGAGCGGCAAGAGCTCCACCGACAAGAGTGCAGCTCTTAAATAGGATAGATAGATAGATATAATTAATTTATTTAGTTGTAAATTTTGTTACCTTCACTGTATGTTGTGTTAAAGTAATACATACATACATCTATCTATCAAAATGACCAAAGAGTGACGTCTTTTTAAAGTCGTATAGGCGTAAAACACAATCTCATAGTGCCCAATAAGTTGTATCAGAACAGATTACACGTACCCTGTGTCCGGCTGTTAGTTTACCACGTTTTTATTACTATTACTTTAATAAATATATTACCATACCATAGATAAAGGAATAATGTATTATTTAACATTACGATCGATAAATAGCAATTCGTTTAATGAAACAGTTCCTTGGAGGTCGCTTCGAACGGCGCAAACTGTCGACTCATTCCCCTACAAATATCATCGGTATTATGGTTTATTACTTTATTTTGTACAAAACACAAACACACCCAAGTGATAGAGCGTAGTCACTTGGTTTAGTTGTAAGTCATACTGGGAGCTGAGCTGAGCGAAACTAACTTTATATAGATTGCTTCACATGAAGGAACACGATTCTCTAGTTGTATTTTATTAACAATTGAAAAGGCAAAGGAACTAAGCCATATAGGGGGGAAAGGGATTGTTAGTAATGGAGACTGAGAATCCCATTGCTAGCAATATACTCAACCAGGTCAACCTCCTCGCGGTTCCCCCTGTAAATTATCATGGTTAATTCCTGATGAATTCATCGTGATGGGCTAACTGGCCTGTTTTCATTCTCATCTATCACCCTTCACTGGTGCTCCGCCAGCGTATCCCGTTAGCGCGGGCGGGGTTACCATACCATTTCCACCCATCAAAAAAAAACTAAGCCATATATACCCATGTATAGACATGTTTATTTTATTGTGGATTTTTCCATATGGAACAGGCTAAGGGCAATGATCATGCTGCCTAGTATTCAAAAAATATGTTTAATTAATAATTTCATTGGCAAACCGAAGAAAGAAAAAACTAGAGAAATTCAGACGTTTTTTTAAAAAATCGGTTTTTTCTGGACAAGTGTGGATTGTTCCGGATAAATTAGGATGGAAATTACAAATGGCGCACTTCCTCACAAACTTACGTATCTACTTCGATCACTCATTCTAATTGAAAAATATGGACAAATTAAAAATCTAAATATAATTTGAAAATACATTCATTTAAATTCGGAAATATAAAAAAACAAAGTGGGTTTTATTGCAAATTCCCATTCATGCAGACACATGATTGTTTTTAAGGGAACAATATAGATAAATTATTTAGCGGGAAAATACCTTAATATTTTTGGATAAATTAATATATTTCCGAATAAATCCGGATATTTTCGGTTATACCTAGATAGTTCCAGATAATTCCTAATGATGTGGATAAAATCCGGATGTACCCGAATTAATAATACTTTACAAAGACCGCACTGACACCACCAGTTCACGTGTCATAATGTCCCAAATGGTCCACGTGGTGATAGTAGCGGCGGGGGTCGTGGTGCGGCAGGTACTGGGGACACACGCCCCCGTACAGTGAGAGCACGTCGTACTGGGCGGGCGGGGACCTCGCCCGGGGACCGCCGGCCACTGACGAGCTGGCGCCCGCCGCCATGCTGAACAGGGCCTCCGGGTCGCATACGAACTTGTACACGTAACGTTCCCCTGTGGATAGGCGAGGATGGTAATCAAGTAAACACGGGGGAGAAGGGGTTGTTAGTTATGGGGACTAATAGCCCCATTGATAGCAATATACTCTGTCAGGTCGACCTCTACGCGGTTCCTCCTGGAAACCATCGTGGTTAATTCTTTTTAAATTCATCACGCTGGGTTGCTGGACCTGTTTTTATCCTCATTTATCATCTGTCACTGGTGCCCCATCACCGTATATCGATAACGCAGCTGGGTTACCATGCCATCTTTATCCCCTAAAAACACTCACCGGCGACTTTCTGCATGATTCCCTTCTCGTAGTAGTACCGCAAGGACCTCGAGAGCTTGTCGTAGTTCATCGCTGGACGATTCTTCTGCGCGCCCCACCGTCGCGCCACCTAGTGTTATAAACATCAAACAACATTGCTAGAGTTTACCACAGTGAGTTTGTATTTATCGTCACTTCTGTTCCACTTGTGTTTCCACCGTGAAGCAATGGTACTTGCTTGGCTGTGTTTCGGTTTGAAAGGTAGAGATATTAGAGACTACGAAGAGATAACACCAAAGTTGTCAGGAATGGCAACATTGGTACAATGTAGTAGTACCATGTGTGCCATAGTGCATTCTGTGTATTCAAGCTTATAGCCTATGGTTACCACTTTTCATCAGGCGGGCCGTCAGCTTGTTTGCCATGCGTAGTTGCAGACAAATCTACTTTAGGACATTTTGTTTTTCAATATTACCTCCTCAGGTTCATGAAGTTTGAACTCCAGACCTCGTCCAGTCCAGGCCACGCAGCGGGCGCCCTCTGCCAGCAGCGACACGAGGAACTGCCATAGTTGTAGTGCCCCACGGCGACCCCCACCTTTGGAGGGGAAAGGGATTGTTAGTAACGGAGACAAAGAATCCCATTGCTAGCAATATACCCAACCAGGTCGACCTCCACGCGGTTCCCCCTGGAAACTATCATGGTTAATTCCCGATGAATTCATCATGATGGGCTAACTGGCCTGTTTTCATTCTCATCTATCAGCCTTCACTGGTGCTCCGCCAGCGTATCCCGTTAGCGCAGGCGGGGCTGCCATTCCATTTTCATCCATCAAAAAAAGACCCGCACCTTTGTAAAAATCTTTATAATGTTATAACTCTATGACTTGTTTGATACTGTTCTTCCTTCTCTAATTAGAAGAGAGAGAGAGAGATAGAGAAAGTTGATACTCGTGTTTCTGCTGTGAAGCAGCTGTGATCGCAAGGCTGTGTTTCAATTTGAAGGACCCATCCTTCATATCGAAGGGATATTTTTTTTACAACACAGGGGGCAAACGAGCATGCGGCTCACCTGATGGTAAGTGACTACCGCCGCCCATGGTCACCCACAACACCTACGGCATTGCAGGTGTGAAATTACACGATTCGGAGTTACAACAGATCCTTATAAACGAATGCTTTATAATGGCTGAAGATGGAATGGTACACCCATCTAATGGTTAGAATGGCGCGGTATCAATAAAGAATGAAACGATGAGGATGCAAGTGTGTCTGTTGGCTCGCGACGGATTTAGGTATTACTAGGAATTAACCAAGATTCTTTAAGTTAAATTTCTTCAGGAGATTTAATGCAAAGTCGAAAAAGTAATGGGTTTGGTCAAAAACCAAGACCTGACTGACCTGCGTGCGTGGTGGTAACGTGCTGGTGTGGTGACGCCGCCTCGCTCCGAGCTGCAGCCGGCGCCGTACAGTGAGAACTGCTCACTGACAAGTCACAATATTTATTTTATACTTTTTATACGATAGATACAGAATATATATATAGGGAACCTATAGGGATCGAGGGATGTGTACAGCATCCGCCTTAAGACATCACCAAAGCCTAACTGCGATTGCAAATCCACCTGCTAAGCAATGCAATTACAGGCAAAATCCCCATTAGGGAGGCCTATGTTCAGCAGTGGACACTTAATGTCTGATATGATGATATGTATAAAAAGCTATCGTACCAATCTTCTCGTCCCAGTGCTGGTGGTGCTCCGCGCTGCTGGACACCGCCTCCTCCCTGCTGTCGCGCGCCTCCTCCGCCTCCTCTGAGCATTTGCTGTACGCTGCACCACATCTGTATTGCAATTTATGATTACATCATTAAAAAATATTGTCACACACATGGTGCTTTATAGGCTATGTTAACCCATTGTCATATTAGAGGCTTTCTGTTAAAATGACAGAGGTCTAGTAACCAGATAGGTAACCAGAGGCTCTAGATAACCAGAGGGTTATCTAGAGCCTCTGGACACCATCTCACGAGAAATAGTAGTAGTTTTATGTAACCTAGAAATATCATCTCATGGTGTAGTTTTTTGCATCTTCTCTATGAAGGTAAGTACACCATCAAACTCATATCTGCTGTCAAACAGCAGTTCTTGTGTTTCAGTCTGAATGGTAAAGATTAATGACCGTAGAAGGGGGGAGAGTGGCTCTGGAGACCGTAATAGCGTGTTAGGAGTCACGCTTCATGAAAGGGTCGCTTTGAAGTCAATGTTTAACGTTGAAGTGTTTTTAAAGGGAAACATAATCCCACCTGCGCTATTGGTATACACTAGCGAGGTACCAATGAGGGATGATAGGTGAGGATGAAAAGGCAGGTCAGTTAGCCATTACCTTCCTATACCCGAATTTTATTTATTTATTTATTTAACAAAGTATGTTTGTATTAGCACAGAATTTATCATTGCATGCCCATTCTATTTAAATCACATTGTCAGATTAACCCAGCCATTCTTTATTCCATGTGATTCTACGTCTTGGACAGTACTATACTCCTCACCTGTGTAGGTGGTAGTGTTCTCTGTAATCAGGCCGTGGTTCATCTTCTCCTTTACATCTAGAAAAATAATAGAAATTTTACTGACATTTATACTATATATAATCACAAGAGACAAACTTGCTTCGAAATGGGTTAAAGCTGAAAATTTGTGTTTTGTTCCTTGAACAATGTTCCACGCTGAGCTTCGACCTTTTTGTATTGCTGCAGATCACACATAACACAATTTTATAAATCTTATGTTGTTTTATGTATTATCTATTCTTATGAACATGTTGTGTGTGATTAGTAACAAACAAATAAACGATATATCTATCTATCTATCTAAAATAAAGTTCAGAAAAAATTAACAGGTCCTTCAGAAAAATGGGTGTTAAACTAAGCAGGCTCTTGTACGATTGTCATAGCCTGCCAAGGTACTCGTGAAGCAGTCAAATCAGTTGGCTCATCATGATGAGTCCACAAGGACGGTTTCCACGTCGACCTGACAGGATATCAGCATTTCAACTGCTAATATTTGACTGCTGATCTTAAGTTTCTACGATAAGGGAACTTTTGCTGGTAGTCGCCACGCTTGACTGGCATGTTGGTAACCACAGTTAGGCTTTGGTGATGTTTTAAGAGGGATGCTACTGCCCATCCTTCGACTATAAAGTTCCCTTAGTCGCCTCTTAAGATTCTCACGGGAATGGCAGGTGTGGCCTATTCTATGATGCGCCTGCCAAGCGTAGCTACTACAGGTAAAACCCCTCTTTATGGGGGAGGCCTATGTTCGGTGGTAGACAGTTAACGCTGTGTAGGTCCCAGCATAGAATGGACCATCCCTTCCTTTTCCGTGAGTGTCGTAAGAGGTAACTAAGGGAACATATAGTGGAGGGATGGGTAGCAGTGTCACTCTTAAAACATCTGTAAAAGCGTAACAGCGTTTGCCAACGCGCACTGCCAAGTGTGGCAACTACGTGCAAAATTCCTTATGTTCAGCAGTGGACAATAAACGGCTTAAATTAATTAATTAATTTATTTATTTATTTTATACAACAATCCACCACTCTTAAAAACACAACTTACATGCTAAGTCTCTTATGAATACAGCTAATAACGGATTTTATTTATACTAACAAAAAATATAACTCCAAAGCGAGGTAGGCAAGTTAGAGTGGGTGTATACAAGTAATACAAGTGCATGTATGAAAGAAACCATATATAATAGTGAGTGTTCATAAAGTTAAATTAATTGATATATAAAATATGTAAAATCCATGTCGCTACAGTTCAGACATTGACAGCAATGAAATAATAAAAATATATGATGATGATATTGTAAACAAGCGTGGGCAAAGTGATGTAGGTCATGCAACCAGCCGAGGGCTTACTGCGTGTGCGGCAGGATGGTGTGGGCGAGCGGGTGGTGGCGAGCGTGCGCATACGCAGCCTGGTGCTGGTCGTAGCTGCCGAGCGGCTCGCGTCGCTGCGGGCTCGGACCCACGCTCGCCGAGCTCGCGAGACCCCCCTCCCTGGATACAATGCTTTTAAATTTTTATTTGAAAAAACACAACAGTTGACAATAGTAATATTTTATGTATTTATTTATGTATGTATGTATTGTATATATTTATTTATTTATTATTTTTAACTTTATTTTTCCTCTATTCAATAATGCACCGCCATTTTATTTCTCACACTAATTGCTAGCAATGAGTCTAGTTCACATTATTAGCAATCCCCCTCCCGCCCCTCTCCTTTCCGACGTTAATGGTGAAGGTGGGATAAGTCACTATGGCAACCAGTGTTATAACGTCACCTGTGCTGGTAGTGGAGCCCCCAGGGCAGGGTGAAGGGCGGCTGCTGGGCCATCTCACGCCGCGCCCCGCCACCGCCGCCGGCCGCGCGCCCTCATCCACTCCTGGAGAAAAATGGAACAAATCAACTCTCACTTGTACTCGTATATGGAGTGGCCAACGAACCAACTTCCAACAGCAGTATGCCCGAACAGATACATTGAAACCAAGAAAAGAACATATTCCTTTTTAAAAGGCCAGCAGCACACCCGCAATGCCTCTGGTGTTGTGGGTGATCATGGGCGGCGGTGAATACTTACTGTCAGGTGATCCGCATGATCATTTGCTCGTTGTGTTATAAAAAATACATGTCTACCTAGACACCTCTCCCTCATTCGTGTTTCTGTGAACCATTTGTGCTTGCATGTCTGTGCTTTGGGGTTTTTTTATGGGTGAAAATGAAATGGTAACCCTGCCTGCGCTAGCGCAGGCGGGGCACGGAGCACCAGTGAAGGGTGATCGATGAGAATGAAAACAGGCCAGTTAGCCCATCATGATGAATTCATAAGAAATTAACTATGATAGTTTCCAGGGAGAACCGCGAGGAGGTCGAGCTGGCTGGATATTGCTAGCAATGGGATTCTTAGTCTCCATCACTAGCAATCCCTTTCCCCCCCTCTGTGCTTTGGTTTGAAGGGCAACGGAATTACAGGACATAGAGACATAACACCCGAGTCTTCATAAATGGCAACGAGTGAGGAGTATCATGGACGAAACAGTGTACTCTGTTTTGTCCATGGTACTGTTCATAATATTAGGCTCATTTGCTCTCCGTGTTATAAAAATAGCTTACACTATCATCGGGGGTCCATGCCGTACATTTCGGGCTTCAAACAAAGTTCCAATATCTCCGCGATAGCTCCAGGTCCCGGTAAGACGTCGATAATCCAATAATTCGCGTGTCGCGGCGCCTGCTACCCGTACAATCGCATTACCGTACGCTCGCAATATCCGGCGGGTGCCGCTTCCATTTTGTGCGTGATGTTTGTATACGAAATGGAGATTAGAATATTACGAATTACTGGCGGAGTGTACTTTAAAAAATAAATAAAAATTGATAAGGCGAGGTGAATTTGTAAAAGTCTGATTGAATTTGTTTGCTTGATATTTTCTCGTGAGTATTTGACATTTCACAAGTAGAATTTAAGTATTAAAGTATGAAACACTATGCCGTGTGGTCCCAGCTTAGAATGAGCCACCCCTTCCTATCTCGTGAGTCTCGTAAGAGGTAACTGAGAGAAGGCATGGGATGGGCAGCAGCGTCCTTCTTAAAACATTACCAGAGGGAGATTTTGTACAAAAGTCATTTGCTTGGCCACCTCTGACACATTCGTGTTTCTACTGTGAAGCAGTCATGTTTGCATGGCTGTGTTTCGGTTTGAAGAGTGGGATATGGCAGTAAATTTACTGGGTACAGAGGAATAACACTTGAGTCCTCAGGAATGGCAACGCATGGAAGGTATTATGGGCGAAACAGTATACTCTGTTATGTCCATGGTACTGCTCATGTCTATAGGCGACGGTTACCACTTTCCAACAGGTGGCCGTCAGCTTGTTTGCCATTCTAAGTTGCACGAAAAAAAACTCCAAAGCCTAACTGCGGTTGCTAATGCGCCTGCTAAGCGTAGCAACTACTGGCAAAACCCCCCAAGAGAGAGGCTTATGTTCAGCAGTGGATAGTTAAAAGCTGACATGATGATGATCCAAACGTTGCCTGCAAGAGATCGCTGTTAGCAATAAAGCCGCCTATTGTTCTCTCAGTGTAATATTTTCTTGTAATTGTTTGTATCTATAATAAGTTTACTATTGTAATCTTATGGAGGAAACAATAAAGAGTATCTATCTATACGTAATTATTTAAAATTATTTGACAGTTTTCAATTACAAAAGGAAATGCTACCTCAGAATCGGCTCCGGAGACAGGCCGCTTTATTCCGAAAGTCGCGTAAGAAATAGCTATGCAAATTCAAAATCTCCGCACCTGTGTACAGGCAGATTTCCCATAGAATATCCAGATCATTTTTATTTGAAATGAAACAACAATAAGGGTTTGATTGTGTCGGAGTCGCGCTCGCAAATTGCATTTGTGTGGCGGCCGCGGTGTCGCCGCGGACCGTCTTCGAATGCTGATGAGGCGCTGACGCGATTTCATTAGTATTGTGAACGCTTGCAACGCTTGTTTACAACCGACTCCGAACAAGGAGGGTCTCTATTCGATTGATTTTTTTTATGTTCGTTTCCTCAGGACTTTGTTGTTTATATGTTTAAACGACAGATGACTTCTATACCATCAGACGCTAATGGATCGCATCTCTTTTATATCGACAGCGTGGCAGCAATGACAGCATTCTGTGAGCATTAAGTAAATACTGTGATCCTCTCATTGTGGATCAAAATTGTTATAGGGGTCATAAAAAGATTTGTTTTGTATTTTTGTTTTCTACTAACATAGTTAAAGTCAATCGTTACTAACAAAAACGGATCATAGTTATCTGTAATAAAGAATTGTTAAAATTATTTTATCCTGATTTGGAAATATCATATATAATTTTTTAAACTAGTCTTTTTATTTTTTATACGACTTAGAATGGCAAACAAGCTGACGGCCCACCTGATGGAAAGTGGTAACCGTCGCCTATAGACATGAGCAGTACCATGCACATAACAGAGTATACTGTTTCACCCATGATACCCCAATGCGTTGCCATTTCTGAGGACTCAGGTGTTATTCCTCTGTACCCGGTAAATTCACGCCATATCCCACCCTTCAAACCGAAACACAGCCATGTAAACACAAATGTTTCACGTTTGAAACACGAATGGGACAGAGGTACCCAAGCAAACGACTTTTGTACAAAGTCTCCCTCTGGCAAAATCTCTCTGTGATAAAGTCTATTAAAACCTCACATACTCGTCCTTATCAGTCTTCTTTAAACAACTTCCACGTGCAGACATAGTTTACTTACAACTTTATAATACTAGTAATATGGTATATTTTCATCTTGATTTCATTGAAATTTTATCAAAATCGGTTTAGTAGTTTAGTTTTTAAATCATAAATAACTAGTTTCTACCCCGATTGTAGTGGGTGTTTATTTCGTAGAACAGAGTCGCTCATAACTGTGGATCACAAATCGATTCCGAAACTAGTAAAGCTTTTGGTTATTATATTAAAATAGAACAAAGTAACAAATTATTAAAACAATGTACATCTAGAATTAATCGTGTGGATCGGCGATTCTTAAAGTAGGTTCCGCAACCCTAGGGGGCTCCGTAAAAATGTCGCCAGAGTTCCGCGAAATTATTGATACAGTGAAACAGTTTCATTCTTCACATAAAAAATTAAAGGAAAAAATAAAGTGTTATACTTTAAAACATTGTTTATTTATTTAAATTGTGTTTTAAATTTCATTTAAAACAAAATTTACGTGATTACGAACGAACGTATGAAGTATTTTGGATTCTTAACTTTAGAAACGAGGTGTAGAATTGGTGATCTGCGCTTGCTTTCTAAGATTGCAAATGGATTGCTGAATGAATCATTAATAGCTTCTCTGAACTAGATTGCGTGTAAGTTCTCTTTTAGACACCCTCGGCAATTCAGTATTCCATCCACCAATAATAATATCTCACATAATAATCCCATTCACGGGATGTGTCAATCGTATAACAAAATTAGTGAAAAAATTCGATATCTTTCATCAGAATACCATTAGTTTTAAGATGTTATTCTTTATTTATTTATTGCATCCACTGGGTGAGCCTTGCAGTCTTCCAATACGCTCACCCAGGAAAGCATGAGTACAATAACATATAAAAAGCAATATTAGACAAAAATATTAAACAAAAAAATAATATAAAAAGATTTAACTGAAACAAGAAACGTGTGAACACAAACACTCTGTGGTCAGTCGACGAGCCTCCAGCAAGTTGGAGGCAAATACATCCAATTGCGGATACTGGCTCAAAATATCATCGAGTAGTTTCAATGCGAGAGATAGGGGAGCCTGAATTTTGAAATGGAATAAGTTTGGATCATAGCTGTAATCAGTAATGTAATCTAGGAAATATCTATAAAAGCGTTATAACGTTTACATTTGTATAACGATATTGTAAAAACCAAGCCTGAACTTGATATTCACTGCGATAGTCACTCTGTATTCATGACTAAATTAAAGTGTTGATATACCTCCCCATTACATTATATTTATTTATATTTTATAATAATTTGAATACAATTTCCATTATTTATATTATATTATTATTCATATTGTTAATATCTTTACTCTTTTAATAATTTAATTATATTTTAATGTTTGTCAAACACAAGGCATGCTGTGGTCGCCTATAAATGTAAGAACGGTGAGATCTGATCTGCCAGTGTATTGTATTAAAACTTAGCTTTATTGTAGCTGTATCTTATGTTGGTAATCCTGTAAATAAATAAATAAATAAACATCTAACTTATAACGATGTTTACAATGTAAGGTTGGCCAACTGCGTATTGATACATTTTTGTATTGTCTTCTTATTAATGGCATGCTCATTTCTGTTTGCAAACTGTTATTGTAACTTGTAACAAATAAATAAATAAAAATATTTCTAATAAAAGCTCTTGTTTTAATTTAGAATACAATGTTTTTGATTTGTAGTCGACTGATAATAAAAATAAAATAAAATGTAAGTAAAATTGTAAGTAAAATATAAGGTATCTTGTAAGGTGGGTGTTCCGTTACGTTTGAAATAACTATGCCACTGTGTTAGGTTGACTGGAAGAGATCTCTTTTAGAGACAAGTTCGCCTTTGATAACATTGTTATTAATTTCTTGTTATTACTGTATGTTTTAGTGCAATAATATATCTATCCATCTATCGTATTTAAGAGCTGCGCTCTTGTCGGTGGAGCTCTTGCCACTCACTACGATTGTCAGCGAGTCTCTTCACCTCTTGATACAATATATATATTATTTAAAAAGATTATCTTTACCAATTTCGTAAGCAAGACAAAATTGGCAAAGTGGTGTAGGGCGCGGAGGCGCGCAGAGTGGCGGGGGCGGCGGAAGTC